CACTATAATATTTACTAGTATGAAAACCCAAATGTATAAATTTGACACATGATTGAATATTGAAGTTAATTTTGATTGCTTATATCAATATTTATTTGATCTTTTCAATTAGTTATATCGCTAATAGAAATGTATATAATCAACAGGATTTAAACTATGCAATAATAAAGTTTTGCCTACGTGTATCATAAATAAATATCGTAATAGTACGGTTTCAAGCAAATATTACCAATAGTCTTCCAAATAAAGATTTTAATCATCTCATTTACAGATTTTTTAAATATAAAGTTATAAAATTATACATCATAGCAATCACTAAAAACTAAATGACCAAATTAATAATTTATATTAATTAATTTGAATGTTTGTGATAAGATACATACATATCTGTCATGCCTATTAGAGTAGACGGAAACAATAGAATTGTGATATCTATATAAGAATAAATGTTAGTAAGTGATCAATTAAAGATTAAATTTGGATAAAATTTATTTTCTTTAATAACTATGAGTGCCATACTTTTTTTACGAATAAAATGTTACTTTTTGTGCAGTTTCGTGTAACTTTTGTCTATCAAATATTGGCAACACATTCCTCTTTTATCTGTGGTCGTAGTTCGTACTTGTCTGAACATGTTTAGATATATATATACAAACAAAACGCATTGAGCTTTGTTTGAAGGTTCAAGCATCATTTTTAATTTATCTATAAAAATGAAATAAAAAAAAAAAAACAATATTACTAGTATGTATCGTTCAATGGTGCTTACACTAAACATGTATGGATAATTCATGTTTATTGGAGGGGTAAGTTTTAAAAAAAATAATATGAACAACAACGGTTGCATTTATCAAGTATTTAATTAACACGATAAATTTTTACTGTAAATCATCACTTAAACATGTTCTTATTTTGATCGTTTGCATCTTGAAATCTTTATAGTTTTTAATTGCTATGTCATTTACTGCTTATTATTAATTTGTAAGTTGCATCATGTAGCTTAGTTAAATAGAATAATTACTAACAATTTGAAGATTATATGCATATTGGTAAATGTATTAAAATATTACGTGTTTTAAATTACAAAATAACAGTATTGTAGTACATGAGCCGCAAAATTTACTAAATTAATAAATGTAAGTGCACTCAGTAATTATTAAGATAAAAAGAAATTGGGTAGTGATTGGAACCAATATTCTTTTAATCCAGTTAAAGCAACAACTGAATAGCAATAATCATTCAGTTTCTTAAAAGTACCTTATGTTGACGACTAAATATTTTAATAGAATTAAAATTTAAACAATAACATAATAACTGAAAAATGTTTTTTATACTTTAGACATTTAAAATTTAAAGAGATAGATTAGAATATAAATAGTCTCTATTTAAATAAACTTGTTAAAAAGCTCTTCTAGGTCTTCACTTTTTATATTTTATCAATCAGTTTGGAATATTGATAATTGAAGGAAATTCTCTCCCATACAATAGACCAATTTCCAATGTTATATTATTAAAAGTTCCTTTTTCTATTCTATAATTTATGACGCAATAGTATTGGGCAATTATTTAAGTTCTTATCTTACAACTATGGGCAAAGTAAATATTTTTTATCTATTTAAAACACTTAACTACATAAATGTGCGAGTTACTTTATTTTTAAACACAATTTAAAAAGACCATTTTCTTATAAAATTATTCATGAACTTTGTTTTAAGGTATCATTAATATTACTAAAACAATCATTTATATATTTTGCACATTTAATCATGCTGAAGTGAGTATTGCTAGTCAATTGAAATACAATTTGTATATTTCTAATGAAGCACTTGTATTTAAATGTTTTAGTAATGTAATTGGTTAATGGAAACCCAGAAGACAAAACTTTTAGGTACAAAATCTATTAACCATTCTGAAACTTTTGTTGTATATATTTAAAAATCCCAAAAACGTTAGTAGCTAATGAGTATTAATGATAGAAATTATATTTCTGTCTAAAATTTCATGTACAGTTTGGGTATATTTATATGTCAATCAATTGATTTCATTCAGGTACAGATATTATTTAAAATTAATTTTATTCCACACCATTGTCCTTATATATTCAGATAAGAATTACCCCATGTCTCTAGTTTGTACATGACCTATTTATGTACATATTATTCAGCCTTTTAATTATAATTGTATAACCAAATATTCAAATATCTTTACATACATTCATATTAATGGGATATCATGATCCTGTTTTAGGAATGAATCAAAAATCTCTGGAAGTAGAACAGATGCTTGCTTAAAAGGAACAAGTTCTGAATTAGATTTTAATTCTCATTCTGTGCAAAGTTTAATTCTTTCATAAGTAAGATTTATTTCCACTCTCAAGTAATTTAAATTGATTTTGTCTTGTTCTTATAATTATTGAAATATTAAACCATTTTTGAAAAAAAACTGATCTTGCTTGATAAATTCAACTGCTATTATAATTTGTAAAGCCAACAAAACATGTATGGGTCATGTCATTAGTTAAGTGTTTAAATCAAAGGTGACCTTAACATTGACTCGCTCTATATATGATCAGTATATTAATAGATGTAACAATCGACTACTCAACTAAATGAGATGTGATACTTTTTATTTGTTATTAATTTTGTTATGCTCCTCTTCAATAAAGTATCTATACTTAATAGTCTAGTTTTGAATAATTGTAAATTAAAAAATAATTTATTCAAAATTTTCCACTCATGTAACCAATTTATTTTGTTAACTTCTAGTATTTTTTTATGAATTAATGTTCATAACTCAACATTATCTTCTGTAAGTTTAAATAATCACATTATAGTATATTATCAAAATAACATTTTCATCCTTTCATATTATATTTAACAGGCTTTATATTTGTTTGCCACCATCCTTACTCTATATAATAGTAAAATATTAAACTGTAGTGAGTAAATATTAAACTAAGTTTGATTATTTTTTACTCCTCAACGATTCAAGCCTCCTACACAAATTTCCATCGCTATTTACAACTATTTCTTAGTTGCATTGCTCGAGTGTATATATTCATTTTAAAAGATGTTTTCTTCCTATCATATCTGCAATTCTAAATATCTGCTTTCATTCTATGATGTCTATTACTATCAAGTAATTTGATGTTTCCCTAGTATTTATAGTAACATTCAACTCCCATTTCCACACTAATCCTCTCATCTGGGCCAGTTCTACGTGTGGCTAATACATTCACAATCAAGCTGTGCCTAAAAGCACGTAAGCTTCCTGATATCTTCATAGGCCTCACGGAGCGACCTCGCTGTTCCGAGAATTCGTGAACATTGGAGGGCCACAGCTACACATTCCAGGATTACGTGAGCAGCCGTTTCTTCGGCGTCAAAATAGCGAGGCGATGGACCATTATCCGTATTATATCATTATTTTACGGATTTTCCTGTCTAGATATAATAAAGGTTTGGCAGTCGTAGATTCAACGTTGACATGGCTAATTTTATTTATATTGTCAACAGTCAGCATTCTGTGTCCGTCCATCTTTGTTTTTATATGTCAGTGGATCTTTGATGAATCCATGTTCGAAACTGCGAGAACGGAAGAGGAAGAAGTAGAAACGGGCCTGCCACTTTCGTTTTACAATCTCTTCTAGCTAGGTCATCTGCGGCATCGTCGTTATCATAAGATCCACTATGCCCCCCCCCCCCCCCCTTTCCATTGAAGGATAAGAACTTCAATCTTACTTTAAGCACTACTTTTTCATCTGACTTGCAAAATGTGAAGGCTTTGAATCCGACTGTCTTTTGTGTATATATTTCACGCTGTCTTCGATGATTCTGAACCAATTTCGATTATATTTTGTAAAAAATATCATCGAAATTAGTTTGGTGGCACCAATACGGAAGTAAATCTATGGGATTTACTTCCGTATTGGTGCCGTTTTTTTCTAATTTAGTGTCAATTGATGTTAGCTTTTTGTGTAACAGAATTGTTATCTCTATTCACTATCAGTCAAGCTCTATCTTTGCAAATTAATATTGCGCACATGACGTAGCTCAGATGCAGATAATTCCATGATCATGTCAGCAAATCTTAGCCTTGACCATGATTAGGTCAACGACACAGTAGTAATACGTTTTAGACGAATTGTTTACTCATATTATTATGTAGGTGGCACCATTTGACAAGGTCGCATGTTATCTTGTATGATTTGTTTAGTTTGAATTTTAAGTTTTAACACTACATTCGTGTTTCTTTAAATTCAATTATGTTGTTGTTAAAACATTATATACTACATACAATATAAAATGTATATAGTGACTATTATTATTATTTATTGGTATCTCTCTAAGTATATAATCGTAATTGTTTATAATTAAGTAGGTTATATACCTACTTCACATTACAATTTTGCGGTTTTTAAAGGTAACCAACACTGGTAAGCATTTTATATTTATATTTTTCTTGCAACAAATGTTGTTAATGTATTTGTGGTTTTTTTATATTCATAGATATTTCTTTTTTATAGCTATAGAGGTAGATAGTCACTTAAAAGAAAACATTCAAAGAAATAACATTAAACTATTGAAACCGTTTACTGAAAATACTTTTTCCTAAAATTCCAACTTTTGTAATATTATTAAAACACGAAATAAAGAACTTAATTATAAATTAAAAAGGAGCTGAGAAATTACCTATTATATATCACAGTAGGCTTATATGTAAGCATAAATCGCTGTGATAAAGAATCTTTTATATCTAAATGTGATTAAGCAATCTAAATTTGCATAAGCATATATAAATTGAATAAAAGTTTGAGAAAAGAAAAATAAATATCACCACTATCAGTGATTAATAACAATTATCTTCAGAACAGTGAAGTCTATAAACTCAAAATTTATTACAAGGGTTTATAATTTTTTATCTTAATTCCCACAAGAACTAAACAGATCCCGCTTGGGCTCTAATAAACTCTAAATGTAACCACTTTTTTCTTGTTTCAGATGAGAAAAAGACTGAGAAATGGATAATAGGAAACGAAGACTGCTACAAATCCATAAGAAGGCAATCGTTAATGATTTAGATATCAACGATATCATAGACGAATTGTTCTCCAAGAAAGTTATATCGTTAGAAGAAATAGAACGAATTTCTAACTTTGTAAGTTTATACCTATACTACATTAAAAATAATTAATTAATTGAATTAGATTTCGACTGACGACGCTACTGATCTGATGACATCACTACTGATTTTAGTCACAGAGACAATTGCGATGGCCGAACAGTTCTTTTTTAATTAATGATAATGAAATGGTAACCTGCGCTAACGGTATACGCTGATGGGGCACCAGTGAGGGATGATAGATGAGGATTAAAAGGCAATTCAGTTAGCCCACCGTGATGAGTACACCTGGAATTCAACACAATGGTTTCCAGGGGGGACCACGTGAAGGTTGACCTGACAGGGTATATTGCTAGCAATGGGACTGGTAGTCCGCATTATTGACAATCCCTTCCCCCCTGCCCGAACAGTCGAACAGTTAAAAGGATCAATACCATAGATTAACAATGTCTATATTATGTACCTGTAAAATTAAAAACTCCGCATTTTTCAACTGGACAATAATCCAAAACAAACAATAAAAACTGAGGCTATAAGAGTGCGCATAAGCTGTAGAAACTGGTTTCTATATCTTATGTTAATCCTATACAATTCGTAATATATTATGCTTACTCCTGTTTACTAAAAATATTAATAGAATAGTGCAAATACTTTGTTTAGGGGGTTGATTGAAGGCAACATATCTTTGATATTTATTAAATAATTGAATAAATATCAAAGATATGTCGCCTTAGAGCATTCATCGAAAGGCATTCCCTCGTTTCTAACGTGAATTTATAAAATATTAAAATTCACTCTATAACAAAATAGTCGATACAATTAATTTATTAATAAAATAGATATCCCTTTATCTGAATTGATGTTTTCGTGGAATTCTAAAGATACTTTCTACTGATTTTAAGTAATCGCTATCCTTATATTCAACTGCTAATTTTTATTAATTACATTTTTAATAATGAATGAACTTCTTCCAAATGACTAATTCCTATAATGTATCGACACCAGTTAAGCTTATTATAATGTAAATCACTTTGGTAATCAGATAAAGATAATGTGGTAATTACATTTCGAGCGTTGACTCAATTGCCACGAACAAACAAAAACTTACTTTCATCCACATACAAAGTTTTTCATTTTTTTTTAATCTAGTCTACACACAACAATTATAGTAACTAGTAACTATTCAGGAGTCACAAAAATAATGCTTTAAATATGATTTTATTTCAAAACATGAGTTCAACATTTTATTGCATGTTTTGGAATATGACCAACATAGGATTTGATGTTGATTCCATTTCATTTTCCGGAATTACAATTAAAAGAGTCATAACAATCGATATTTAAAAAATAGGATTTTGGAAATAGACATATTAGAATGTTTAATTTCATTAATACTCATAATTTTTGCCGATCTACAATGTTACGAAATATTAGGCGGAAGTTGCAATCCAATATAGATAGTTCATAGAACCTATTATAAATAATTAAATTAACAAAATGAATATATATACTCATGGCGCTACATTATCCTTTATCTCGTATTAATAAATAGTACTTACGTGCATGTAAATGAGTAACAAGGACACTGCTGATAAATATTAGAATGGGACTGTGGGAATCGATTCACATGAAACCGCCAGGCTTGGCCGTAGTTGGCGAATTATTTATTCTAACAATGGTACTTAATTAAAATAACAGGAATTAGTGAAATTCAAGAACAACACAAATGAGGTTTATCATTTTTGTGTCTCAAGATCAGACTTTGTTGTCTAAGGAACAATATTTATTTTGTTACAAAATAAGCAATTCTTTACACAATTAAATCAAAACCCTCATTTTTATGTGACTCCAAAAGGAACAAAGTTCTAAATTTGTCTGTTTTTCTTTGTGTGCATGTGTACTTCTTTTTATGCATCTAGAAACGGTAAACAAGCTAATAGCTCGTCTAATGGAAAGTGGCAAATGTCGCCTATACGAGTACATACTCGTAGATATGAAAAGCACCATATTATATGTTACGTATTGCTTTTGCAAGTATCCTTTATTACGCTACCATATTTTTTTTTTTCATCGCAATTGAAATGGCATTTTTTTATTTATTAAATATTAATTTTTAAACTTATAAATTTATAAACACAAATAGTAGTTAAGAATAGTAATATTTTAAACTAATACTGGCTGACCTGGCAATCGTTTTGCCGCTAAAACCACAACCTATTGGGTTAGTTGTTTTAAATGTAAAAAAATAAAAACTAACTTTTACCAACGACTTTATCCGCGTGATCGGGATATATTCACTGATCAAGATAAAAAGTAGCCTATGATATTCTCCATCCCATATAACTATATACCAAATTTCATAACAATTGATTAAGGCATTAACAGGTACCGAACAAACTCATTTTCACGTTTCTAATATTAGTAAAAAAAATTATATAAGTGTTAGTGCAATAAAATGTTAATAAATAGTCTGACTTTTTTATGTTCTTTTATGTCAACGAATTAACAAGGATTTATTTATACAGCCAAGTCTACGACATAAATATGTCGATCAGTCCATAATATTTGTAGATTAGTATTTGTGGTCTTACTTAGACGCATACCTAGCTATACTTGCTGCTAAACATTCAGTAACACATTCAACAGCATATCAATAACGCACGTAACCGAGGTCATATCCATTAACTGACAATACGCCTTTTGTTCCTTGTCTTAGATCTAAATGGTTTACGATATCACTACACCATTTTGTAAAATCAGGTATAAACTCATTAGTAATGAGGCCTCTTTATTAGTCATCAACTGTACAGAATTGTTTACGTAACTGCACCATCCAAGTCAGGGAATATATCATGTTACAACTGCTGACTACTCGTATTGTAATAATGCACATAATAGACATTGGAGCCCGGCCAAATTCGATCGCCACTTTTATTATTGTATTTTTAACTGATGTCCTGTAACCTTGCACGTGTTTGTATGATCTCCTACTTCGTTGAGGTGGTATGTTATATTTATATCATAATAACAATATTATGGTGCCTAATTATTCTTTATTGTACACAAAAAAGTAGTGTATCAGAGTAACAATTAAATATAATAGTGCATTATGGCGAGCTTATCTCTGAAAGAGATAAGAATATACTGTACTTTTTTTTTTACTAATTTTGCAATGTTCTTATCTTCTTTATAAGACGCGATTAAACTGACCAAATCAAGTCGACTCCCTTAAAAGACAAGTCCGTTATAGAATAATAAAGAAATATAAATTTTGTTATTATGAATCTATGAGAAAAATTTTACTTCCCTACAATCTCTGTTAGAGAAATAGTACTAATATCGTAGTAATATGTACGTACTGTGTTTGTACAAAATCTCGCTAAGTCCTAACAATCAACATGCAAAACCTTACTATTTTATTTTATAGGTAATTCATTAGACTATTCCTCATTATTTTTGTTGTAAAATAAAAAAACAATGTAATGTCGTTGGTATTGCTTGACTTAGAGATGTTGAAAAAGTATTTCTATTAAAATCTGTATTTAATTTTATTATCTTTATTCCAGGCAGACCGTGCTGAAAGAACCAGAGGCCTTTTAGAATATATAGAGAATAGTGACGACTACGCATACCAGGCTTTTATTGATAGCTTGGAAAAAGATCACAATTGGCTATGGCAAAAAATAACCTTTGAAAACAAAGAGGACATAATGGTTGATAGCTTCGAAGACAGTCTTAGTAGAGGAGATGTACCCAGATTACCAAAGAATTACGTTCGACGTTTATCAGTGGTGAGAATGACTGCTTACAAAATATTTTTTAGTTGCCACACTTGACAGGCGGGTTGGCAACCGCGGTTAGCCTTTAGTGATGTTTTTAGAGAGATGCTGCTGTCTATCACTCGACCATTAAATTTCCTTAATGTCTTACGACATCCATGGGAAAAGAAAGGGTGGTCCATTCTATGCCGGGACCACACAGCAATCTAATATTATTTATCTATAATCGCGTCACTTTAAGTCCCGATAATGTATTTAATGTTGCTTTCTGTTGTTCTATTACAAACTATTATTATATCTGTATTTTAGGAAAAAGAAGTGGAAACTAAACTAAAAAATCTCACAAGACACAAAGTTTTGGTGCTAGTGGGTATGTTGGGCTCTGGGAAGACTTCCATAGTTCTCAGTGTACTCCGCAACAACCCCGATCTTATTACTGATAGTTTTAACGGTTATGTGTACTGGCTCAATCTCAGTGACTGCAAAAACGAGTACGATATAGTTAGCCAACAAAAAAAGTAAGTCTATTTTTTTATATTTCCTTTATTTTCAGTGCACTATAAATTATATTCTTCGAGAATAACATACTTTTCCTTTGTCTGGGAAATTTGTATAGGCAGGCTATTAATCTTTGCGTTAACCCTCAAAATAGGTTCAAATTCATCAATAACGTGTGCCTGATACATTAACCGTATTTTTGTTTTTATTTAAAGGTTTATTTCATTTATTAATGAAATAGTTATTAATTAAATGAAAATCTATCTAATGTATCTGTTTTATTTAAATAGATTCATAAACACTTACAGAGTTAATCTCACCTGTTGTACACCTTTATTCAATATAAATTATAACAATGTAATATTTGTGTAAGATAAATAAATTGTTCGTCCAATATTATAAATGAAACACTACTTTTCAGATTGTATCGCAAAAGTTCATTATGGTCATCCAATTCGTTCATGAATTCGTCCATGTCAATGTCGAGTATATGCTCCAATGGTGACACTAGCTTATCGGCAATTTACGAAAATACTTGGGAAGAAATGAAAGACAAACTAAAACACAAGTTCTCCCATGATTCATTAAAATCGGCTCTCTTAGTATTAGACGAAGTGCATGACAAGTTATCTGTTGAAGCTTTTGATATTGGATGTAAAATACTAATTACTACTAGGAACAATGACATTGCTCACACATTTGGCTCACATATTATAAAGGTAAGTCATTTTATCAGCCTTTAACTGTCCACTGCTGAATATAAGCCTTCCCCTTAGGGGGTTTTGTCAGTAGTAGCCACGCTTGGCACAGACAGATTGATAATCACAGTTAGGCTTTGGAGATGTTTTAAGAGGGACGCTGCTGCCATCCCTCGCCCTTCCTTATTAGTCGTCTCTTATGATACCCACGGGAAAGGAAGGGGTGGCCTATTCTATGCCGGGACCACACGGCAAAATTAATAACAATTATGCACAGCTTAATAGTTATCGTAGCTTCGTTGACTTCTTATTAAAATTGTCACAAAATCAATGAACGAATGAAAAACATTTGTTTCCCTCTAAAGAATGATACAGACTACATATGAAAACAATATGTATACAAAAGATCCTAAATATAAAGCAAGCAAGTTAAGGCAAAATAAAGAAGCAACAATGTGCCACCTTATCGCTAAATAAAACTAAATGTCTTGCAGGCAACTTTAGGATGGAAAGGATCAATTAAAGTTGTGTTTGGTCAACGCGTAACAGTATAAAAACAATGTAACAATTTGTTAATGATAAAATTTATATTTTTTATCAATATTTTTCAGATTAAAGACAGTTTAACAGAAAACGAGATCCTTGAATTCTTTGCTAATTGCCTAGATGTAACGGTCTCTGACTTGCCACGTCAAGCGAAAAAATTACAGGAGACATTTAAAGAAAAGACTCCTTTCCACGTCGGTTTAATTGGAGCTCAGTTGGCTGTGAATAGAGAGAGCTTGGTCGATAATGGATCTCCTTTATGGAAAGAATATCTGAAAACATGGGGGAAAAAAGGTTTTTTTTCGTAAGTATCAACTTATAACTTTCTTAATATATGTCTTGCATGAAACGTAAAAACAAAACATATACTAAAGCAACGTATACGAAAATTTGTGATAAAATCTTACACAGAACTTATGAAAATATCGATATCTGACAGGAATATTATTATAATAGAAGTAGCAGACCCGTCATACGTTGTTTTGCACACATGCTGAGTCTATTTTTTTTTTAGGGATAATAGAAATCTCAAGTTAAAAGAAACAATTTATTAAAATCGTAATGATTCGAAGGTTAACGTAAACGTACATAGTCATACGTGATTTTGTATATTAAGATTTATATAACTAATAACTTATTATTAACTTTTAAATTATTTTAACATGTTTTTAACTATTCTCGTTTCAGATTCCCCAGCCCAAACAATAAACCCGCAGAAATGGTGAGATTTTGCGTCAACTCGTTAGAACCGGAAGTCTTGTCACTATTCAAGATGTTAGCTATATTACCAGATAATGTCAAAGTAACCATTAAAGTACTAAGCATGCTGTGGCGCAAAACTATAGCGGAAACTGATATTATTTTGAATCAGCTGTACAATAAGTCATTGATAAACAGAACTTATGATGCTGATCAAAAGAGCTACGTGTATGAGACACACGAACTGATTTTGAACTTTCTCAAAACGTGCCTAACTAAAGAAGAAAGTGATAAGTTACATTGTGATTTTCTTAAAAGTTACCATTATGATAACCGAAGTAACACAACGGTACAGATAATAGACGATGGCTACATAGCATTTTTTATTGGCTACCATCTATTGAACACTAACAATTTAGACAACAAATGGGATCTATTCAGTAGACTATACCTTGATTTGAAATTCCTAGGTAACAAGGTGAGGCTGACTGGTGAAGCCGATGTTATGTTTGACTTGCAAAAATATGAAGAATATATTGCTAAAGAGGTGAGAATTTTATTTAATTGACATGTAAATATGATATATTTGCGTTATATCACACACAAGGCAAACTGCTCTCTGCCCGACTTGAACCAGCATTTAAGTGTCGCCTATATTCATCTAGTTAAAACAGCAAATCCATTTACAGATCCATTATCTACTTTTTCTTATTTTAGTTATTACAATGCAGTGTTGGATTTGTATACACTTAAATAATATAAATCGAGAACTAATTTTTATACCATGAATTAAAACTCTTCTTAACAATTATATATATACAAACCTTATTCAACCTAAATTTTTAATACATAAAAATTTTGGTGAGGCAAGAAACGTATATTACGTTTCTTTGAAAGACCCCTATCTTCCCCGTAAATTATTTGTTATGAGATATGACATTGCAATATAAATGTAGATTAAAAAAAAAATGGCGACTTATTGCCCAATATTAAAATATGTTTCTTTCAAATCAATATTTATAATTTCATTCAATGACAATGTCTGCTAATAAGGTTAATTAATTATATATATTGCTGTAATTATAAATCTTTATTATACCTTCTTTACATAGAAAAATTAAAATATTAAACCTATAATGGAGGACTTATCCCATAGAATGATTTATATTGTTTTATATTAACAAATATTCTTTTCAGAACCTGGACAAGGATTTTCTCATCGGCATTGTGGCTTTCTTAAAAACGCACGGCGCTGATTTATACCGTTATCCGTGCACTGATATAGTACAAAGTATCTTACAACACGAATCCAAGGGTATACTTTTTACAAAAGCCTACGATATTGCTCAAGCTAACTGCGCCAATAACGAGCTTTACTTCGACTTTTCGTAAGTACTTTATTATTAATTATCAACTTTTGTTTATTAATAACAAATACTTATTTTTGGATATATGTAAATAAAACTTGAGTGCAACTGACGACTGACATCATTATTTATATTTAAATTCACGATTGGGATATAACACGACGCGAGTAGAACGGTACGTACATGCAGTAGAATATCCGGACTTATTCATCAAGGCTCTAATTACCGATTTAGAAATAGTATTGTGTATTAATTGGGTACATATGTATTATGTAATCGGTTATATTGTCTAAATGACGTATGTAAAACCCTTTACATGATAAAAAATATAAAAATTTAATTATCGTTTGATTTGACTTTAAAATCGATAATTCTGATTTTCGATTATACGATATACCTGATTTTATTTGATTCAAATAATCTAGATTCTACTGTACCTAATTTTTATTGCTCTGCTTTAAATCCCGATCATGAATTTAAATATGTGTGAACAACACGAAAGTTAAAATTAACTATCATCACTTGTGTAATTACGATTATTGGTACCTAAACACTAATCTTATATATAATAAATTATAGACAAATTGGCTAAAGTTTGAATTTAAATATAATGCTGGGTATACACACCATTTTTGCTACAACAACCATCAAAATAACAAAGGCACACATATAAACAACAATGTTTAACTCTAATTGAGTTTATCATTGGTGTCCACTTGCCAATAATTTCGCCTATCATTTGGTGAACCCTAGACGCTTACGGGGAGTGTGTGTGTGTACCCGGCATAGCATACAATGATCCTTAAAATTTTAGATATCCGGTTTTTTGTTCATTACATCGTAAAGGGACAAAAAAAGTCTTATTAATATAATGTCTCTACGTAGGGACCACATTGTGCGTTACGAAACGTATGACGAGAATGGCGGGGTTGTTCAATGTTTTGTCAAGAAGTGGTCAGTATATTTTGTGGAACAAACAATGGTGAGGGTTACAATCATTGAGTGCACACCAAAACTGTCAGGTGTAAGGGGAAATTAAACAAATCATTCTCATATTTGGTCTATGTCATTTTCATTGTCGTAGTCTATTGTCTTATGTGTAGGTATTTGTATGTTTTTTTTTTTTCTTTTTATACTAGGCGCATAACAAAATTCAAATGCTTCACTATTAAATAAGTATAATAAAATATAGCTTTCTTATTATATTAAAATTTTCCTAAACAACCGATACGGCATTATGACATTTGTCCAATTCGGAATTAATTAAATGTCAACATCAACTGTTTTTAAGTTCTTATTATTATTATGCCTAACACATCATTAACAGTCTTGGATGGACCATTTTTTATTTATGAAGTTTTACTCGCACTTGAGAAATTTTATTAATGTAAACTGTTCATGTAAAGTACATCAAATAAAAACAATATTTTTATTAACTTATATGGTACCGTTGTGTGGTATGGAGGTATTAACGTTTTGCGATAGAAATCTGTATGAAAATGGTGTCCGCTCAGTAATCCCAAATAACTTCATATTATGAACCTAATGTCTGTTAAAAATATTTAGTAACTTAAAAGGTTGATTGAAATTTCCATTTATACTAAACAAAAACTTTTAAGTATCTCATTTCACTCAAGTTGATTAAAATTACATATAATTGAATATATTGTAGAATTTATCAACAATATTTTCAAGAAGAATAGGTGTAGAATAATATATATATATATATATATATATATATATATACCATTATTTGAGTATCGTAATTTTCCATGATTTCCATTTACCTGTAACAATTATAATTAAGTATATTTCAAAATACGAAATTGATTCAACATAATAAATTGGTTGGTAAAATGATTGTTACTTAAACTTCCTTGTTACCCTCTTTATCTAAAACTACTGCCCCACCTTCACACTGGTAGATAGATAGTAAGATAAATTAGTATTTTATATTGGCTTTAATAAGTAAATGTTTAATACGTATGACCATATTAAAATACACTCCAGAATAAGAGTGTTTTGGCATTATATCCGAATTGGATACTTAATGTTCGTACCGAAGTCTGTAACTGTCATATATTAAATATACATTTTTAAATATTTCTGAACAATTGTTTCAATAAGCGGCTTATGAAACCCTAAAATTTTTATTTTAAGAACAAAAAGATTTTATTATTTGCTTGATTTATGACAAAGAATTCACACATTTTTGTGATATTTCCAAATACTTTGTACCATCCAATTCCAATATGTTTGCGACAGTTTAATAAAAATATCTTTGACTATTTAGCTATTTAATTTGCTATTGGAATACTTGTATTTGAATTTTAACGAATTACACAATATTGTAGTATAAACTCTTAAAACATTATAAAGGGGTTTTGTTCAATGTAATTACAAAATCCGTAATTAAAGGAAAGTGTTCTATTACTTGCACAGCTGCGATAAAGATCAATCATCATGCATTATTTTCAAAATCACGATTCAATTAATATTTGCTCTCTATACACGCAAACCGCTGAATTATGTGGGGTAAATGGTTGCATGTAGTTAACACTATTATTTTTCATGATCATCTTAAATTTTGTTTTTGTCGTCTTTACTGTTGTTTATGTTGTTTCTTTGTTTACTTGCTGTTTATTTATTAAACAAGAAGCTTAAAACCAAATGGAATATGCATGTTGTTCACAGAGTTGACAACAACAATTGTGATTTTATAATACATTTCGCTGTCTCGATATCACTGCTAAGTGTAAGCGAGATGGAAGATAGCTCGTTATCGTGTAGCATTCTTTTTATTAGCTACTATTCTCTTCTCAAATACTTCGACTCTAGAGTAAGAGAGAGAGTCAAGGCAAAACGTCATAAGAGTTCAAAATTTGTTTCAATATTGGATTCAATTTGCAATCTCCACGTTATAGGCTTCTTGTATTTAAATCGTAACAAATCTATATGTAAATCGAACTCTAAAAATCATATATTCATAGTTGACAAATGCCACTTTATTCTCACATATCATGTAGCATTCATTTTGATACATTTTTTACGATTTAAACTTTACCTTCAATTATATTAAATACTTATAATTTATCTATGTTTTATTTTTATACATCTTTATTTCATTTCTTTTAGTCATGAACAAAATGTGGAAGAAATCATGCACTCTACAATTGATGTAAAAGAAAATATCACATCCGGTTGTTTCTTAGGAGATTTTGTACTTATTGGAACTAAATCAGGAGTGATAAAGGTAATTAAAATACCGGAACTAATATTTTCACAAATAATAAAAAAACTCACTAAATATTACAAAAGTGAAAAACTATATATGAAAAAAAATTAATATTCTTACATGTATATTTCTACATAATAATACTGAACTGCGTTTTAGATAAAAAAAAATCCTTAATCCGTAAGCATTTGGATAAAAAAAAATAACCTTAATACAATTAGCATTACGGTCCTATTTTAAATTAAAAAAAAAATTAATCTGAAACTTAATTAAATATAATTACACTTTTTAGTCCCAATTCCTCATACCTATGAAATTCTCGTAAGAATTGTAATAAAAATATTACTGACAGTGTGAATTTATTTTATTGCATTTTATAATCGCATGTTTTTTATTTCTTAACAATAAATAAACACGTTTTTCAGATGTTCCACTGTCAAACTAGTAAATTAAAGAGGGAACTAGTGACTGGCACATCTCCCATAAAATGGGTTGGTGCATGTCCCATAAGACCTACAAAGGTTGCCACTTTGTCATTAGATGGTGTAATCACACTGTGGTATATAGATCATGTCGAGCAAGAGGACAACGAAACTGTCATTGAAGAAGGTATTAATACTATAAAATATTTGTTCATAATATTTGACTGACTATAACTATAATATAACAAAACCTTTTTCGTTGCCTAAACTACCCTCACATTACTTGGCGTTGGTGTTACAAAGTAGATACATTTCATTTCATTTTGTACTGTCTATTTTGATGTAAAAAACTAACTTTGCTAGGTGGCTATTGTCACTTATTTGTTTCACAGAATAACTAGTGTACTTTTTTATTTTTCTGGTCTGATCTTAAGATTTAATATGTTCTAGTTGTTAAGCCATCACATTGTGTAAGATCTATATGTATACTTGAATCGTGCTATATGTATCGAATCAGAATATAAATAAATTAAATTAAATATACGAGGTCTGTCCGGAAAGTTCGTATAAAAGTGTTCTGGAATGCGAGAAAGAGGAGTGGGGAGGCCAGGTAAGCGCAGGACCCCTTCCTTATGTCCCTAACAATGCTTCAGTTCTGGTCTGACCGCCGTGCGGTGCGAACTGGCTTGTCCGCCATCTGTGAAGTTACCTCTTAACGAAACCCCGTCGGCATGGAGCCCGCTTCCGTTGAAGAGCAGCGCGTCGTAATCAAGTTTCTCTCGAAACTCGGCAAGAATGGCCGTGAAAGCAAAGAGTGGAAGACATCCGGGGAACCACGAACAAAAAAATCAAGAAAATCCCGCTCAAATGTCAAGACAATGTTGATTGTTTTTTTCGATGTTCGGGGGATTGTCCATCAAGAATTCGTCCCTCCAGGCCAGACAGTTGATGGAAAATTCTACGTCGATGTGCTCAGACGCCTCAAAGCTCGTGTGGCACGAGTTCGTCCAGAATTGGCGCGAGAGGGGCGTTGGATTCTTCACCACGACAATGCCCCTGCCCACACCTCTCTTGTTGTCCGTGAGTTTTTGAGTAAAAATTCCATTACGGTGACCGAACACCCCCCCTATTCGCCGGATTTGGCCCCGTGTGACTTCTTCTTGTTCCCAAAAACCAAATTGGTACTTCGGGGGCGGCATTTGGGGGATATAAATGAGATAAAAAAAGCTACGACGGGGCAGCTGAGAAACCTACAACCAGAGGACTTTCAAGGAGCCTTCTCACAGTGGAAACGGCGTTGGCACAAGTGCATTATGTCACAGGGGGAGTACTTTGAAGGGGATAAAATTGATTTACCTGAATAATTGTAAAATAAAATTTTTAAAAAACTTTTATACGTACTTTCCGGACAAACCTCGTATAATACACATGTACAGTTATGTTTATGATAATTTTACTAACGAGCGAGAATATGAAATCACAAATTATATTGTTATATAAAAGTTTATTTTCAATGGGTGTGGTTGGATTTTATAAATTACCTTTTTTTTAAACAATATAAGTAATTTATTGTAATTATTTTTTAACTATTCAAAGGGTTCCGCGATTGATCACAATCTCACCTGATGGAAAGTGATGATGTAGTTACTTTTACTTGCTCACTATATTTATAACTTATTCTATGTAATTTACAAATATGTGTATATATATATATATATATATATATATATATATATATATATATATATATATATATATATATATATATATATACAAATATTTTTTGACAGAATTTGAAGAGACATCCAATTGTCCCAATAGCATCAAAATCAATCCGAAAATGAGGCCGCATCTAAACTGTAGATGGGCCAACTACAATGAAATTTTGATTGCTCACACATTGAAGACAATCACACTGTACCGTATTGACGGTGAAATATTAAATGTCATAGACAATTTGGATAAGAACAGTGAAATATTATGTTGCACATTGTGCAATAATGACCGACTCATCATAGCTGGCGTATGCAACAATGAAAAACATAGTGTTGTGATCATAGACAGTGTCACGAGAGAGATTGTTATGTCTTTCATAGAAACTGGCTCCATTATTGATGTCCTGATTGTTCCTGGTAAGGATTTATGGTTTTGTTATTTACAAATAGTTCAATTGCATGCTGAATTGAAGAAGAACATAGAAATTTTGCAAAAGATTTAAACAAGTATCATCTTAGTAATAGAAATGAGAAAACCAAAATCTAAATTTATCGCTATATTTCACATGTTATTTTATATACCTTTTTTTACATTTTTTTTTTTGCAATAGTAGTTAGTATTTCAAATCATTAAAAAAAATTCTATAAATCTTTATTAGGTTATAAACGCTTGAAGTTGTCTCATAACACGTACATTAAGTATTGTATATATAAATTAAAAAAAATGACCCAATTTTTTAGGTATAGCAAGCAACAAAATTATCACACTCAAAGAGAAAGAAGTAATCCAACACAACTTCAAAATCAACTCTTCTTCGTACCAGAATAAGTATGTTTGCAGCAGTGAAAAAGTTATAAGTTGTGATGATGTTAAAGAAAATTTGAAGTTTTTATCGTTGGCTGTGAACAAGACTGGAACATTGTTATTTGTATCTACCTGCGACCGCAGAGTGATCTGTGTGGATTTGAAAACAAATTCTCACACATTCGACATAGAGAATAGGCGTGGGTGAGTTCTTTATAATATATTAATCTTTATATCACATTAACTGTTAAACAAAAATGTTTTTTTTATACCACTTATTCCCACTTGATGGTAAGCGGTTACCGTAGCCTATGAACGCCTGCAATATCAAGGGGATTAAGCGCGCATTACCGTCCCTGGAAACCTTTTTACCCCTATTTTTGAAAAATCCCACTTATGTAGTACTTACTAATATCATAAATGTGAAATTGGATTTGTTTTATTATCTCTTAGCGCCTCAATGGCTTTAGCAAACTATAAAATTTAGTAAAAACGTAATATATAAGACGGAGAAGGACATAGGCTATTTTTTGTCTCTGCCAGTGGCAATATCCTGGTCACGCAGACGAAGTCGCGGATATAAGTTAGGACACAATAATAAATTCTGTGTGATCATTAATAAGGTTACAATGAGACACTATTGCTTTTCATTCCTAAAATGTTAAAGTTACAACTAGGATAGTAAAGCACAATAAACTAGTGAAAAAATGTGAAAAAAAAAAAAAACAAAAAACCCTATACAAATCCACCTGGTCAGCGTAGTAATAACAATCTTATATCATCCTCTTATAAGCAGACCCTATAGTAGTTATAGACTGTTGTAGTAGTTAAGGCAGTTATGGGTTGTTATAATTATGTGTTAATAAATTATTCTGCATCAATTGTACTTTTCCAGCAATGTCATATCTATGGCAGTGAGCGAGATACCGGGCGGCGACGATTTTGTTCCAGGTTTAGATGTTCTATTAACCGGAACGGGTACTGAAGAGAATTCAGCAAAAATATGGTTCCTGGATGCCGCTTATGTATCGCAGAAGAGGCAACAAGTTTGGTAAGAATTTTTTTTTTTATTGTGTTTTACTGGCTGTATTTTTTATGTATTTTATTAACAATAGATATTTTTTTAAATATATTCATTTTATACTATTCCTTTCAGCAAAGTGCGGTTTACAAAGAAATTTGCGGTGAGCTTCGTGAATACTTTGTCACCGCATACTCCCAGTCAGGATACAATACCCCACGTGCCAAGTTCTCAAAGCCTATCAACGACACCCAAACGTCACCAATCGTTTGCCGACCGATCTGAGATGACCAAGAAACCAGCTCATAAGACCCTAAGCCTAGATAGATTCTCTCTTAAACCGCTCAATTTGAAGGGCTTGTGTAATAATAATGAAAATTTTATCCTGCCATTGCTAGCTGTTGTCGATGACAAGAATAACATACAGGTATGTCTATTGTTTTGTTGTCTTATGCTTTCTTATTGATATAACTGTATAATTCATATTTAAATTAGTATAGATTATCTACAATAACATGGCACGCCCCTCCAAAATCCGAAGAATTAAAATTGCGTGCGTAAGCGCGTGCGTGCGTGCGTGCGTGCGTGCATGCGTGCATGCGTGCGTGATACGTGCGTGCGTGCCTGTGTGTGTATACACGTATTTGTTTTATTGTTTCTGTCTCATAAATTATTTTACATATAACTAAGTAATAACCATATTTAAATTTCCTACGTAGTTTATTATACATTGATAAAGCATTAAATTTTACTTTTTCTTAGTTAAATATGGTACATTAAGAAAGTATAGCATCCTTCCTTTTCCACCACTTTTAACAGACAATTCAATTAATTAATAATTAAAGAAATTTGTTATTTACTAAATACTAATAAATTTGTTTTAATTTTTAGCCCTTTAAACAATTACTACAGCATTCTTTATCTGCGTTATAGGTGATGCGTGGTAGAAAAGTACTCACAGAAATCGTAACCAATGCAGACGACAAAATCAGTGTCGTACAAATATCACCGTGCAATCAGTACATCATATACGGACTAGAATCGGGTACAGTGAACAAATATGCACTACGAAGTAAAGACACTGAGGTGATAATGAACTTAACGGGTTCTGTACAGTATCTGAACTTCGTGAATTCGTGCCTCCTCATTGTATCTGATGAGAAACGATGCCTGATGGCGTACCACTCGTGTAACGGGAAATGGAAGTCGGAGATGTTGCAGCGCGGCAACTGCCACCTTGGTTCACAGGAAATGTTGAATAATATACAAGGTTAGTATTTATTTTTATTAAAACTTCCTGTTTTCTGCGGTTTATGTGGGTATGCGGCGTCGTAGTTAATGATAATTGTAGCGTTTTATAACATATGCGCAGTTTACTTTGTTTTCCATTGAAGATCCTGAATATTCATAATTGTTTTTTTATTTTATTTTTTTATTTCATACCAGTATTTACGCGTGGATATTAGAAGGAAAACTAATTAAATAGACTACTTATAGATGACGTATCATGATAAAAGTGAGTGGCAAGAGTTCTACCAACAAAAGCGCAGTAGATAATTAATTTTAATATATTTAAGCGTATCATTTCAGAACGACTGCAGTTATTTGGTTAATTGTTTTTTTATATATTTGTAATTGTCCAGACAAGGTCTGTTTCATATATGTTTGTAAAAAACAGTATACCTGTTTGAATCCGTGCGAAGTATAAATAAGTAATATAGTTAAATAAAAATATAAATAAAACTTAATACCAAATGCATTAATTAGTAGCACCGACAAGAGGAAACTCTTAAATGAAAAGAGACCAAACATATACTATTTTAGAAAGTCGGCTATTTATATGCATGAGACCAATTATAAAAATAAGTTTTGGGATTATTATACGTGAATAAAACAAAACATATGGTTCCCTATTTTATAGACAATGACATTTAAAGTATAGAGACAAACACATTTTACTTACCTCAGAAGTAGCAATACATAACTTGTAAATCCCTGAATTTTCTACAAGTTCCATCATATAATTCATGACTATTATTGTAAACCACGCTTACCACTTCCAATAAATCGTAAGTATAAATAAGCAATATTTTTTAAACAATATTAACGTTCTAGGTATAAAAAAGAAAAACGGGCATGCCGACAGTTTATCTGATGCTGGCAGTGCATCAGGGGAGAACGGTTTACTGCCAGACTCTAGCTCCCTAGTTGACTGTTTTTGGGTCGCAGAGGGACTCGTCACCATAGACTGTAACGCCGTCATCAAGCTATGGAGCCCGGACTTCCAGCTTGAGAGTGTGCTGAATGGACGCAACATCGACGTTCGAGCTAACTGCGCCGCCTGTCAAAAAAATATACTAGTCAGTTGTGATAGTCACAATATGACATTTTATGTAAGTATACTCATTGTATTTAAAACAATAATAGATTTTACTCCTCGAAATCATATTAATAACAAATATTGTTATCAAACTCAGTTCAAAATTGCCATAGATATCGTACATACATGAAAATAAATATCTAATAGAAATTAATTGTTTTCTTCTTAAATCGTTGAACATAATAAACACTCTTCGTGGGCTTCTTTGTAAAAATGGCTGGTTGCCAGTTTGCTTTCATAAAAGCAAAGTAATATAAACGAACAAATACCGAATATAAAAACTTTCGTTCTATTCCATACACGTGATAGATAGCTAAAATGTATGTTTCAATGTATTCGATTACCGCCGCTTTTGTAGGGAAACTGGATATGAAGATAATGCTTTAAACATGCTTTTTTTTTAGATATTTCAACTAACGAAAGATGAAAATAACAAATTAAGACTGAATTTAAAACAACGATTTAAACTAGATAGCCGCATTGCATCATGCGATCTAACTGCGGACGGTACCAAGTTAGCGCTCGGGCTACACTCTGGCGATGTAGTGGTAAGTATTAATTTTTTTTTATACAACTTAGAATAGCAAATAAACTGACAGTCCACCTGATGGAAAGTGGTAACCGTCGCCTATAGACATGAGCAGTACCATGACATAACAGTAAGACATAGACATAACAGAGTATACTGTTTCGCCCATAATACCCCCCTTGCGTTGCCATTCCTGAGGACTCAGGTGTTATTCCTCTGTACCCAGTAAATTCACGCCATATCCCACCCTTCAAACCGAAACACAGCCATACAAACACAGCTGCTTCACGGTTGAAACACGAATGGGACAGAGGTACCCAAGCAATTGACTTTTGTACAATGTCTCCCTCTGGTAAATTAGTAAATTAGTCCCAAATAATAGATTTTATTCAATTTTAGCAAGAACTAGTTTTATATTGTCATGATTTTCTTTCATCCCTCTACCATAAGCTCCCTTAGTCGCCTCTTACGACGCTCACGGGAAAGGAAGGGGTGGCTTCTTCTATACCGGGACCTACACAGCTATATTATCGGTAGTGTTATCAAATTAAAATATTTTACAGATTTGGAATGTAACCCTAAAACGCCAAATCACAACACTGAGGCATCATAAAAGTAAAGTGCAATGGTGTTCATTCTCCCCTGTGCCTGATAATATCTTCCGGACGCCGGCGCAATCACCGTCAGTATACCACCCTCATCCGCCATCATTTAGTCAACATACCGAGGACCATGAACCACCCCTGGTGTTGGCCACCATGGCTACAGAGATTGTGTGGTGGAATATTTCCCGTGTATTGAAAAATCCTAAGAGGACATACATCAGGTAAATGCTTTAAATAATATTAGCAAGTTATTATTATTATTTTCGATGTATTATAGTATCTATTTACATACAAATAACAATTCTTATGTTTGTTCTGCCATTTATAAAAAAAAATTGTATTATATTTATTTTTTATAAATTTATTATAGGACTTTGTTGAAACTATCCTATTTTTCTGAGTATGCATTGAAATGATTTTTTCGACTTATATTTTTTATTATACATGAATACGTTTCACAAGTCTTATTATTAATTTTATTATTATAGAGACTATAAATGTTATTTTAAAATCTTTTAAATTTATTGCAGTAACACGAATATTATGTCGCCCATGGTGAGCCCACTAGATAACAGAAATATATCATCACCTGTCAGTAATGAAATCAGTAGTCCAAACAACATATTTTTTGGGAATGGCTCATTTGGAGCTCACGATTGTTGGAGATCTATATGGAAAAGTAAAACGTAAGTATATAGATAGATTGACACTTAACCTTATTACACAATATTTAAGTCTGTATTTTGGTTGGTTTAGTATTAATTATGAACCAAAATATACTTACTAAATATACTTCAATTTTTATTAAAAACGAAAGTGTGTGATGAAAATCTACTCCCATTTCATGCACCTGACCAAAATCATATTTTTTTAATTAAATGAAATTTCGTGATATCCTGATGTTTGTTCCTTGTATAAAATATTGCTTCTATGAACTCAAATCTTACTAGGATCTTCATAGATTTATTTAAATGAACAAAATTTTAAGTGTTAAAATCATTAAATATTTGTAGATAATTTCTGAATACACACGTGCAATTTTTTAGGTGCAAGCAAGGATCCAAACGGGAAGAAATACTGGCGTGCATCAAACTGACTGGTATGAATGCTGAACAATTATGTCACAACGAACAATTCTCTTGCTTTGTAACTGTCGATAACTCTGGTCATGTTCATATTATGAACGTAATGAGGCCAAACACGTAGCACACTGCCATATGCATTTACAGTCATATACGCGTATCAATATCCAATCTATTATATATAGTTATAAGATTTCTTTATACTGTCCATTACCTTTTAATTTTATTACCATAATTTAAGTTAGCCACGGATAATACTCATTACTGTTTATTACTTGTTTTACTTTTTATTTTTGTAGAGCACATGAACAATAAGAAGATAGTTGTACTGTTGAAAATAGAAAAGACCCGAATGAAATCCATATCACTAAGAGTCCTTTTAAAGTACTGTTCTACCAATGTATTGCTTTAATATGAAATGCTCAAATTTATGTTTGTTTCTTGAGAAAAATTGTTCAATTACATTCAAAGGATACTTCTTTAAAAGGATGCTAATGCGTTTGATTTCACTCAGTTAATATAAGACGGATTACTCCGTGGGTAATCTGTATGACATTAAATAAGGTGTAAGTAAGAACAAGAGATTTTTTTAATGATTTGTGGCAAACACATGCGTTGTAACACAACCAGTATGCGTTGACCTCATTCCTTTTCTATTTTTCTACGGTAAAATATTCTTCATTTTGGATATTGAATCGCGTATATTTATATTGTAAACCAGTTGTAATTTTAAATTGTAAATAATTTTAAATCAGTCAATATCCAACTACGTAACTATGTATTACTATTTTACAACATTGTGAATGTCTGACATAAGTTGAAGTACATTCTATTATTATAAATATTAAGAAACAATTTCAGTCCTCCTAAATGTGAACAAATATGAATATGTTATTAGTAAATTATTATATTAATATACCTTTCAAAGCAATACATGATGGATTCCTGTCCTGTTTTAAAATAGGTATATTTTTTTAATTAATTTAAAATGTAGTAATCGAATTTTATAACAAAAATCTACATGCCATAATTATATGAGACTAAATATCAGTAATATTAAAATTGTCTTATAGTATGCAGCAGGTTACTGACATATTTGACGTCACAGTATTTGGTGACAACTGAGATTAGAGATTTGTAACATTATTTATAAACGAAAAGACCAATTTGTACAATTTTATTGTATTTCAATCTTAATTATTTCAACAGAAAAACTGATTATTATGATTATAGAACGTTAAAAGCCCACCTTGTTAAAAATCACGACGTTTGGATTTCCTGTCAAAGGGAAGATTTCAGAAAAATTACGTAATCTTTCTTTCTTTTCTACTTTGTGAAATATATTTATTGAAACTTTGTGAAACATATTACTCGAGATATTTTATCGCTAAATAATCGTCGAAAACTCGTGAAATTTTCTAAATTTTGACGTAACATACGTAAAAAATAAGTATTAATAAACATTTTTTTACAATTTAACTATTAAGTAAATTGATTTTATTCTGTTTTTTTTATAATTGATATTAGAAAAGCATAAACAAAAACTTTAAAGTATTAAAAATGTTTTCTGATAATATTTTACACAATAAATTAAATTGAAAAACTTTAACAGAAGATCGCCATATTGTAACAGTTAGTTTAATTACACGGGCATAACTTAAACCGCCATATTTTATTGTCAATTTACGTAAAAATATCTTAGTGAATATATATTCTGTGTAATTAATAAATACATTTATTTCAAACTACTTATCCCAACAATCGTCGTTCTGTCAAAAGCTGACACTTTAAAAATGAGATTTCACCTTTTTTTTGAACAATTTTTCCAATTTTTTTTTCTTCATAAGATCTTTCCTCGGACTACAACGAATATTCTAAAAAAAGTTTGCAGAATTGGTCCTGCTGTTCTCGAGTTTGCACTTACATAGATAAAACGCAGATGCTATAAAATATCAGCAGAAATAAATCTGAATCGTTTCAATATTTTCATGTCACGATGGTCGGCAACACAATGATATTTCTGATGTCTCGGACAACAGTAGCCGTTTATCATCAGCCGAGCCGTATACTTGAGCGCTACCATCGTATTGTACAATGATTTATTGTATACCCTACGCGAATATTCCATTACATGCACGAATCAAACGTTATTATTAACAAAGTGAGCTTTATACTTAGTAATTAATCGTTAGCTTTTGCTCATTTCAGTATGTGATTCATATGAAATTAAGAAATTATTATAATTATCATAATGTAAGTATAAATCCCAAACGACAATTTAGCATAGATTAAATGTGATTTAATTTTACTTTTATAATATTTTAAATTTAAGAGTATAACTACTCGGAAGATTAAAAATAACGGTCGAGTTTCATTATAAAATGAATGTCATCCAAGTAATATCATAAATAAATCTTTTAATGCTTATTAACTGTGCTTAATGTTCTGAATTTGATTATTAGTCATAATTTTCAGCTTATTAATAGGATTTATTTTCTTCCCCATTTAAGCATGTTTAAATTTAATACATATATCTTTTATTTATAAGCTTTAATTAACAATTATATTTTTTGAAAATTTCCTAATTAAATGCATGACTCCTATCGCAGACTCCTGTAATATAAGTTATGCATTTGCTATGTAAACTATACTTAATTATAGTTATTCTTTCAACTACTTTGTGCTTTGTATTATGAAACTTAATTCTATCTTATGTGCTAATGAAACAAGGAAAAATTGTGTTTTTATTTCATACATGTGTGTATTGATATTTCAAATGGTGCGATATAAGATATCCAGTGGATTAAGAATATATATTAAGTATAATATTTTTTAACATAAATTGGGTATGAACAAAAATTAACAATTTCTTGAAAACTAATAGTAATTAAATATTCTAATTTTAAAATAACAATAAGTATTGAAATTCAATCAATCTAAAATATAACAACAAAAATCCTGCTATTGTAAATTTCATAATTTGCAACGAAATACGTATATGTTCCTTTGATTGTAGTTTTCCTTTGTCTCTCTTGTCGTGAATAATTAAAAAATATTATACGACATTGTTTTGATCTGAAATAAGTATACTTGTTGTTTGTACATAAAAGTGATAACATTTTATTTTAAACTCTTAATTAATATGCTGTTACGGGCCAACAAATACATGAGTTTATTATAATTCTCTTTATTTTTATTTGTACAAATCTTAAAAGGCAGATCTCTGTAGCTAAATATTAGTTATTATGTAACTAAAATGTATATAGTGGTGCTATAATGGGTAAGATTAAGCGATAAGAAAGAAAAACGCATAGAATCAAAAATAGCTAATAATGAAGAAGAGTGAATAATATTAGCATGACTTTGATACTATGTCTTAAAATGTGATAACGTGTGTTCTTGGTCTGTTTTATTGAATTACCCAGGAAAGAATAACGTACAAGCTTTGATATTTTATATTATAACTTTATCTTTTTTATTAATTCAAATTCTGTAGGGCATTTTATGTGAAGTTTTTAGATTATATTGTTAGCAGGCATATCTATAACAGAATAGTTTCAAAACCCAAATTATTTACATAGAATTTAAAAAATTGTGTATAAATTTGTGTTTACTGCCAGACTTATTTTATTAAAGACTATATAAAGATCTACAAACTTCCTAAATAAAATGATAAATATACCTAATTCTTCTATATTAGTAAACAAGTTGTATCAAAATATCAATTTGCGCATATTTTTAGAATATATAATTTTCAGAATAAAAGACAGACGTTTGTCAACAACTTGTTACTAAAGAATACAATGTTATATTCTCAGGGCTTTAAGTTTTAAGTATTTTCTAATGTGTTACCGTTGCGATGAATATAACATTCAATTCTCTTAAATTTTATCGAACATATTGAAATCTTAGGTCTTATGTGGCGAGCTTACCACAACCTCTGTTCAATTAGGTATGTTTACCATATTTTTCTGTTTCCAGAGTATTAAAAAAAAATTACTACATATACCTCTTTATCTATGGTTCTATAGAACTTAAGTCATTGTGCTAGTGGTATAAAACCCTATTTTTCTGATGTTATTGAATTTTACATTATGTGATGTCTTAGGTGTATTATCAGAAGGTCTGAACAAGTGACCAGGTATTAAAATATAAAAGATTTGTTTTATGTATTTTCTTGTAAATATTATATATTAATGATTTTGTAACCCGGTGTTCCTGACACAATGTAAAAATTGTGTTATCTAAACACCCAACAAAATTTTTATTTTATTTTTTATACTTAATCAAATTTAAATTAATTAAAAATTAATCTATTGTTTACTGATAATTGGATGAAAAATTAAAAGCAGTTACATTTTCCAAGGATTTAACAAAAAATATACATACACACTGATTAATTTACCACATGTTAAGGCCTTCTGGACAGCTCTGCTAATATGTATAAGTTAATTTGTAATTTTGTATGAATTTATATGTTTCTGCAACAAAAATATGTCACAAATATATGACATACGGGGCGTCAATTATGTATAGATGATGTATTTCTCTCCAATGCTCAAATATGCATTTCTGTATACTTATTAATTTTGTATTACAATTTTTCATTATTCATATTTTTTATAACCATAGTCATTTTAATGGGATTGTTGTATTTCTATATTATATACTTTATTACGTATTTCAAATGTAAACCATGATTTGATAAAAACTTTATATTTTTATCATTATTCAACGATATTGTTAATTGAATAGATATATCATTTCATACACTAGAGGTTTGATAACAGACTACAGCTTTATAATTTTTGTCAAATGACTAGTGTAAATCAAGTTTTATGCAATATCGATTATAATATTTTTAGATAATTTAGTTAATATTATTATGAATGATAAATGTATTGATTTTTCTTATAATATGTACTTTCATTTCCAATTATTCCTTATGAAAAAAAAAATATATATATATATATATATATATATATATATATATATATATATATATATATATATATATATATATATATATATATATATATATTTGTTATCGAGTCAGATATCGACCTGAGTTCTTAAAAGGTCATCATTTATTTCGATATTGAACACCGGGTCTCATATTTATATATTGGGTTACAAACCTGAAAAGATCAATACCTATTTCGATTTCGCCCGCATTTGGTCCGCGTCTCTTACATCTAACATTACATTATCCCTCCCGCCCCCGAATCTTGCTCCCCAGATCCTATCGACCTCCAACGCAATTCGATACTGGCCACGGCTAACGATTAATTTTGAATAGTGAACGAAGAAATTAAACTTTTGAATTGTGTATGTTATAAAAAGACTCACCAGGTACTTTTTGTATACTAAATTCTTTGCCAAGTACAATAAGTAGTTATTATTCTTTGGTAAACCATCCATAAAGGATCATATAAGTAATTTGACATGTCATATTACAAAACACCCTTCCAGGTCGACCTCCACGTGGTTCCCCCTGGAAACTATCTTGATTAATTCTAATGAAATTCGCTAACGGACCTGCTTCCATCATCATCCCTCATTGGTGCTTCGCCAGCGTATACCTATAGCAAAGATTTCGAAATAAAATAGATGGAATACGTAATTCCCTGTGTTGCTCGTTGTATTTATGACATTGCCAATACGTTAGAGAGAGATAGACCTTTAAAAACCTAAAAACAAGGAATTACATAGAAGGAATGATAAAAAAAAGCTGTGAATCGTATGGTTGCCTCCTTTCTTATGCAAATATAGCTAGTAAAAAGAGCACGAAAGACATCATCAGTCGCTATTTTTCTCCATTCATAGCAATCTATAATTATGTTTGCATAAGAAAAAAGGAGGCGACCGTATGATCTAAAATTTTTATTTTATTATGCCTGCTTTATAATTCCTTGTTCATAAACCAGGCGGGACTATAGGTTTAAGAACATAGCTATACCATTTCATTGTCACCCATTAAAAAAAACTATATTCAGCAGTGGGCAGTTAACGGCTGGTATGGATGAATAGATAATTGTCACATATATCCATGCTATCACTTATTCCAAAAAAATAAATTTATCGGCACAGTTTTTTTTTATTCTATACCAATTTTTTTTCTTTTGATTCTATACCATTGTTAAACAATTTGGTAATAACTATGGCAACACAAAAAATTAAACATTCTGTTCCCAAATCTTTGAACTGTTCGCAACTGGAGGATCTGTATCCATGATCAAGAATAAATAAAAAAAAATGTAACTGACACTGACATAACAACAACGTCAAATTCCAGTCAACAAGGAATTTGAATTCAACGTTTTTTTACGAACTTCGACTATTCATTTTGTTCGTTATTTTATTCCAAAAAATATATTACTCTTCTTCGTTATTATATTAATACAGCTTTATTTAATAAGAGAGTGCGTGCGGTGTACTGTATTATAATGGCCCAGTTCAATTATTTGAACGAGCTGAACAGTCTAGCCACTATTGATGGTCCCTTAACGAGAGGGCCTTTACAGCGATGGGCGAAAAAGACTAACAATGAAAATCATAATCCTTCATTTAGTGCATCATTTAAAAATATGTCTAATGCAAATATCAGTGCTTGCAATCAGTCGATGCAGAAGCTGTCTATATCGTCAAACCAGAGTTGCAACAATAGTGTGTTGACCAGCAGCAAAACCCCCACACGAAATGATATAAAAAAGGGAAAGAAAACGCCATCAAAAAACAAATCACCAGGTAAAATACCAAGCATTTTACCTTGTGTGTGGTTAGCGCAATTAGTAATTTCAACATCTCTTATTAAATTTAGTTAATCCTTATTATCTTATTAATTAAATTTGTAAGCGAATTTCTTTCTGTTTATCTTCATTTGTGGTCTTGTATTGAATTTATTTAATCCTATGTTCATTAAATATGAAAGTAAGACTATGCGAGATGGTAATGGTAATGATGGACTTTTATCCCAGTCTCTCAACATAGTCAAACATATGTAGTTGTAAGTAAACACTATTTAAAAATAGGATAAACAAAAAAGTAACAATTTGCAATTATATATAACCAAATAATACAATTCAACTTATTTTATATTTTGTTATTTCATTTAAAATACATGCCAAACTGTTCATTAATTATTCCAAGTAATTTATACATTATATTACAAATATTTAAAAATAAAAATGTTATAACAGGTCGATCTACAACACCCACTCCAAATAAAGCATCCAAGACGCCAAATAAAGCAGACAGATTTATACCATCTAGAAGTAATTCAAATTATGACTTGTGCCATTACATGGTGAGTTCTTTATGAAACAAACAGGTACTGTTATATTAAATAAAAACTATATTGCATTCACTTCACTTATGATTCAAAGTGATTTTATGTAATAAAACTATTGTATGTCTCTGATAAGATGACATAAAAAGAATATTAAAAAAGTTAGTAGGGGCTAAAAAAAAAGATTGTCCTTAATAGAGCAGGTTTATGTTTAAGGACACAATGGAAATAAACTATGTAAAATTCTACAGTAAAATTTTTAAAAATATTTAATCTATTTTTATAGTTACAAATTAAGAATAATATTATTTGACACTAAGACAAATTCACTAATATATTTTTTTGTATTACATGTATTTAATGTCACACCCCCCTCGATAGTACTATTTCATTGGCTTGTAAATAGCATTAAATTAGTAAATTGCCTAATTGGCAGATGAGCCGTGAAGAAGACAAAGGTGAAGAGGTGGTCGCCCAAAAGGCTGCTGGAGAAGCCATTGGTCGAGCACTTACAGATACGGAGCCTGGTAGACTTCTACAGTACACCTGCAAAGCACCTGCCGCTCCTGAAGGTTATCAAAACAGACTAAGGGTTGTGTATTCACAGGTAATTAGTACTAACTGCTATGTGCTCTCTAATTATAATTTGAAGTGATGAGTTTAAATTAATAATAATCTAATATTTGTTTTTAAAATCCATCACTTTAATAGAAACTAGAGTCCAACCTAAAGTGGTTTTACAGCCAAAACCAAAACTGAACTTTCTGCCTTGGTCTATTTCGGCCGAAACCAAAACTTACTGAAACATATTTAAAATTTCTCTTCTATACTGAAATCTAGTGTGTTTTTTACATAATTATTTACACAAACACAGAGAGTTAAAGGGTTATAATAAACACTAATTAAAGTATGTAACAAATGTATCATATATATATATATATGTAAAAACATTTTAAAATTATGACATACTCTTGGAAGTAAACTTAAAAAAAAACAACTTTCAGTTAGATACACACAACACCAATACACACAAAGTTTCGGCGGGGTCGAAAGTTTCGTCTAATTTTTGGCCAAAAGTAGAATTTCTGGCTAAAACTAAAACCGAAAGTTCAGTAGGATACTAATAGAAACTACTAATTTTAACATTTTACATTGCATTTAAAAACTAGATATAACACATTTACTAATAATGTCTTTGGAATTTTTCTAGAGTGATTTTTTTTTGACGATTTTTATAGATTATTATAAATCATGGCTCATCCTTGAACACCCATAACAATACCTCTGATGTTACAGATGTCCATAAGCTAGGCATTGCTAGTGACTGATGATAAACATTCACTACTGTAATGCTTCTGTTTGCTTTATTTGCCATCATTCATATTTAAATCAGATGGGCTTTTTTGCTACTTCAGTGGTATCAAAAATCATATTAAAAAATATAATAAATTTTAATTATTATTAATTTAGTTATTTTATAATTATAATTGTAATTTTACTAAGCTAAAAAAATTTTTTTTACAAGGAATAATATTATAGACATCATTTATATTACACAATTTAACAGGCCAAAGTACCATCATCAGTGAAGAATACAACCAGATACATACCACAAGCTCCTGATAGAATTCTTGATGCACCGGATATTCTAGATGACTACTGTAAGTTTTAAAAATTATTAATAAATATATATATAAATATTCTCATTACGAAAATTGTAGTAATAGTTTACTATCAAAGTACTTTTTAAAGAAAGTTCAATTGTTTTTTTATTATTATAATTTGTGTTGCCACACTTCATTAAGCCTTAATATGATGATTGATATTCCTCTTACAGATCTCAACTTAGTTGACTGGAGTGCATCAAATATTCTAGCAGTAGCTTTGAACAATGCTGTATATTTATGGAATGCTGCAACAGGACAAATAGAGCAGCTACTATCTCTCGAAGGCTCAGAGACTGTGTGCTCTGTGTCGTGGGTGCAAGGTGGTGGTTCACATCTGGCTGTTGGCACCTCATCAGCGACCGTAGAATTATGGGATTGTGAAAGAATTAAAAGACTAAGGGTGTGTATTATTGACTACATATTGTTTATGTTTAGACCATAATATATTTGATAAATAGTTATCCTATTAGCAATAAATGTAAATACAGGTATAATTTTATACATTTATATACTAACAAATATCTATACTATTCAAACACTAGATTAATTTTATAATTACATTATTTAACATCTATCAAGATTTCCTCAAATGTCTCCAACTGTTTCTGTTATTTTTCGAATCTGACCTGCCACTATGACACTATATATCCATAAATTATTATAACGTACATCCATTGTGCTGCAGGTTATGGACGGCCATAGTGGGCGCGTTGGATCGCTCGCATGGAACCTGCACGTGGTGTCGAGCGGCGCACGCGACGGGAACATTGTTCACCACGACGTACGACAGCGCGACCATGCTGTTGCCACGTTGCATGCACACACACACGAGGTATGCGCTCTAGTATTCATTTTTGGAAGAATACGAATATTGTACGATTTTACTATAAAACTTACCAATACTGAAATTATAGACCACTGTAATTGTAATTTTTTTTTTAATTTATTAATAATTATTGAAGATATAATTTTAATGACATTTCTGTATCAATTTTCAATTATGTAGTGAAATACTGTGTCTAATCATAAATAAAAATATTTAAATATACTTACATATACATATATTCTGAATGAGCGCTTATAGCCTCTTATAAAAAAAGAATCCCAAATTGCTCTGAAATCGATCAAGTATTCTGGACAAAAGTATATGAGACAATCTGATTATTTTTACGATTCTCCTTTTTTTTGATGGGAGAAAATGGAATGGTTAACCCCGCCTGCGCTATCGGTAGACGCTGGTGAAGCATTAGTGACAAATGATAAAGGAAGATGAAAGTAGTTCAGCGCATCGTGACAAATTTCACAAAAGTTAACCATGATGGTTTCAGATGAGGGCCGCGTGAAGGTCAACCTAATAGGGTATATTGCTAGCAATGGAGCCCTAACACTAACAATCCTTACAACTTATCGACTAATAATTTTTACAGATCTGTGGCTTGAAATGGTCTCCTGATGGGCGATACCTTGCTTCAGGTGGCAATGACAATCTACTAAACATCTGGCCTATTGCTCAAGGACAACACTATACTCAAACACAATATCTGTATTCATTTAAGTAAGTTTAGATACTTATTTAATGATTCATTTTTATATATAGAACTCATTAACTTTTTTGTTGTTAACATTATATTTTGTGTACAATAAAGAATAATGAAGAATAAAGATAATAAAACTCTTCTTGAAAACTAGTGAAAGGTTTAAAATTTTTTAATATTATTTCAGTCAACATTTGGCGGCAGTCAAAGGAATAGCTTGGTGTCCATGGAGTTCAGGCATTTTAGCCTCTGGAGGTGGAACAGCAGACAGAACTATCCGTATTTGGAATGTAAATACCGGAGCTAATCTCAACACTGTAGATACAAAATCTCAGGTACACATGTTAATATAAATATAATATCTATTGTCAAATAAGTTTGGTAAATATATTTTAGAACTTGATTGTGAATTGATGCTAAATTTCAATATTTAAGAAAAAAAGTAAAATAGAACTTTCAATGCCTTGAAATTATATCTTGTTTTATTAAAACACCGAAAGTTCTCGATGTTACATTGTTATCGTGAGTCGAGTTTTATTTATATTATATTGATTATTTACTTATTTAATATAATTGTTAATTTCGATTGAAATTTCGAAAAATATGGAAATTTGTAAGAATTTACCTACATGTATTTGTCAGACTAAAATGTACTTACTAAATTGCAAATCTTTTATTTATCCAGGTCTGTTCAATCTTGTGGAGCACACACTACAAAGAGCTGATCTCGGGTCACGGGTACGCTAACAATCAGCTAGTTATCTGGAAGTATCCGCTAATGAACCGAGTGGCTGAACTGACGGGGCACATAGCGCGGGTACTGCACCTCGCACTATCGCCCGACGGCGTCACCGTATTGTCGGCCGGCGCGGACGAGACGCTGCGGTAAGTTTTTCATTATATATAAATATGAATGATGACCCCTACCTATTCTATTATACTATCAGAGTACTATGATAGATGATTGTTAAGTCTGTTGGCCCATCATAACGAATTTTTTAGAAATTAACGGTTTCCTGACGTGTGGAAAATCTAATGGGGTAATCATCATTGCCATAAGAACCATTAACTGTCCACTGCTGAACATAGGCTTCACCCAAAAGGAGTTTTGCCAGTAGTTGCCACGATTAGCAAGCAAGTTGGCTACCGCAGTTAAGCTTCTGGTGATGTTTTAAGAGGGATGGAGGGAGCTACCCTTTATGCTATGCCTTGATTTTCAATTTCCCTTAGTCACCTCTTACGACACTCACAAGAATGGGTTGGCCCATGCCGATCCCACACGGACATTGGTATAAATACCAAGAGCAGATAGCTAGTATTTTATAAAACAGTTACATGATTCAAATCTCTTAAAAGATATGCAGAGAGAAAACAATAGTTTTATTGTTTTTTAATTAGATAATGTAATTAAAAGAAAATATTTTTATTTACAGACTTTGGAAATGCTTTATGTTGGATCCATCCAAGAAGAAAGAACCCACCGATTCCAAAGCAGCAAAGTCCTTACTAAACATGAACTCCTTAATTAGATAAGTTCGTATTATAGTGCCATAATAAACTCGACTGAACAATCTAATATTATGACTGAAAATTGTGATCAATTAGCTAGTTTAATTGATATACTTTAAACAACTCTACTGTTGCTTTTATATATTTTCCCAATCTATATCTCATGCTACTGTTATTTATTATGCATCGACAATTTCTACACTTTTACTTCTGATCTTAGATAAATATTATTGTATAATTATTTATCTAAGTTCCGACGATTTATTTTTATTTTAAATGCGAATTTATTTGACTTAAGATTTAATATGTTTACGATCGTATTTTTCGAATACATTTTGACAAAAGTATTGAAGTTGAGGTCGTCAAATGTATCGCGATCTTTCTTCTTAAATTTCTATTTTGTCTGTCTATTATGTACTATATTATATCCTTTTTAGTTGTCCCTTCACTTTCAATGCTAAAACATTTAATTACCTCGGCTTCCTTATTTTGTGACCTTTATAGAACTATGTATTGTGCGGCTCACATTTTGTTTTGTGTGTATATTTACTTTAAAAATTTGAATTGATGTTTTGAATTGTTTTGATTGATTATTGTGAATTATCTATTTGCATTAATAAATATATTTAATAAAAAAGTTATTTTTATTTCAACTTATACATACAAAAATATGAAAGTGATAACTACTTGCACTCCTTAACTATTGAACTGTTTTGTGCAATATAAAAGTAATGTTAAATTCTTAATTCCACGCCATTTCAGATGTAATAAAACTAGAAAATGTGTAAAAAAATATTTATTTACTAATATATTTTGTATATTGCAACAAGTGGAATGTAAAAGAAACAAGCAAAATCAAAAAATATGTGCGATCAAATGTGTTTTATAAAAGAATAATAGTAAAACTAATGTGATGTTAAAAAATGGAAGTATTGTGACTAGAACTACAATTCCAAAGAACACAATTTTGAAACACTATAAATGCAACGAAAGGAACTTAGGATAAAAAGCTGCATAACATTTCAGTTTAAATCTAGTTGAACAACCATTGTGTCACTTACATGCTAAGTTCATTGTACTCAACACACAATGTTACTTACAATCTGTATACATCAATATTATAAGCACTTAAAAATTAATACAACTGTATACAAATGATCTTCAAATGTTATTTGTTTTGTCGAAAGCGCGCTGGTTTTTGCCCTAATATATCACCATTATCACGGTCCTATCACAGTTCTATTATGTATACAATTGGCACCTGCTAACAGGCTGCCATTTCAAAACCTTTCTGTCCTTTAAAAAGTACATTTTTATTGAGCGCTTTTACTATTTTCTTTAGCACGGCACGATTTTTCATTACGATATTGTATAAAAGTATATACATTTTATTCGCTTAGTTTTTACATTATTGTCGACGGAAAAAGAGTCCAATTTACAGATCTTGCTTTCTACTTGTATTTTGACAATAAAATCTCGCCTTGCTACGATTTATACAAGCGCTTACTAATCATAATATATAAAATACACACAAGTTTGACATAAGCCTATCTTAAATAGCTTATGTCAAATTGTCGATACCATGCAGTTAGGACTAGGAAAGTCAATCGAGCTGCTATACTATTTTTTTTAAGTAGGAATATAATAGTTTGGTAGAATGAGATTATGAATTAAGTAAAAGCAAACAAAAAGTGCTTGCCCATTGATTTAAACAAAAATGTATTCACACACAAATCGGTATAAAACAATTCCGACCATTCCAAATTTCTGAACGACGTAAAACTATGAGAACACATCTAGTCTATATATTCCATTATAACTACCATTATTTTAAACACCTATTCTGAACGAGTTATTCCTTTTGTGATAAGCTCAGAATTTATTGTATTCACACTTATAGCTAAATAATGTAAAATTCTGTTACGTTATAATATCGTTTAAGATTTAACTACATGGCTCATGAGGAAAATAACAATCAAAATACGGAGTGAAACTACAGAGATTCTCTCGGTTAAAATAAACCCTTATCATTTTCTTAAAACTAAGTAATAATTAAAATCAGTTTAACAAGTCGACATAAGTACAGTCAAATATAGAATTAAATACAATTGGTTTAGAATACTTTTTTTTTTATATTTGATTATAAAATTCTAATCTTTGCTCTTACTTAATTTTATATTTGACTTTACAAAAGCCTAATAATTAAGAACCGGCCAATACAAACTATCAATATAATCAAAATTCAAAGTCTTCTATTACCTATTAATACATGTAATGTTCTGTTACTCGAACAAAGTTATGAATTACATTCGTTGATCTCATGAACTTTATAGTCATTTTGTTTACTTAGTTTAATAAATATTTGAAATATTTATTTTTATTTATTGCACCAATTAAAAATAACTAATACAGTAAATTTTAACGAGATGGAAAAGGAGGTCTGATCGCTAAGCAATCTCTTCCAGACAACCTTTGGGCAAAGGAGAAAAATAATCAATCAGAAACATTAAAAAAATCTTCAATTGTTCCTGAAAATTGATAGACAATTGCGACGTTGCATTACTTTGTCTGAAAAGCTCTTAGGAATAGTACGGTACATCTGAAATAATCAGTAATCTCGATTTTAAACAATTGCCTCCTATTAAAACTTATTGTAAAAAAAAATAATACACTAGAAACAGAAAGACATTTTTTTTGCTCTTTTGTAAAATGCCATATTTTAACTAGCGCAATTTTAGAACTTATTGATATTATGTATGTTAATACGATCAACTAAATACGTCACAACTATATTTATAGTCTTCCTAGACCTAATTTCTTATCCTTATTGTTTTAAAAACAGAAACATCGCCATTGATCTTACATTTTAATAAAACCATTGGTTATTTTTAATAAATTGTGATGCTACATAGGCGGTTTAAAAATCATATCACAGAGGCAAGGCTACGTGTATGTGGAGAGCCCTCGGTATCCAACATGGCCGACATGGCAACCGTATTAGATATGGGTTCCGCTTCACGCACCAACTGTTCGTGGCTGGTCGTCAATGTCACGCCATATTTGAAACTCCTGCGCAAACTAGAGCGAATACTCTTTGCAGAGTCACTCTTTCTGACAAACGATCTCCGAAGGTAGTCACGTGTGAGCGACAGTGAATTCCGAGAGGTCGACGACCTTGGTCTGCTGGTTCTGGAGTCGGTTTCGTCTGTTATAGTGATGGAGGGTGTCGCGAAAACTCCGCTATAATTTGGCGGTTGAGATTCGATTTCCATTCTATCGCGGTCGACCGTCTCGCTTAATGTGATGGGTATTTGTGATGTTTCGTCGGCAGGCGGTTGTTCTGAATTGGATGATGTTATTCTGGTACAAAATAAAAAAATATGTGCTTAATTAATGCAATATGATATTTTAATTTTATTCTAATTAATTCAAAATAATCCTTTTTTTATGTAAGTAACTTGGAACAAACGAGCCAATGACCAACTCGAGAACTAGTAACTGCCACTTATAGACATGAATAGCAAGTTGAACGTTTTAGAACACTTTGTGATACTTCTGGATACCCTAAGTACGTCTTTAACATTAACTAACTTTAACATGGACTCAATTATTAAATGCCTGTGTAGTCACAAAGGTGGAATCAGTCAGGAGTATACTGAAACGTGACTCGAGACAGTTGTTGGGTTTCATGCCAATCATTCCTTTTTGGTCACAGGGAACTTATGCGTTGTAGTAACTCGAAAAAATTAAATCAGAGCCTCTAGAAAGTGACAAGCAAATTCGGATGGAATCAACATCGCTAGCGAGTCCGTGAGTTCGAATGAGTCACCCGGTGTTGCTATCTCAAGAACTCGCTAGCGATGTCGATTCCATCGTCGAATTCGCTTGCCATCTGTCTAGAGACCCAGAGTAGTTTAGGATATGTAATGGGAGAGATTTATGATACTACGAGATAACTATATTTAGAATACCTGCGCAGTCGCCTGAAACTCCGCCGTATAGTGGTGAGCAGCCTGGCGCCAGTAGCGGTGGAGTACGAGGGCGGGGGCGTGTACTTGGGCGGCGGGTCGACGGGCGGCGCGGGGCTGGCGGCGGCGGCGGCGGCGGGCACGGCGCGGGGCAACGACCGCGGCCGCTGTTCGCTCTCCAAGCCCATACGCGGTCGGTACAAGTTTTGTATGCGCTGTGAATTTTTTTTTATACAACTTAGAATGGCAAACAAGCTGACGGCCCACCTGATGGAAAGTGGTAACCGTCGCCTACAGACATGAGCAGTACCATGGACATAACAGAGTATACTGTTTCGATACATATGATATGATACCCCCCATGCGTTGCCATTCCTGAGGACTCAGGTGTTATTCCTCTATACCCAGTAAATTCACGCCATATCCCACCCTTCAAACCGAAATACAGCCATGCAAACACAACTGCTTCACGGTTGAAACACGAATGGGACAGAGGTACCCAAGCAATCGACTTTTGTACAGTCTCCCTCTGGTAATACATAAAATATCATCATAAGCCTTTAACTGTCCACTGCTGAACATAAGCCCCCCCCCCCCGCCGCTAGAAGGTTTTGCCAGTAGTTGCCATGCTTGGCAGGCGGATTAGCAACCGCAGTTAAGCTTTGGAGGTGTTTTAAGAGGGCCGCTGCTGCCTATCCCTCGCCCTCCCTTGGTCACCTCTTATACTGACACCCTTCACCCACACCTCTGACACCCACGCGAAAAAGTGTAGTCTATTCTACGCCAGGACCACGCGGACTATAATTAAAATATACTATTACACTATATCATAGCACGCACTCACGTACTTACAGACTGATAATGCAATAACAGAGAGGGGAAAAAAATATTTTACACTAATATGTACGAAATGTGTAAATCTGTGCATGTTACATTTCTAAATTTAAAATTGAACAAATAACAAATATTCTTACTATTATTTTATTTTATTTTGATTATTATTTTAATTTTAATGTTTGATCATTCGCAACTTTTTCGTTTAAAGCCGTCAACTTTTTTTATCAATTCGTCATAAAATATAAAACATTTGTTTTAACTGAAATTAATCATGACAACGAACTATGCCTACGACTTATGTAGAAAAAAGCAACAGTTAAGTTTCTTGCCCTTTGTTCTCGGCTAAAATTAAATTCCGAATGAAAGGTCGAATCATAAAAAAACACTATTCAAAAATGCTGATACTTAAATTTACTTAAATAAAACTTATTCTTATCTATTTTGTTATAAATTACACACACTTACCAACTCTTCCGTACAATCACTAGTTCCATATTCCTTGAGCAGCAATAAATTGTATATAATTAATTTTTATGTTATGCGTAAATACTAGATTACATTAAAAGCACATATGAGTACGTCGAAATAGACAAACTAGCTTCTTAACTATTAGATACAAAACATAATAAAATTTAAATCTTACATCGAATATGTCGGGTGGCCCTTTGCTCATGTACCGCCAGGTTTGTATGAAGGCCGTGATGGGTATGATTAGTAGAGTACCTTGCTGCATACACACCGCCAATTGACGCGCCCATACCGGCCAGTATCTAAACCAAAATAAAAATGAATATAATAAAATATTTTTATTGACATGTCTATCTGTCTAGGACAACCAATTTTTCAATAGGGGGGGGGGGGGAAGGATTGTTAGTAAAGTGTACTACCAGTTCCCTTGCTAGCAAAATATCCTATATCTATATAACGGTAGCATTGTGACGAATCCCAGGTGTATTTATCGATGGGCTAACTAACCTGCCTTTTAATTTTTACTTGTCATCCCTCATTGGTGCCCCACCAGTGTATACCGTTAGCGTGGGCGGGGTTAACATTCCATTGTTATCCATTAAAAAAAATACTTATTTTTCAATGACGTGAAAAGAAAAAGAAAGTAAAAAAAGAGTGCGGTGAAAATGAGTCTTTTGTTCTTATATTTTGAAACACGCAAAAATAAACACATAAAATAATTGTAGCAAATTGTCAAGATAATTATTTAACAAATAAGTAACAGATCTGTAAAGAGATCCAACACAAATGTTGTCAAGATAGAAGTAGTTTTATTAAGAAAAAACTTGAATTTATGAATAATATTAATGATAAACAAGCAGACAGCCCACTTGATAGTTTAGTAAACAGCTACTATACGCCTATATATTATTTATTCATCTCTTTTTTGTTACCTTATTTGTAGTTACAGAATTTTCTGTAACTGTAATATGGATCAAATATGGCGCTAACTAAAAAGTTAGCGCCATATTTGATCCATATTTTATTGACTACCAAAAGCACAAGTCATTTAAGTGTAATGATCTAATATATAATGTAAGGATACGTACCCAGCAGGCTTCCTCCAAGAGTAAAATTGCCTTTGTTGTCCAATGCGAAAGTCCATGACGCAAATGGCCTGAAATGTTGAAATCCAATTTCAGTTAAACTTCAGATATATCCTACAATGTTTGGGATGTTGAATGTTTAATAGTTAAACCAATACACAAGTAGACCATAAGATAGATAGTAGCTTAGATTAACAATATGTATTAGGATACTTTTTTATAATTTTATACATTATCGATGTCTATATCACAACCCTACAACGCTACATCAACAAAGGTCATTTTTAAATTTGCTCCTCCTTAAATTAGTTAAAAAGTAATTTTGTCTTAAGACTGTAAAAGTATCAAAATTTAATGTATAATTGTCATTATATTATATTATGTAGAATTTTAAACCAATTATTTTGTTATAAAACTTTTTATAGGGAATGTAATGTGAATTGTATTACTTTAGTTGTACCTAAATAAATTTAATTATAATTTACATGAGCAAAGTCACGAAACAAAGCTAGTTACTAATAAAGGTGACTCACGCATAACACAACGGGCAAGACGACGGTCCACGCGAAGCTGAGCAGCGCGGCGAGTGCAGCGGACAGCTTGCGCCGCTCGAGGAACAGCGCCTGCGCGAGCGCATCCGGCGAGTACGGGCGGCCGCGCACCGCGAACAGCGCCACCGCCAGCGCCGCGTGCGCCACGCACTGCCACCACGCGCCCGCCCACACCACGTCCACGAAGTGCACCACCGCCACGCCCGCCTGCCCACCGCCATCACGTTACCACATCTCACACACGTCACACGTGCCTTCACTACATTCAGTTATAAATTTGTTCGGTTCAGACTTTCGACTGTTTTATCTCGATTGTTAACTAAAGTGCAAATATTACTTACTTTAATAAGTCACTCAATACTTAATTTAGATTAAAAATATTTTATTTTAGTGTAAAATTTTGCAATTTGACCAGTCCTGACATAAGACATGATAAATTTCAAAAATTTTACTATTATAATAAAATTCTCTCTAAACAACCTCTGTACTTATTTAAGAAAAAAATTATATATCACGGATTCTAATAACAGCAAAAAAAACTAAAAGCAATTATTTTTGGAATTTTTGCCACTTTGTATGTTTTTTCTGGCATAATACCAGTACTACTGCATCAAATTGAATACAATTTTCACAGTTGTTTCTGAACGTCTAACTTAAAATCTGAAGTGCCTATATAGATTAGTAATGGGTATTTCATAATCTAAGGAACCAATAGTGGTAAATAAATAAATAATTATTCAAAATAATAATCCACTTACATCTGTACTAAGCAAGTAGCCAACAGCAAGTCCAAAAACGCAACTCAAAAATGTGATGGTCGTCTCCCAGACTCGAAGCGCTTTCGCGTTGATAGCCATGATGCCTGTGATCACGCAATGCCATATAGCGAGCTGCTGGGCTATACCGAAAATTATCAGGATGAAGTAGAATATCACCGCCCATACTGGGGATAGCTGCAATATACCAATACCATTATAATTTATTTTTTCAACCAACTTCAGAAAGGAGGCTCTCAATTCGATTGTATTTATGTTTGTGACATCATAACTCCATCAGTTCTAAACCGATATGGATTTTTTTTTTATCTAAAAAAATATATTTACAGGTTTATAATAATAATTTTATCATAATCGGTCAAGTAGTTTAGTTTTTAGAACAAAATAACTGGTTTGGTAGAATTTATTTCTGCTAATTTAAAATTGGGGGGGGGGGAGCGGAGGGATATTGCAAAGCCCTAGTTTTTTAAGACACAAGCTGAGGGCCCACATGCTAAAATGGTAACTGCCAATTTACCTACGAGTAGCCACTTCTGAAAACCAAGTAAATTAATTCGTGACGATGAGGTAACTGATATGATTTCAATTCTTACCTATCATTCTTCACTAATATCTTGTCAGAGTATACTGAAGCGTGAAAAGAATTACCATTGGAATCTTATAAAAAAATCTATAATGACACTTCCAGCAAAACAACCTACAAAAAGTTTCATTGATCTTGACCGACAGTTAAGTTGTACATTTGCCATAATAATACTACTCTGTCTCCCGCGGCTTCGCCCGCGTCTATAAGTATACAAAGTATCCTGTTCTAAATTAGTGTATAACCTATCCAAATACTAAATTTCATTCCAAACCGTTCTCTAGTTTTTGCGTGAAAGAGTAACAAACATGATCAAATGTTCTAAAACTCTGAAACTTTCGCATTTACGATATTATTAGGACGTATTACGCGTCATGGCTTAGTTCCTTGATCTCGTTATACAATGTGCAGTTACTTCCGATTATAAACGACGTTGTGGCCGCGATTATAGTGTATCGAATCGTTTACGCTATTCTGAACATGTATCGCCGATATTACTTACGGACTACTTACTATTGTATAATATGAAATTCGTTTCGAGACGGAAATTATACACCGTTAGTTTTTAACGATAAATATTCAATGCTTTACAATAAGATTGCACGTGTGCCTAATTTTCAACCGTCTTTAAAAGAAGGGCGTTCTCAATTCGTTGTATTTTTTTTTTAAATTTGTTACTTTACAACTCCGTTTGTTATAGCTCCGCTTACAGATTGAGAACATAGAAATTTGATTAAAATCGGTTCAGTAGGTTAGTTTTTAAATTAAAATAGTTTTGCCACAATTAAAGTCGGTTTTTATTTTGTGGTACACAATTTAATCTTTAATGCAATCTAAGCTACAGATTTATATTATATAGCTGAATTAAAGAAATGAAGCGTGCGTGAGATTGTTAAATTGTAATCCGACTTCAAATTTTAATATATCGCCTTCGCTAATAAATATCGATGATTCTTTTTGCAATCATAAAGTTGACGCCTACATTAGTATTATACAACTTTTTCATTACTGAAATCTGTTTTTTTTTTTAATTGTAAATAATTATAATCCTTACTAATATTATAAATGTGAAAGTAAATTTGTTCGTTTGTTATATTTTAACGCCTAACGATTTAACCAATCACCGTGAAATTGGTATACGCGTCCTATATGGAATGGAGAAAAACATAGACCACTTATTAACTCGGTCACGCCGACTAAGTTGCAGGTAAACACTAGTATATTCATATAAAATGGATTTACTCACAATATTAGCCGGCAAGGCCGCAAGTGTGGCCGGCACTATTTGTGTCGCCAACTGTAAAGGTTGCCAACCACTGTACGACCTGGCTGCGTTGCCAGTCCGCCAAACAGTCACACCAACTAAACTGCCATAGTGTCCCATATAACGTGTCGGCGTCGACACTAAATTCCCCGGCATCGGTTCCGATGTGGGCCATAGAAATTGGAATGACTTTAGTGTCTCTAAAATAAAAATAAAATATATGTATAAGACAATGAGAAGTAAAAGGCGAAGATATTATCAAAACAACAAGCTTTTGTTTATATAATAATTTACATAACAATTACGATTGTTACATATTTACATTGTTTGCAGTAATGCCTACTATATTTTACAATAATACATTTTAAATAGTTTCTCATCTCATTTAATAATAAATCTTTTTTCTTTATTACTGAAGGTCGTAACGCGATTTTCAACTTTTATTACACATGTTTGGATCTTGGTGCTGCTTGCTTCTTTCATCGGTGTTGGTACTTACCCTCTCCCATTTATCTTCTTTAGTCGTCGCTTGTCGATCCTCAGCATAATATGACGAGGATCGACAAGCGTTCTTTACATTTTTATTTTACTATTTATATCTAAATTTCGAACGCATAGATCGATTGTGTATTAGGTACGAGTAATATTTGTATTGCATCGATATCAGTACGAGAAAAAAGGTCATCCTCCATTTTGATATTGCCCACATCATTCGAACACCTATATTAATTTCAAACGGATTCTTTATTGCGATATTGTATATTGGATAACCCCAATTTAGTATACCATTTATTGGACCATTTATATATTATAATTACAATATATAGGTATTGCTATATATTATCCCCACATCTATTGTAAATGTACGCCTTTAATGCCCAGATTTAAAACATAACAAACATTTAAAATGCGTTTCTAAATGTGAAAACTGATTTTGATATTGTCCTATTTTTTTAAATATTGGATAGTGTTATAATCTCTTTAGATAATCTTTATAAGTAATAGGAACACTTGCTTAGTAGCAAAATAAAAGTAATAAGTTTTTATTTAACCATATCAATTATACTACTGATCTATTTCTCCGTATCAAGGCATTATTATAAAGATAAGTAACTTTTTAAATAACTCACCAAAACTGCCAGGCACGTAAACATAACCGTTATTCCATAAAATTTGAACACAAATGTTGGCCAAAAACGACCCCAGTAACAACACGGCAAATGTGAACGCTATTATACAGGCACTCTCCTTTTGCAGCACCGCATTGGTCTTCTTCTTTGCATTTTTATGTGATGTTAACTGCATTATACATGGTCCTAAAAGACCCCACGTGAGGAATATCTCTTGAGCTGCAGCAGCCCAACTCTGAAACCGTTGATTACAAGAATGACACAAAGTTACCTCCTCATTGAATAAAATATTAAACCTCTTATAAACCTATTTTATTCATTGGAGTGTTTTGTCTTTTTTTTGCGCTAAATTCTCAATTTCAAAGAAAGAGGCAAAACACTTAAAACTAAAATAGTTTTGAAGGACATTTTAATTTTTATAAATAACTGCTTTAAATGTACTTCAAACCCGTTATTTATAAACCTAAAAATCCATTTAAAAAAAATAATTACAAACAACAATGCATTCGGGAGAGTTTTAGAAAAATGCGTAATTTATTGTTTGAATTTATGATAGAAATAAAATTTCTATCGTAAATTTAAATAAATTTTAAAGGAATTGAAATAGGAGGAAATTCTCAATTCGTTTTGATTTTTGTTTATATATCATTCGATATCTTCACTAATAATAAACTTATTTTGATAAATCTTTTAGCAGTCAATAGCATTTTATGTAGCAAGTTAACCTTCAAATATATAGCAAGTAAAAAGAACTAGACATTTGATTGCGTAATATTATGAAAATCACTAGATAAGTATTATTTAGTTTAGAATGTGCTTTATCTGATACACAGATGCATGTATGCAACATTTTTTATCAGTATAATACAATATCATTTTAGCATTGTTTGGCAAAACTGCGCATACGCATAATTTCTCAATAACTTTTTAATTAGGGTTCCGTATTCGTTTTTTCAACCGATTTCAAAAAGAAGGTTCTTAATTCGATTTTATTTTTTTAGGCACTTTGGTAGTTCTGAACCGATTTGGAAAATTCTTTTTTTATATGAATTTAATTATCAGCACTTAGATTACGAGCTGTTTAATTAATTCATGTTCACGTCAAATCCCTTGTAAAGTAGGCAGAGTTTAATTAATATTTAATTGAATCCATTTAAATACTAATAACTAATAGTTATAATGAATTTTTTATTAACTTTTCCAAACACCTATCTATCTATCCTATTTAAGAGCTGCGCTCTTGTCGGTGGAGCTCTTGCCACTCACTACGATTTTCAGCGAGTCTCTTCACCTCTTGATACGACACGACACCAACTCCTTCCTTGATCTGCCTGATGTAACTATGTCTCGGTCTCCCTCTACCCTTCCTTCCTTCTATCTTACCTTCTATTATATTACACCTATATCAAATAAAATTATACATACATTGCTGTTGATAAAAAATTCACTCCATTCAGTATCCAAGAAAATGCTGGTGACAGAATCGTAAGGTATAAGCGTGAGGAGTTTCGTACACAACACCAGTATACCGCAAATAGGCAGGAATATCAGCATATACACAGCCTGCAAAGTGATATTTTATGAATGAATGAATAAATATACTGTATTTGCATTATACAATATAGGAAATAAGCAAGGCAATTTACAAACACAACGATACAATTGTATAAGTACAGTAAGGCGGTCTTATTGCTGAGAGCAATCTTTTCAAGGCAACCTTAAGGTAAAGAACTAATTATTGTACAAGTAGGTATGATAGTACTGTATAATTAAAAAAGAATTATATGTACATATAGAGTGTTTATTTTCCAAGCGACTTTTAAAACAAGGCGATTTTCAATTTAACTGACTTTTTTGCTACTATATTATGAAATATTCTGTGGTCCCGGCATATTATATAGGTCATCCCTTCCTTTCCCGAGGGTGTCGTACGAGGCGACTAAAGGAGGGCGAGGGATAGGCAGCAGCGTTTCTCTTGAAACATCTCTAAAGCCTAACTGCGGTTGCTAATCCGCCTGATAAGTGTGGCAACAAGGGGTTTGTCAGTACAACCTCCCCACCCCACCCTCGAGGGAGAGGCTTATGTTCAGCAATGTATAGTTAAAAGCTAATATGATGACGATGATGATATTATGTAATTATATAGCAAATTCTGAACCGATTTTCACAATTCTTTTTGTATTCAATAAAGTTTATTTCACTATGATACTGGTTTCATTTTAATTTTGTGACAATTGAAGCTTTAACGAATTAATCACGACGGTTTACTGACAGAATATATTGTTAATAAGCATGCTGCCAGTATTTGATACTATACGTAAGTTTCGTAAACTTAACAACTTTCTCCAAAGAAGACAGTTTAAAAAAATATATGTTTTGAACCTTTCCTACTAAATCATTAGCGTGTTTTTATGATTCATAAAATTATTTTCAAATTTCGATCAACATCTTTCTTTTTTTTTTCGGAATAGTCATGGTTTTTATATTATTGTATATTGACATTTTCTTCTATTGTCTTGTAATAGATACTTTATCTATTAAGAGGCACGTAAACGGTCAAACGGTACAATTCAATACTTATATTTTGCAAATATAACAAAAACAAAGCTGATGCGGTTCCCCCACCCTTGTCTTTATCATAAAAACGGCAATATATGCATGTTTGAATAAGCCGTTCGCCAGTGTAACATACTACATTTTAGGCGACTAGGGAATTTAATAGTCGAAAGATGGGCAGCAGCGTCCATTTTAGAATAGCACCAAAGCCTAACTGCGGTTACCAACCTCCGTTCGAAGCGCGACAACTATTGGCTAAACCCCACAAGGGGAGGCCTATTTATTTTATTCAAAAATTTGAAACTAGAAAATCTTTTTCTGAGTTCAAAATAAATCGAACAAGAAGTATAATATACATACATATGTATATTTAACAAAATGCTAATAAATTAAACTATATAAACAATATTACCTTGCCATAAGATCTGAGTCCTTTGCTGAGCGATACAAACACAATCATCCACACTACCGCCAAATTAAAGGCGACTTGAAATTTTATAGTCCCAAAAGACGTATTGGATAAACCCAAATTTCTTTGTAACACTTCTCCATGAAAATACTGTGGTAACGTTTCTTGTATTTTAAATGTTGCGTTCTTTAAACTGGCATCTGTAAACAATAATGGAACTATAAATTTCATTTTTAACTTTATATCTTTTTTTTTTTAAAGTTTTGCAAGCAGCTTTATATATTCGTAATAAAATATACATCAGATTTTAAGTTTGACCTTTAAGAGCACAACCGCATTCAAAAACTAAATAAACATACCGATAGAATAATAAAACAAATTCAAAACAATATTGTTTTGGCGTCTATTGGTCTTATTAAAATACGTTATATATAATACACAATATTTGTCCATACATCTCCATAGAGATGCGATACAACAAATAGTAATTGATCAAATTGACTTTTGCGTTGACGACCTTCACATCATATTTCCTGTAATTTAGTCATTGTCTGATATAATAGTGAATGCTTAGTAGTAGTAGCTTAGAACAAACGTTCAAATTAGTACCAACATCTTACATACTATCTCACCTTCGAAATTGTATTCATGAGGCAACGCCCATTTGTATTTATCTTCGGACGTTATAAATGAATCTCTGAAGTAAACGAATAACCATGATAGACCAATTATACTATACATTCCAATGACAGCCTGTACAACGAGTAATGCAATACCAACTCCTTGGAATATAGGCGATATCCTCCACATGTCCACTGGTCCCGAAGCTAGTACTTGGCCCATACATAAGTACAACGTAAATAACGGTATTCCAACCAAAAGTGAGAGTATTAAAAACTGTATTACGAAGCTCGCTAAAACAATGACATAACATAATTGACATTTTGAAAATAGAATACGGTTTAATTTTAAAGAGATTGTGATAAAAAAAATTACCTCCAAAATGAACACTGAATATGGCAAACCTAGATATATTGAATATTCCTACAGTACAACTTAGGCACGCCAACATGGCACTCAAACGATGAGGCCATACTCCAAAAGGAGGTTCTTCAGTCTCGTCATTTCTGTAGAAAGCAAACAATGATTAAACTAGATTATACAATATTCATTGCGAATTTATTCCACTGTAATAAAAATGACATAATTAGATGTATGACTCATAATTAAAGAAGATAGGTAATATGATTTTTTATTCTAATATGCTGTGTGCAATATAGGTATGTTCGTACATGAGGGTAATAAATAATAATTGACAATTGCATCTAACTACTACTGACTACTATAAAGAATATTTAAGATATTGCTCTACAAAAAAATAATAACCACTTTAATCATAACAAAGTTCATATAGAACTAATTTTATTAATAAGAAAATTAAATTACAACTTATAAATAATTGATAGTTAAAATTAAATGAATAGTTTACCTCTCTTCAGTGGTACCAGAAGTCGGATTCACAGGGTCTTCGGCGCCCAAGGATTCACTAGAAGAACTAGAAGCACTTGTACTTCTGGCCATACTTCTGATAGTGTTCCGACCAGTCCATTCCCCTGTTGTGACGTCACTCTCCCCTGGCGATGGTAGTGATAAAGCCCGATTCATAAGTAACGTACGACGACCCACAATAAGAGGCCCAGAACTGCCATCACTACTTAAATTCGCTGCAGTTAATTGCAACTGTATTGGGGCACTTGTTGGTCTCATATTAACATGATGTTCTAAAAAAAGAATAACGGGCAGTGTCAGAGATTCACATGGTTGTTCGTTTGATATGGCTGGTAAAACAATAGGGTCCAGTCTTCTCATCGAATTACGTATACCATCGTTGGTAGTATTTGCACGTTCTAGTGACGACACCAAAACTTCTCTCTGACTATCAGATAAATCAGAAAAACTTTTTGACCTGCCCAAATTTGCGAGATTCGCCCTGTCATATATTTCCTCTGTACAAACTTGTTCACATACTAGCCTGGATGGTTGAACACTTGCAACAACTACTTGAGTATTATCATCAATAGAACTCGGCCCCTGATAAGGATCCATTGTGTCAGCTCTTTCACCTATCACTTCTTTAAGCTTACATATCAGATCTTCTTCATCACTATCTAAACTTCTTGTACCATCATCAAGACAAGCCAAAAGAGACTTGTCTAAAACTTCATCTAAGTCATTCAAAATATCCATAAATTGGCAAAGAGCTGTAGCTTGAAATTCATCATCGTTAAAATCACTAGAGGTATGTGATGAAAAATTGGAATCAGACTTATAGCATTCTGGGATGGTTTTTTGAAGATCTTCTTTTAAATCCTCGTCATCAGAAGTTTTCTCAAAATCCTCACTGTCATTGCTATCAAATGTGCTACTTGAAGCATCACTATCGGCACTGCTCCCTGGCAGATCTTCTCTTTGTTCATAACAACCTTCTTTAACCTCTTCCATTTTTATTGCACGGCCTAAGTCATAGCCTGCTCTTTTCGGTATAACCCCTGTAAATTAAATATCCTATTAAAAAATCTTACATTTTCTTCCGACAATACACTTAATAGTCACAATATTTTATTAAAAAATAATAAACTAAATAAATGTAATAAATAAAGAACACACAGTATTTTAAAGACAGAATTTTCCACAACTTGTCCATTCTCTTTGTATGCAAAAAATATTCTGAGTTTAATCTTTACATGTTAATCGCGGGACTAATAAGCCTAATTACTGTAACATGTTGTGAAAAACAAGCCAACATTAACATTGGACTGTTAAATCTGGTTAAGTACTTACAGTCTTACAAGTCCATAACTGTCTTTAAGACTGATAAGGCAACGTGTGACTCAGATTTCTATTTATAAATTATAGAGAATATCATAGCCAAAAGAATTACTGCCTGGATTAAAAAAAGACCTTAGTGAGTTTGAATATGGCCTACACCAATATTTCCCCAACCTTATTTTTTTTTTATCAATATGTATTCTTCTTGTACTGTTTTTAAAACAACTATTCGAACAATTATTTATTTACTCTCAAATACCCACAAAGGGGTGTTATCGCCCACATTGTGAATCTATGGTCTACACCAATACTTCGGGAGTCAATTCAATAATTAAAATTCAATATTTTAAAACAATAGATCTGATCATACCATGTCCCAGTGGAATTAATTCCAATGAGGCATAATATAAACAAATTAACTGTCGCATTCACTATACAGATTGTTTATTCTTAATTTTATATAAATAAAATATAAATGTAATATATATATATATATATATATATATATATATATATATATATATATATATATATATATACACACTAGCTTTTCTCATAATTTCATCTGCATGACCTGAATAAAAAGTAGTCTATATCCTTCTCCGTCCCATAAGTTAATATGTTTATACAAAGTTTCATAGTGATTGGTTAAGGTAGAATAAGATCACAAACAAACTCACTTTTACATTTATAATATTAGTTAGGAGTATTTGTGCATTAAAATTTAAATAAATTAATAAACTTCTGATATTCATTATAAATGCATATATAGCAGACTTCACATCATATAGAATTCACTACCAATATGCCATAGTATACAGAAGCTTGTTTTCTTATAAAACTAAATTATATCTGTGACTTTGATCTGCATCAAATATTTGCTGACATGACAGACCCTATTTTTATTTTCAGGCTGTAAGTCAAGTACCACAAAAATAACTGTACATTTACATTTTATTTACAGCTAATTTGTGCAGTGATAAACAGACAGACTTTATCATTCATAAACATTAGCAAAGACATATTTTTAGAATATTTTGAAATAAAAGACAATAAAGTTATATCTATTTTTTTATATAGTTTTAATCTATTTTTTTTTTTAATTAGTATACATTGAATATTGTATTGAATATAATTTCACAATACAGTATAGATATAAATCTGAATTACTTCACAAGATAAGAGAATAAAACACATTACCCAACTATATTATCTATATTTATATGACTAACAAATATCTGTAAGTTTGTTGGTATGATTTTTTTCAGAGTATACACCTCAATGTGATTAAAAATAATTCTTAATAAATGTATGGTTATAACAGTAAAATAAAAGTATAACCAAGGTTATGTCACTTTTATAAAACAATTTCTAGATATTCATTATATATTTGTTGTTCCTCAAATTTAGAATTTTCTCCTTTTATTTTTATGTTATACTTAGGTATTGAAGTTTTGTAAAAGACTCTTCAGTTAAAAAAAAAAAAACAGATTGAAAAAAATGTTCATGAAGATACTTGTTATTAAAATAAGAAAATAGAAAACAATTGAGATAATATATATTTATTAGATACCAAACTAATGATAGTTTCTTGAACTATTTATAATATATAATTTTTTTACCCTTCCATCCATACTAAAGAATGTTACAAACTATCATTATATCACTATAATCATGGTATTTAATACTACTAAGCATGAATTATAAGTAAATTTAAAGGATCAACACATTGATGATCAGTTGAACATAATTTAAATTAAAAAGCAAACTTTCATAAAAACTTGATCTAGTGGGTACCAGGACATCATAACTTTTAAAATATGAAGCTACATCAACTTGCTACAATAACTTCAGTTTGTAAAAATTAAAGTGTAAAAGTAAGTAAAAGTCTACTTTTCAGTAAACTTCTATGAATAAAATAAATGACTTAAGAATCAAAAATGTATCCTCTACTCAGCATGCTTTTTATGGTGTTAATAATAATCCATCTGTTTTGAGGTTGTGATTCAATAGGTTTTTTACATAGAAATACACGATAAAAAGATAATAAATGAATAACAGAATAACTTTGAAAAAGACAAACACTGGAATATATAATATTGTTGACGAACATTGACGATCACTTATAGAATTGTATGATATCAAACGGAACTTCTTACCTACTTATTAATTATTACTTGTAGATTACTTCATACTTCTATAGATAGTTTTACAAAAGTAGAATTTAAAATTGAGTTCACGTATAGTTAGCACAGCTACCCATTTAATTTATTAACTAGGTGGGTATATTTTGTAAAATTAAATTTTAAACAGTTCAAGAAATAAGACAGTAAATAACTAATTTTTTTATTATGCTCACAGATCAAGCAAAGAGACTGATTTTAGTAGCTAAGCTAATTGACACTGACAAGCGATGAATTAAGTACTCTGCGTAGGAAAGAAGTCTGTCAGTCTGTATGGGCATATATCTAAGACTAAGAACAAGGAATTACATAGAAGGAATGATAAAATAAAAACTGTAAATCATATAGTTGCTTCCTTTCTTCTTATTCAAATATAGTTAGTAAAAATAGGACAAAAGATAGACCATCAGTTGCTATTTTTCTGATGTTAAATGTTATTGAGTAATACAATTGGATTATTTCTCAAAGCAAAATATAGTTATTAATAGGTATTATTAGTAATATAAAATTTTCTTATTCAATTAATAGTTGCATAAATTTTAAAAGAACATTTTTATATGTTTTATAGTATAGATTACAATATAGTTTTTTATAGTATAGATAACGTCTACAAGTACTATTAGGACACAGACTAAGACTAAGAAAACTAAGACTAAGTAACAGGCTAAAGTCCGGCCGCTCAGAGATTGCGTTTTTGATAAATCGTGATCGAATGAGCGATGTAACTTTGAACGTACAATTTAAGGCAAAATTTTAAATACCTTTTATTAACCTTAATAATGACTAATAATATAAAAAAATTAATAATTTTGCCAACGCGGGCACATACCGATGAGCTCTGGAACAGACTTGTGTCTGAAATCGAAACTTCACTCGATAAAGTTTCGATCTGGGGTGAACGCAATCTTGTTCACTTTAACCCTAAGAAGACACAAGTCTGCGCGTTCACCGCAAAAAAGACACCGTTTGTCGTATCTCCTCCTGAAAGTGATTCAGGGCACTTCCCTCGATAATAAGTCGAGTCTGGGGATTCTTGGCGTCGATATATCTAGCGACGTCCAGTTTTGCGGTCATCTGGAGGAAAAAGCTAAGATAGCTTCCAAAAAGTTGGGGGTGCTCAATAGGGTGAGACGGTATTTCACGCCAGAAAACCGCCTGAAACTATATAAAGCTCAAGTGAGGCCACACATGGAATACTGTTCTCACCTGTGGGCAGGAGCGCCACAGTACCAACTCCTTCCATTAGACCGCATTCAAAGTCGGGCAGCTCGAATTATTGACGATCGGCGTCTTACTGTCCGGCTCGACCCACTGAAACTGCGTAGAGATGTTGCATGTCTGTGCATCTTTTACCGAATTTATCATGGGGAGTGCTCTGAAGAATTGTTCGGATTGATACCTACTGCAGATTTTCACCATCGTACAACCCGCCATAAACTAAAATTTCATCCCAACCATCTGGATGAGTGGCGGTCCTCCACCGTGCTTTTTTCAAGGCACTTTCTCCCACGCACAACCACTCTTTGGAATCAACTTCCAGCAGCAGTATTTCCGAACCGATACGACAACATAACCTTCAAGAAAAGAGCATATTCCTTTTTAAAAGGCCGGCAGCACACCTGTAATGCCGTAGGTGTTGTGGGTGACCATGGGCGGCGGTAGTCACTTACCATCAGGTGAGTCGCATGCTCGTGTGCCCCCTGTGCTGTAAAAAAAAAACTTACAATAAACGTATTAATTTTAGGCTAAAATTATTAACAATTATTTAATTAACAAATATAAAAACAATAGTTTTTAAAAGTCTAACCACGTCAGACTACGCTGTTTCAAGGTTATGTCAACTGTTTGTTTTTGTAGTGATGAGACATAGTAACAAGGCAATTGTAATTGAATATTTTTGTATCTTAATATCTGTCGGACGGTATATCGTTAAATAAAACGTTTTAATTTTATATTATAATATATAATATACTTAATACATACTAAATAAAGCTTATAATACGATACAGGTACGCCCAAACAAAACATAAGAAAATGTGTCGTGATATCAATAGAATGAATTTAAACAATTACTTACTACTTTATATTTCTAGTAAAAAATGGCAATTGAAATGAAATAGATGAGCTGGCTCTGGAGTACGGTCATCATGTTCTCACCACCACTGCCAGTACAATGCCATAAAGCTAATCTAGTGATTGAAAAAACTAAAAGAGTATATTTGATGACTTTGATCGCGATATCCGTATTGATACTGTGATTGACAATAATATAATAATACATGTTAGTGAAGATGACAGCGAGTCCTCAAGCGAATTGGAGTCAGATTAAATTTTAATTTAACGTAGTCTTCATTATTTAAGTCTTAAAATATGTATTTCATAATATACACTTTCCAATAAATACAGCATTTTTATTTTCTTCCCCTTCATTACATTCAGAAATTACGATTCAATTTAATTTATTCATCAACAATTTTATTAACATTGTGTTTGAAATGTAATTCCTATAAAAAATAACAAAATATATATTAAATGGAATAAATATGTATATTGAATGCTATAAATAACATTAATAAATATTATTAATGGTTTTTTAGGGTACATCACTAATCATGAGGAATTGACAGGTGTCAGAAACCCAATCTCTGAGCGGCTGAACTTTAGTGTATAGAAAATGTTATACGACCATATAACCCTAGCAAATTCAGATACAACCGGCTTGCATACTTTTTACATAAACTGTGTCGAATATATATCTAGTAATGTAAAATTTGTTATTGTAAAATAATAGACATATCAAACATTTTCTATACACTAGCCTGCTACGAATTAGGAAAAACAGCGATTGATGGTGTATCTTTCGTCCTATTTTTACCAATTATATTTGCATAAGAAGAAAGAAGGCAACCATATGATTTATACTTTTTATTTTATCATTCCTTCTACAACCATTGTGTTGAATACCAGGTATATTCATAACCATGGGCTAACCTAAGAACACCAAAATCTTTGGGGCTATCTGATCTGCCTTTTCATTCTCACCAGTCATCATTCACTGGTGCTTCGCCAGAGTATACTGTTAGCGCTGGCGGGGTTGCCATTTCTTTATCATACATTGACAAAAAAGATCTTTGGTGATCTCTGTATCGTTCCAATTTTAGTATATGTATACTGCCGAAGCAAGTACAACAGCGGTATTGTACAGTTAAAATTTGTAGATATTCACGTATTTGTTTTTATTTTGATGTCAATACTTGAAGCTACAGAGTATTGAATATTTTAAATATGATAATTTTGTCGATCAATCGATTCATACCCAAAATATTTTTTTTTATATATATTCTATTTAAATAAGTGAAATGTTAATAGAAATTGTAAAAGTTTTCTCATTATTTATATATTATTATATCCATACAGCACACTTAATTAAAAATTATTAATTAATTATTATTATGATAAAGAACTAATTGCATTCACTGCAAATTCTTTGTTGTTAAAACTACATCACGACTAATATGATCTAATTGGAAAGAAAGAGATTGTTGGTAATGGAGTCTAGGGCTCCATTGCTCGCGATACTCTTTTAGGTGGACCTCCACGTGGTTCCATCCTGGAAACCATCATGGTTAATTTTTTGCAAATTCGGTGTATATCGATAGCGCGGGCGGGGTTACTATTCTATTATCACCCATTAAAAAAATATGATCTAATTTTCAAATAGTGCCTCAGAATTAACCCCAGATCAATCCTTCTATTGACCGTCTACGAAGCTGTTAGATATATAGAAAACACGCTAATACAAAAATTTTATTTTCATTTTAGTTTTAATTCTATAAGCAACAACAGTAAATTAATTTTAAAGATTCGTAATTTTTATTAAATATTCATATAATAGAGCTATGTTCCTATTTTTTACATCTATTTTACACATTAATTTTATCTTCTATTATTCAAAGCCATTCATTTTTGGATCCAATATTATACAAATAGGTGCCTAGAATCATAATAGTAAGGATGATTACTATGTTGAGAAAAAAATTACATGGGATGAGCGAAACCATTCAATAGGGTCAAAGGTTCTACTAAAAATAACACACCAAACTTTTTACATGTAGGTATAGGGTAAATGAGACAATTGAATATGATCTTAGACATCTTACATTAGAGTCCAATATCGTTTAATTTAGAGCGACTGTGCATAGATAAATCTATGTAAATAATAAATTGTAACGATAAGTCTATCTGCTGTATCTCATTTACGACCAGTTTTATACGGTTCATTTAGTTGCTATATTTTACACAGTTTTTTATTAGGTTTACAATTTATATTTCTAAAGAATTCATAATGATTTTCTTAAAAGGAATTAGCATCAAAATGTATTCAACAAAAAAGGTCAGTAAACCTATTCCTCTTGTAAGCAGGCAGAATCGTAAAGTCAGTCAGTCGAGCATGAACTGTCTTACATGTTAGTTGTGCTTAATAACTTAGATTCGTTACGATACGAAAGGTAATATCTCGCAACAAATATTAACCTACTAACTAGATAGTATTTGTTCTTACATATTTAATATCAAAGTGTTTCTTTTAATTTACAGTTCTTTATCACAATGGCAGCTTATTCTTCCAAGGTATCACTCAATGAAGTGGTAATAGCATCTGCAGTTAGGACTCCTATAGGATCCTTCAGAGGAAGTCTTGCTAGTTTATCAGCTACGGAACTTGGTGCGGTCGCTGTAAAAGGTGCGATTGAAAGAGCCGGCATTCCCAAGGAAGAAATAAAAGAGGTTATTAAATGACTGCCAATATTCATTGATAATTTTTACAAGTAATTGAATAAAAATATTTATGACTTCTAATTATGTAAACTAAATAAGGCTTGAATTTTATTATACATGTCATAAATATCATCATTATCTAGTATCGTGTTATTGATAGTGATAAAAATTCTCGACATACCTTAAAGTGAAATTGCGCGACCTACTGCCCGCCTAGAAAGTTTAACAGTAAAAGTGAAATATTATTTTGCACTAGATTATTACTGGTTTTAAATATTATTATTTTTAAATATTTATATTATGTTTAATGTCTCATACTGTGATGAGCTAAAATTTTATTTGTTCCTTTTAGGTTTATATGGGGAATGTGTGTGGTGCTAACTTAGGCCAAGCACCTGCTAGACAAGCTGTCATATTCGCTGGCCTTCCAAAAAGCACAATATGTACAACTGTCAACAAAGTTTGTGCTTCTGGAATGAAGTCGATAATGCTGGCAGCACAAGGGCTACAAACAGGTGATCAGGACGTAATATTAGCTGGAGGAATGGAATCTATGTCAAATGTACCATTTTATTTGAAGCGAGGTGAAACACCATACGGTGGAGTGCAATTAGTAGATGGCATAGTGTTTGATGGCCTAACTGATGTTTATAACAAGTTTCATATGGGCAACTGTGCTGAAAACACTGCCAAGAAATTAGACATTTCAAGACAACAACAAGATGAATATGCCCTATCTAGCTATAAACGAAGTGCTGCAGCTTATGAGATCAAAGCCTTCGCTGATGAGCTTGTCCCCGTACCTGTTCCACAGAAAAGAGGTGCACCACCGATCATATTTGCAGAGGATGAAGAATACAAAAGAGTCAATTTTGATAAATTTACAAAATTAGCAACCGTATTCCAGAAAGAAAATGGCACTGTAACAGCAGGGAATGCATCTACACTAAATGATGGGGCTGCAGCTTTGGTATTGATGACTGCTCAGGCTGCTCAGAGACTAAATGTTACCCCTATCGCTCGTGTTGTTGGATTTGCTGATGGAGAATGTGACCCAATCGATTTTCCTATTGCTCCTGCAGTAGCAATTCCGAAATTACTGAAAAAGACTGGTGTGAACAAAGATGATGTTGCTCTTTGGGAAATCAATGAAGCCTTTAGTGTTGTGGCAGTTGCTAACCAGAAACTTTTAGATTTGGATCCATCAAAAGTTAATGTACATGGAGGTGCAGTTAGCCTTGGACACCCAATTGGAATGTCTGGTGCTCGAATTGTAGTGCACTTGTGTCATGCTTTGAAAAAAGGAGAAAAAGGTGTTGCCTCAATTTGTAATGGAGGTGGAGGTGCTTCCTCTGTTATGATTGAAAAATTGTAAGTTAATAACAGTCTAACAGTCACTCCCTAGAAGCACTTTGTAATTATTTTACTTGTGCCTTTTTAAATGATTTGCTGTAAACAGTTTTATACAGTATAAACTACAATAATATAATTACATGAATAGGAAGAATAGCTTTAAGTAAAAATGTATTATGACTTTGATTATGAAATTTTATACAGGTGCTGTAAATGTAAATAAATATATGTATTGTTAGGAATGGATTCTATAATAAATCAAAGTTATTTTGTTTGAGAGACTTTATTTTTTTCCAGACCGGACGCTATAGAGGGACGGCCTGTACTGACCTTTTATACAAAAAATCCATGTCCTTTATGTGACATAGTTATGGAAGAGCTAGAGCCATATAAAAATATTATAGAAATTGTTAAAGTTGATATTACTGAAAGAGAGAATTTAAGATGGCTCAGACTATATAGGAATGATATACCAGTATTATTTCTGAATGGAAGATTTTTATGTATGCATAAATTAAATAAAGAATTACTAGACAAAAGGCTTGAACTGATCAAACAAGAAAGTTAAACTTGTTATGTTAATATGGCGTCCATGACCCAAATACGTACAGGTCACATCACATGTCTATACCAAAATTGGAAACTTTTGATAAAGAGCATAGGTATGTAGGTTTCTAAGTAGATAAAGTAAAACGTGTGTGTAGTGCACATAAGATTAATATACCTTAATATTAAGATTATTTATTAAAAGTACTATAAAAAATGTGTCATTTTCTATTTCTTTGCCAATGATTAATCACACACACAAGTTTTTATTAGGAATAATAAATAAACTTTTATTTGTTCTGATTTATATATGAGAAGTACCGTGGGTAACATAGTGCTATAACTGATATATCTGTAACGATATTTTTTTTTTTTTTATTCCAAGTTTTTTAAATGGTAGGGTCGTTTCAGTTAGTGTAAGTCTGATACAAAGGTAAAAAAAAATTCTTTCTATCGAGAGGAAGGTAATATATCCTGTCAGATTGACATTCACACGATCCATCTTGGAAATCATTGAATTCCTAATTTAGTCGCTTCAATGAGTAAATTAAAGCTAACTGAAACTGACATTCTCTTCAATGTATAGGTGCACCCACCTATTCTACCTACTGTTGGAATAGGTGTGTGCACCATTCTATCTTAGGTAGGAATAAGGAAATTACTAGTTATGTATTCTAGCAACCCCATTGCTAGCAATATACTCTGTCAGGTCGACCACCACATGGTTCCTTCTGAAAACCACGGAGATTTATTGAATTCATCACAATGAGCCAACTGGAGGGAAAGAGATTGTTAGTAATGGAGTGAAATAGCCCCATCACTAGCAATATATGTTGTCTGGTCGACCTCCACGTGGTTACCCCTGGAAACTATCGTGGTTAATTCTAGTTGAATTCGTAAGGATGGGCTAACTGACCTGCTTTCATCCTCATCTATTATCTCCCACTGGTGCTCCGCCAATGTATACCGATAGTACAGGCGGGGTTACCATATCATTATCACCCATTAAAAAAAAAGGGGCAAACGGACCAGACTTCATCCTCAACTATCATTCCTCACTGGTGCTCCGTCAACATATATCGATAGCGTGCAAGGTTACCATTTCATTATTATTATACCGACCGCTCCATCTTTATCTATTGAAAAAAATAATATTTCTATTAAAAAAAAATAGTTAAAAATCCAGGAAGAAGAAAAATCTGGAATTTTTACTAGAAAACCCTGAACATCTTTGTCTCTCGTCGTGTTTCATGCATTGGGTACTGAAAACCTATATCTATAAATAGGTAGATTTTGTTGTCGTTAAACTAAGAGGTTTTTTTTAATGGATGATAATATGTCGGAGACATGGGTTCGCTTTCGCACTCACCACACCTCCGACGGCAGCGACCCGCCCCCTGATGGTAAGAGCAGGTCTCCTCTCTCAAGATAGGGTGGATGGCGTGCTCACCCTACCATTCGGGGGATGCGCCGGTATATTAGCACATCCCCCAGGACCATTGGGACAATACCTTCCCACAGGTATCACCCCGGCCCCAGTGGGGAAGGAGGAGGGGCGGAACTGGGCACGCCCCTTCTTCTGCGTCTGACTCGTCTGCGGCTGTTTGACGGCGCGAGAATGGCACTCTTCCGCTCCCTTTCCGCCGCCTCCTTCTGCGACATAATGGCATCGCAGAAGACGAGCATCGCTTCCCACGATCTCTCATTGCTCACCATCCGCCGAACTACGGCGGGCAGCGAGAGATCGCTCCCCACTACCGCGGACAAGACACGACGCTCATCGGCATACGCTGGGCACTCCTCCAGCGTATGCTCCGCCGTGTCCTGGTCCGCTCCAAGAATAGTAACCCTGCCTGTGCTATCGGTATTTACGGGGGGCATCAATTAAGGATAATAGGTAAAGATGTAAAAACAGGCCAGTTGGCTCATAGTAACAAATTAATCTGAAATTAAGTACGATGGTTTCCAGAGGGAACCGGGATAGAGTCGACCTGACAGGATATATTTCTAGCAATTAGGTTGCATATCTCCATTATTAAGAATTTTTCCCCCCTTTTTAGGGAACTGATGAGCTGACAATGTTTTTTAATCATCAGAATATCTAATAGTTTTTTTTTAATGGGTGACAATGGAATGGTAACCCCACCCGTGCTATCGGTATACACCGGCGGGGCACCAGTGAAGGGTGATAGGTGAGGATGAAGCAGGTCAGTTAGCCCATCGTGACGAATTCAACAAGAATTGTTTACGATGGTTTCCAGGGGGAACCACGTGGAGGTCGACCTAATAGAGCATATTGCTAGCAATGGGGCTGTCAAACTCCATTGCTAACAATCCCTTTCCCCCCGAATATCTAATAGTTGCCTATTAGATTTTATACCACATCGAAGGATAATGGGATATAAGCTTATGGTTTGTCTGATGGTATGCAGTAAATGTTGCTTATAGATACACGGTGTACACAAACGCCTACAACCCTAAGGAAGCTTCCTATACATGTAAATTTTTAAGAAATAACGCCATTTTGAAAAACCACATACTGCCATTGCTGTAATTTTTTGTAATTTTTTTTTAAGTGTGAAAATAGAATGGTAACCTTACCTGCACTATCGGTATACCTTTGTGGGGCACTAGTATGAAATGATAAGTGAGGATGAAATAGATCAGCCAACCCATCATGACTAATTCCACTAGAATTAACCACAACGGTTTCCAGGGGGAGCCGCGTGGAGGTCGACCTGATAAGCAATGGACACGTTAGAGCCCATTATTAACAATTCCTTTCCTCTTAGTTTTTTTAAAATTGGCTTTACTTTATTACGATTATTTTTTACGTGACCTTTGAAAAATTTAAGTTAGTAATGGGATCTAACTGACTCCTACACCCTATCAGGTCGACCTCCACGTGGTTCCCCCTGGTAATCATCGTGGTTAATTTTAGTGGAATTTGTCACGATGGACTAACTGACCTGCTTTCATCCTCAACTATCATCCATCACTGGTGCCCCGCTAGCATTTACTGATAACGCAGGCGGGGATACCATTCCATTATCACCTATTAAAAAAAACCTATCGGTTGGTATCTAAATACCAATCAAAGAGTATACAACCGGATACCGGAAACACCCTTAAAAAAAACCCTTCTGCTTTTTAATCGACTTATTTTTAATACGACTTTAAAACAGGAGATTCTGTGTTTGACTGTATATTTTTTATGTAGGTATGTCCACAGATTTCTTTAGTTCATTACTTTTTATTATATCGAACTTCCAAGGAAGCGGACTTTTTTTTCTGATTTAACATGACAACTGACATTGACATGATGTCGTATATCGTTTTCGTTGTGTCGAAAGAAAATAATTAAATTTTATTCCATTTAAAATTTACTCTTCTCTATATAATATGTAAATATTTCTAATACAGTAATTAGAAACATTTAGTGTAAATTAGCGAATGTATTATATTCCATTCATCTCTTTTCTATATCTTATGTGTTTACAATAGATGAACACAATGGACAACTCTGTTCATTACTCCGCTATACAAACATTGGAGGCTGCTGCACAAATGCTTATGGTGAGGCTAAAATGAATATAATTTTACAACATTTTTTACAAATTACTATTTCTATAACCTTGACACCATTTATCAAATATTGATATAACATATTTTATGTAACATGGCCTTTGTTTATGTTTTAGGCACCTCCAAATGTGGTCTCTTCTGAACAGAGACGCCAAGCTGAGAGTGTATTCCTTGAATTTAGAAATACAAAGAATCCCTATGAACTGTGTCGTGACATTTTAGAAAAGTCCTCCTCTGATCAAGTGCGCTTTGAAGCAGCTGGGTTAATAAAATCAGCACTTATCAGGGAGTGGAGTTTATTGTCAGAAAATGATATATCTTCATTAAGAGAGTATCTGTTGAACTATTTATTAAGAAAAGACAGCCCTGCCTTTGTAAGAGAGAAACTTCTACAGGTAATTTTCTTTAGCATAAGTTTACTTCACATATATACATTATTGGGTAAAGTATAAATAAATAAAAATATAAACCAATAAGAAAGAGTGTAATCCAATAACTATAACACCATTCCTCGAACCTTTCTATCTATGTATGAAACTCAATAAATATTATATATATATTTTGGAAATAGAACAATTTCTCAATTCCTTGAATGAAATGAAAAATCATATTCAGACTATTTCCTTTTATTTTTATGGTCTATGTTCAAAGCTTTATTATCACACGGCTTAAATAGCCACATATAATGTGGGTTTGTAGTAGTTTCCTGTATAGTAATATAAATAATGTTGACATTGTAGTATAAATCATAATGAACAAATTTTCTTATATTTTTGTTTCTTATATTTTTCTTATATATATGTATATTATATTATTTATATACACATTTTTTGTCCTTATACTTCTTTTTGCATTTTTTAAAGGGCTTTTACCTTCTTTAGGTATTAATTTAACTCTATCACACCCTGTATTGATTTTTTATATATGTTTTCGTCTTATCTTAAATTTATAATACTAAAGAAGACAACAGTGATATCTTAGACTATTATAGTAACTGTCTTAGTTTCCCTTAGTCTGGGATGCAATTTACTGCATTTTTTAATTAAATTTTGTATTAATTGAAGTAACAGTTTATGAACTCATAAATAAGCCTGTGAAATGAAGGATGTTGTAATATAAAAAATGAATTTCTATATTAATTTCATTAGGCAGCTCTAGTTATTTTTTTAAGATTTTAATTTTTAATCCATTATTAGTGACCATTTTAAATCTTCTTGTCTTTATCCCCTTATATAGGACAATTCATTTAAATATATTTAATTTCAGACAATTGCCATAATAATCAAAAGAGGAAGTATTGATGATGGTGGAAGAGAAAGAAAATCTCTGCTGGGAGAATTAGAAAAGATAATTTTGAGCTCACCAATAAGTCAACAGAAATTGGCATGTTCACTGATTCTGGCAATAATGCAAGAATATGCCATTACTGTTAAATCAGCTGATGTTGGACTGATATGGGAAGTCCATTTTCGATTGAAAAAGTCATTTGAGGCTTTAGATTTGAAGAGAATATTTAGGTTTACTGTAGGTGTATTAGAACAGATTGTTCGTTCAGGCCATCGTCCAGAAGGTGAACAAGCATTGTTAACTAAGCAATTGTTGACTATTGTAGAAACAGTATTATGTTGGAGCCATGTATCACCATTGCTCTCAAAACGACTGATAGGAGCCTTTGAAGCTATTTACGAAAGTGACACAGCACCAGCTTTACGTTTGAGTTTAAATTGGAGAGATACAATAATGCAACCTGAACTTTTATCATTGTTCTTTGAGATTCACATGTATGTTAGATCTAATCCAGACTTAGCAAGTCCATCGTTGACTTGCCTTGTACAGTTGGCTAGTTTAAGTGGTGTTGTAGTTTCCGCTAGCAACTTGAAGCAACAATATCTAGAAAATTATGTAAATAGTTTTTTGAATATGATGGTATATATACAACCCGTTGAAAGGGAGATGTTAGGTATATCAGATATCTATAGGAGGTTAATTCAGTTTTTCTCTCCATCCATGATAGCAGCAACCCCTCCTGCTTTTCTTCAAAACCTAACTACTTTAACATGCCTTTGCATCAGAGGAGCAGCTATGGAAGAAAATGTGAGTATTGTTTTTATAAAATTCCACTGCAACTTCTATAGCACATTTTTAAAACTATAAAAAATATAGTACATAATGAAATATATAGTATTTCTTGGAAAATTATTAAAAAGATAGTTGTATGTTTGATACCTAATTATTTTTATAAAATCTATATTTTTTTGCACTTTTTACATCCTTCAACAATTTTTTGTTCAAAAAAAAATATCAAATGTTTACATAATTTTTATATTAGCAAGATATTTGTTTTATTTCTTTTTACTCGCCACTTCGAAATAATAAATTGAAAATATCCTTTCTGTAAAAGCTTACTGAATATACAAATTCAACACTATATAGTACAGCATATACAGTATATTATAGTTCAGTTGACAACCCTAGCTGCAACATCAACTTATTAAAGATACCTGACTTTTACAGACATGTTATTTGTATTTTTTCTTTTTAGATAAATGATGATACAGTTTGGAGAGAAGCTTTAAATAAATTTCTTCACTCCTGGTGCTCTGTAGTCCACGATACAGATGGCTATTCAGCGGAGACATTGCAAAATCCTTGTATAGAAGTATTTAATACTTATTTACATTGCAGATTGTCACCTCCCGATGGTATTAGGTAATAATATGTTTTTGTGTCTTTTGCCAGTATAAACTTCATATTTGTTAAAAGAATGCTAAATTATACTGATGATTGTAACACCGTGGAAAAATGCAAGTGTTTGTCTTTTATAAGTGAGAACAGCTGTTACTTCACATATTATTATTTTTATCCACTTTATAAGTGATATGACTTGATAGTATGTTCTCTTATCATATAGTTTCATTCCTGTTTTTCTAATCGTATACTGTTAATTGAGGTAACATTTATAACTATAATATAGATACTAACTAGCTAACAATCAAATTGTTACAACCAAAATAAATCAGAAAATTTTAACGTTTTATTGTTTTTATATTATTTAAGAGGTCTTGATAACCTTGAAGAAGATGTCAAAGACGAAATGGATGAAGATGATCGAAAACAACATAGTAATATGTTATTAACTATTGGAGCCATCGCCAGGAAAGCACCAGCACATTGTTGTCATGTGCTATTTACACTGCTTCAGGATAGGAGCAAGAGGTATGACTAAGAATTTATATCCTTAGTACAATTTTGGGAAAAAAATCATGAATGTAATAACACTAAATGTAAATTACTCTAATATGATATAATTTAAATATAATTGTGAAACTACAGAGATATCCTTTATCATTTAATTAGATTTATAAAGTTTATTTTTAAGATTCCATGCCAAAATTACTAAAAAGGAAGACTGATTAGGCTTCGATGTCTAAAATTTTGAATTTCACAATTTAAATTATGTAAAGACTGAGGCAGTTGTTACATGGCTTGGGGGGAAATACAAGGTCCTTTCTAAAGTAACTTCTCTCGTGATCACAATGCCATATTTATATGTTGTTATAATAATGCATTTCAAACATTGTTGTGAGATTCTACGTTATTTCTACAGACTCGAAACTCAGTTGCAACTCATGCATATGGGCAAATTACCAATAAGCAGTGGGGGAGAGCTAATCACCTTATTTGAAGATCTCCATTGGATCTTGATGATAACTGGTGAGTACTGTAATATAAATAAAAATTAAATACTGTTTATTGGTAAATGAACAGCATTTAATTTTCATTCATTCGAATAAGGTTTTGTAAAAAAAAAATTGGACAGAATGCTTCAGTCGGTTAGTGACTTCTAAATTATACATATCTACGAGATTTGATCTAAATATTTTGTCGCTTTAGGTAAACAACATTTGCCGCTTTTGATAGAGATACTTTATAAATGTGTATTATACATTGGTGATGAATAGAAAATGAAACGATCCTATTATTTGACAGACTTCCGATGAACGGGGTTACGGGGCGTAATAGTTTAGATAGGCGTGTAATTCCCTTCCTCACTACATTATCTACGCCCCGCCCCTTTCGTTAAGTTTCTCTCAACAATTAAGTCAATCATTTATAAATACAATAAATGGAGAACTTCCTTATTTGTACTGTGGGTGAAAACCATAATAATTACGTTTGATTTAAACTTGGCAACTATTGTATATATCATATCCTGTGTTAAATTAGGATGTGCTTTATCTATCCGCTTCTAGGTGACGTATTAAAATAAATTATATACTAGTTTTTAAATTAGATCTGCAGGAACTGTGAAAACCACATCAAATTTTGTGCAGTTCTTTTTCATGATGCTAGAACAAACGGACAAATCTTTTGAAAATTATCCTTTTTTCTTCTATTGCTCCTATTAAGACACCTTAAATATTTTTTTCTTAAATATCTCCTGTGTACAGATATTATATAGTTATAATTTTATTATATTACTAAGATTTCACGGGTGGACTCTGTAATAGATCTCTTCCACCTCATCTTATGTAGTGAGAGAGGTTCTAATTTATTTATGTATAAAATTTTATTCAAATCTGTATAGACATTTAAGTAAGATCGAACAGTTACAATAGTAGGGGGGGGGGGAAGGGATTGTTAGTAATGGAGACTGAGAATCCCATTGCTAGCAATATACCCAACCAGGTCGACCTCCTCGCGGTTCTCCCTAGAAACTATCATGGTTAATTCCTGATGAATTCATTATGATGGGCTAACTGGCCTGTTTTCGTTATCATCTATCACCCTTCACTGGTGCTCCGCTAGCGTATCCCGTTAGCGCAGGCGGGGTTACCATACCATTTTCACCCAACAAAAAAAAAGTTACAATAGTAGGAAGTAGAATTTATATGTACAAAATGACCTTTAGTCGACAACGTGAATACCTATAACATCTGAATGCAAAAGATAAACAAAAACTTAAGTATACTTACGTACTTATTTATACGTCATATATGTATATTTGTACTTATGAATTTGTGTGCGTAAGAACTGAATATAAATTACTGAATATTAACAAGTTAATACGATAATTCACCGATTTCTAAAACAGGAAGTTATGCGATTCGCTCTAATATAAAATGTACTAAATTGTTAATATATTGTCTTTTCTATTTTTACAGAATTAAATAATCAGAAGTACTTATAAAAACTTATATAAAAATTGCACTGTCTTAGCATAGAGCCCTTCCTTTCCTGGGAGTGTCGTAAGAGGTGACTAAGGCACTTAATGGTAAAGGGATGGGCAGCAGAATCTCTCTTAAAACATTACCAAAAAGCCTAACTGCGCTTGTCCACCCGGCTGCAAAGCGTGGCAACTATTGGCAAAATTCACCTTATGGGGAAGGCTTATGTTCAGCAGTGGACAGTTAACAGCTGTTATGATGACGACCTATATAAACGAATTGGGATGTTTATTTATTTATTTATTTATTTAAGGAACACCAACAGCATATTGCATTATAACAAACATTAAATATAATACAATATTAATGCACATGCCTATTATAGGTATTCACAGCATTCACTTTAACATAATTATACATTGCAAGAAAATCAAGTTACCTCATAAATGATAATTTTTTTTGTTAAAGTAATTAATGTATTTTTAGAACTGTACCTATTAGAATGATATCTCTGTTTAGAACCTTATTAAATCACATAAAGTATAACATACGACATACGAAAATGTCACATACGACTTTACATTTTTATGATAAATCCAAATAGATTTATTTTTATGGATTTCAATCGACATTAAAAAGTATTTATGTTACGCGGTGTCATCTCGAATTGTGAACTGTTTTTTAATGATTATTGTTATTTAAAAAACAAGTTGTTGTTGTTTCTTAGAGATAATTATTCCATTTTATAATTATATAATAGCATTTAGTTGGTATAAATCAACCTGAAATAGGTATAGGTAGGTATAGAACTTTTTTTAAGCATATATCTTTTCAACACCTTTCATACTAATACTCTGTACAAGCTGTATCGATATTGGTATAATAACTGAAATTCCCATTCTATCCCCATTATCCGTTAGGTAATCCGTCAGGTTGTTTACTACTCCATATTACTTAAAATATATTTTAATATTTCGACCTTGTTCCTTTAGGATTTTTTTTTATTTAACTTAGAATGGTAAACAAGCTGACGACCCACCTGATGGAAAGTGGTAACCGTCGCCTATAGACATGAGCAGTACCATAGACATAACAGAGTATACTGTTTCGTCCATGATACTACCCATGCGCTGCCATTCTTGAGGATTTAGGTGTTATTGCTCTGTACCTTCTAAATTCACTGCCATATCCCTTCAAATCGAAACATAGCCATGCAAACATAACTGCTTCACGGTAGAAACACGAATGGGTCAGAGGTGCCCAAACAAACGACTTTTGTATAAAGTCTCCCTCTGAAAATTTATCAGTGTCATACATAATGTTTGGGTTCGTTATACCTGTTCTACTACATCTAGTACTTGGAATAACGATTATTATATTTTCAGGTCATTTTCTAGCTGTGGATTGTACAGAAGGCGAGACTACAATGATACCTGCTGAGATCATATCATATAGTTTGAGAGAGAACGCGAATATCGACGCCTCGCTCAGATATTTAGTTGGCGAGAGCACTAATACTGAAAACGTTGATCCTATTCTCAGGTAGATTCTAGTACGCTCTATGTGTCTACATGATAACCTAAGATATTCAATAAGTATTTTAAATATAGTGTTTACTAGCTATGCTCCGTGGCTTCGCCCGGGTAAAATAGCACATATAGTATCTTAGTACTAAGTTAGGATATTACCTATCTGTGTACACAATTTTATTCAAATCTGTTAGGAGTTTTTGTGTGAAAGAGTAACAAACATTCTTACAAATATCCTCACAAGTTTTCGAATTTATGATTATAATATTATTTATATATATCAATATAATTATATAGTATATATACAGGTATATGTTTACTACCTATTCGTTCCGACATCGCACAGGTGTAAATTTGGCATTGTATGCCAATTGCAAACTTCGAGATGCAAACTTTCCATAAAAATATCAAAATAAGCCAATGAAACTCATCACAAAATTCATTTTGTGTTTTAAAAATAAGTTGAGAAATAGACCGTAATCAAAATTGACCGTCTCAACGTTAAAAACGACTGTCAAAACGTTTATTTTATCTAGATAGGAAAGATTTAAAAAAAATTAACAGGCCATTGCCCTTTCAATAAACACTTATGTACAATAATGTCTGTGGCCCCCACAGACAGTCCTTTATGTCGAGGCTGTTTTGATGCCAAAGAAACGGCTACTCACATAATCCTGAAATGCGTGGCCCCTTACAAATTCTCTTCTGGGCGAAGCTTGGTTGGCTATATTGGCCACGACACACGACTTTGTGCGGAAATGGAAGAACAAATTACATTAATCAATTTTGACAACATTCGTGCTATACTGACTTTATTTGGTCTTTGAAAATTATTTGTGACAACAATATCTGATTGTTTTTTTAACATTTTCATAGATTAATTGGAGAAATTCTGCGCATAAGCGCCTGGGAGTGTGCGGCATTGGAGGCAGGTCTCGGCACCGTCTTCAGTCCAGAACTATCTGCCACTATATCGTGGCTCTTAAAAATTTGGGCGAATTCGTACTTGATGGACCAGTCATCTGTATATTCCGAGGTAAATATAATAATTCAATGATACTTTTTAAATATTGATGTCAAGATTTCTTAAACATCGTTATTTATTTATTTATTCATTAGTACAAATATGTGTACATGGCGGACTTAATGCAAAAAGCATTCTCTCCCAGTCAACCATAGGGAAGTGTCAGAATACTCGAATGCGGTACTTAATTAGTATTGATATACATACATACTAAAATTGAACATATATGAACGAATAAATATATATGAATAACACATATACTTACACATATATGACATATGTTATTGCATTTATTTAATGATTAATAATTTAATTTATTGAATTCTATTATATGTTAGACTAACCACTAACCATATGATATTAGATATGAATATATATATATATATATATATATATATATATATATATATATATATATATATATATTTTATACAACTTAGAATGGCAAACAAGCTGACGGCCCACCTGATGGAAAGTGGTAACCGTCGCCTATAGACATGAGCAGCACCATGAACATAACAGAGCACACCGTTTCGCTCATGATACCCCCCCTGCGTTGCCATTCCTGAGGACTCAGATGTTATTCCTCTGTACCCTGTAAATTCACGCCATATCCCACCCTTCAAACCGAAACACAGCTATGCAAACACAACTGCTTCACGGTTGAAACACGAATGGGACAGAGGTACCCATGCAATCGACTTTTGTACAAAGTCTCCCTCTGGTATATATATATATGTATATGTATTTGTGTATATATATATATATATATATATATATATATATATATATATATATATATATATATATATATATATATATATATATATTCAATAATAACTATTATTTTTTATTCTGTTACAAGTTGGTGAATGTAGATGTTTTAGTATAACCGAATGTACTGAATGACCTTTTTGTCAAATTTGTTTTATATTCTTTTTAAAAGATAATTTCCATCTTACTACAGCAAACAATGACTGTAAATATATTAATGTATGTGCGATTTGTATCTATTTGGGATCAAATATTGTACGATTAGTTTCATTGTCAGTCTATTGCTAGCATCTGTTGATCTAACCCATATTATTATGATAATTGACGACGGTATTGTAGTAGACACGTTGTTTTTCATTCGAGATTCTATATTGTAAAGGGAATCAGAGGTCATATGTTACTTTCTCATTACCATAAGAAAAAGGAAAGGTTTTTCTTTCTGAAAGGTTGGTTGGGTTGCCATTCATCTGATGTTGGTGTTGTCTATTGATGGCAGTTATCGCTTACCATCAAGTGAGCCGCTTGCTTCTTTGCCCCTTAGGTTATAAATAAAAAAAAAAATCTATCGATAAATATGTTTATAGTTTGCTCAGGGCTCATTTTTGTTGTACGGTTTCTCATAATATAAGCAATAATGAATATAATACGACCGTTTGACCTTTAACACGCAATCAATATGCCATAAAACTCATGAATGTACCTGGTACATTCGTGCGTTATTATAACATTAGTGTAGTAGAACTCCCACTATTAGGCAAGTGCCTCTCCCAATTAGAGGAAAGTATAAGTCTATTATTATTACGCTGGGCAGAGCATAGATATAGACTACAGCATTGCTTCTTCAGTTGCCTATTACTAGAACCTTCGCATAAAAATAAATGATGACATATAGTTTTTTTATGCGACTCAGAATGACACACGATCTGACGGCTTACCTGTTGGAAAATGATAACCGTAACCTATAGATATGAGCAGCACCATGGACATTACATTGTATACCATCTCGCCCATGATACCTCTCATGCGTTACCATTTCTAAAGACTAACTTCTTATTCCATTACTGTTGTGATTATTAGCATTTACATACTTACACTGCCGTGTGGTTCCGGTATAGAATGGGCCACCCTTTCCTTTCCTGTGAATGTCGTAAGAGACGATTAGGGTAACTTAATGGTCGAGGGATGGTGAACAGCGTCGCTTTTAACCCTTAAGAGCCTGATTTTTTAAATCAAATAAAAAATATATAAGTGTATCCTTTACTGTGTTTAATAATGGGGAAAAATAGTAAAAAAATCAAAACTATATTTTTATATAATTATTTTGAAAAAAAAAAAACATTTGGTAACATGTAAACAGCCAAATATTAAAATAAAATCGATTGTAGGCGCCCAATGCGATTTATAACTCCAGTATCAAATTTGAAACTTCAGGTATTTAAGGGTTAAAATATCACTAAAGCCTAACCCGTTTACCAAGCGTGGCAACTACTGGCAAAGCCTTCCCTTATGAGGAGGCCTATGTTCAACAGTGTGTTAACTATGTTAACGGCTGATGCGATACATACTTATATAAGAGAATGAAAGTCTGGAAGAGATCGTTCTTAGCGATAGAGCCGCCCATTATTTTCTTAATGTAACATTTTGTGGTATTTGTTTGTATTAAGGTTTAGGTATTAGTAGTAATCTTATGAAGAAAATAATAAAGAGTATCTATCTAAAAAAACTTGTTGTAACAGACATTTTGTTAAGTGTATTATTGCCACAAATGCTATTGATCACTGTTCAAGGTTAAAATATTTCGGTACGTATTGTTTGGTTTGTGTGTTTTACGCTATCGTCATCCAACCTAAGTAGTTATAAAAAATATTATTTTGTTTCAATAATACTACTTACCTACCTGTATGTACCCATTTCTACGACAAAACTTAATGACAAGTTATAGAATACGATCTATTTATATATCAGAGACAGATTGCACAATATTCGTGTTTCTGTCATTAACCAGATGTGCTAGCAAGGCTGTTTCAGTTTGAAGCGTAGGAATGACAACGACCGAGGGTTACCATAGAGGTCATAGTATATTCAATGATATTTATGATCTTTTTCACGTCTATAAGTGACAGTTACCACTTTCCTGTAGGTAGGCGGTCAGCTTGTTTGCTATTCCAAGTTGCTTATCATTTTTAACAAATTGTTTATGACGCCATAAATGTCATGTAGCGATATGAATTACATTCTTTTAAAAATAATAATATACTTTTTACAAGTCGATTTAGATTTGAATTTAAACGTTTTAAATCTAAAAATTATTATTGAAATCAATTCAGAATGTGCGAAGTTGCGTAATACTATAAGCGTAACACCAGTTCTTTAGGAATGGCAACGCGTGAGGAGTACCTTGGGCCGTATAGTATATTCTATGATCTCTATGGTACTGTTTTTGTGTATGTGTGATGCTTATCACTTTCCATCAAGTAAGTCGTTAAAACGAAAAATACGCCTACAAAAGATACAAGCGAATTGAGAATCTCTTCCCTTTGGAAGTATGTATTACACTTACTTATTTACTTGCACTAGTTATAAAAATAATTAATAATAATAATGAACTCTTTATTGCGCACAATAGAGGTGTATACAAAAAGTATTTATACAGAGTGTGCATATACAAAAGGCGGCCTTATCGCTAAAAGTAATCTCTTACAGACAACTTGGCATAAATAGTAGATAAGTACAGAGAGAAAGGTATATGGCGCAAGTTAGACACAGTAAATACAAAAAGTAACCAAACAATATGCATAATATTTTAACAATCATTTATATAAAAATAAGATTACTATATATAAACATACATATATAATATAAATAATAATACATAAACATAATTATATAAATATACTAAATAGATCAAGGTAAATCACACGTTACTTTTAACGAGAAGTGATACAAAAGGCGGCCTTATCGAAATATCTTAAAAATGGTATACCATTCACAGATGTCGGCAGTATTGGAGTGTGCGTTCGGGCCAGGTTCGCGTGGTGCCGCCTGGGCCGTATCGCGATTAGCTGGCCGCGCGGCCACGTGTCTTCGGCATCTGCCTGGCCAACCAACTGCTGCTGACCATGCGGTGCGCCTGCTGGCCATGCTCGCACACCATCACCATAAGTACGTGCATACACTCCAGTTGTTTATAGAGTTGTAACTCCGAATATAAATAAGGCTCTCGAAAGTTTGCTATCGGAGGATTCTCGGATACTTCGGTCATATTGCTACAGTCCTACAATTTGAATAAGCTAATGGTTATAGGCAAAATAGAGGGAAAAAGACCACGCGGACGATCATTTAATCGATGGTCGAACTAAGTAACCGGCGTTACGGGAGTGTCAATTGCAACTGCCCTGCGAGAGGCTGAAGACCGTGCGAAATGGAGTAATATAATATCATAAGAGAGACAACAGACGCCTTTCAAGGATACGACCTTCAGTAATGAAGTAGACGAAGAGAGAGAGAGAGAGAGAGTAATGTTGTATACGGTGTGTGGACACTGCCTACTCAATTCGCACGCAGTGCCCACGCGCCCTTTAGTCACGCTCGCATACAGTTATAAGTACATGGATAATCTTCTGTTGTTTGTTTAATTGTGTACGATATATGTAAAGTATACGTACTCCATACACAACATAACACATCTATAAGTTAATGATTGTGACCTTTCAGAACTAACAGTATCATTTAATCAAAATAATTATAACGATTACGAACTGTCGAATAGTAGTTAAAAATCAAATAATTTATAAATATATAATGTACACGTAAATAACCTGCATATTCTCCGGTGTTGCGGGTGCTCATGGGCGGTAGTAGTCATTTACGTAACGTAAGCCTCATTCCCATGTGGTCCCGGCATAGAATAGGCCACCTCTATCTTTCCCGTGGGTGTCGTAAGAGGCGACTAAGGGAGGGCGAGGGATGAGCTGCAACGTGAGTCTTAAAACATCTCCAAAGCCTAATTGCGTTTGCCAATCCATCTACCAAGGGTAACCTCTATTATAAATAATTTGTTTTTTTTTTGTTTGTCACGTCCACTTGTTTTTATGAATTAATACAGACATTACCACTTTGGTAATTAATTTATTATTTTCAGACACAATCCATTGGCCAGTTGCGAGGAGTTCCTCTCACTGGTGGCTTGGGAGGCATCTGGTAGCAACCTGTCTGGAGAGCTGAGAAAAGAGCTTCATAAGTCATTCGCCATTGCCGCCACGTACGCAGAAGGTACGGAGTAATTTAATATTTTAATCCCGTAGATATGACTCTACCCACATTTAACTATTTTGCACCAAAAGTTTCTTGTACATTGCAAATTTCAATGTTTCGATATTGTATTTCAATATTGTAATGTTTTTTATAAATATTTAAGTCAAAGAAAGTTTTTTAACTATTTACTGAGATACAGGCTCGGCCTAGTTCGATGGTTAGTAGATCTAATTAAATGTATCTAATTTATTATTCAATAAACACAGTTTATTATTATTCTTTGGCATTTATTATTATTTTTAAATATAAACAATTTAGCTGTAAATGCTGCCCTTTTCAGGTGAAGTAAGAAATCGCCTCTTAGCAAGTACTATGGCGTTACAGGAGAAACTGATGAACATAATTAATATGCAGTCAGATACAGAGCCAGTGCGCAATATGCTAGCTGACACTTTAGACTGTTTCATTGGAATAACTGAAGGTGTCCATGAGGTGAATATTGCGTGCTTTTTCTTTCCCTAGTTTAGAAGTCAGATATATTATTATATATAATATATATAATCGTCCTGATATTCAAATTTGAAATTCTAATTTTTTTTTCTACTTTTCTATGTTACATAGGAAAATTATTTTTACATGAGTATATCGAGAATTTATATAATTAATTAATTTTTTGGTTTTATAGTATTTTTATTACCTGTCATTAACTGCAAAATACTAGAAGGAGACATAAAAAGTAGTTTTATGTCTCTCTGTCCATACCTCTGTCTCACCTATATTTGTCGCTAAGCGCTGACATGATGTGTCAGTTTGAAGGATGAGATATGAGCGTATATGACAATAAAATCACTGAGTATATTTTCGTGTCAAAATATTCGAAAATTTATAAGTAAAGCAAGCGTTCCTGCGCTGCGGTATCCGTACACATCTGAATCTATTAGATATTTTTATTTGAAAATGGCATATAGCATTATTACTTTTTTATAAAATTAAATCTGTTTACAGGTGGGGGAAATGGATGAACAATTCTTGATGTTAATTGGTGCCTTAGATAAAATACCCGGAATCATATTTAAATACCACAATTATCCAGGAGTAGTGTTGCCATCGTTAAATTTACTATCTAAAAGCGCAAAACGAATGCTGCATTCAGTACAACCTCAAAATGTTAATAAGTATGTTATTTAATTATTTATTCGATAGATACAAAAAGTTTTTGTTTAGCTATGAATTTAATTAAAATCTAATTAAATTCAAATTTAATATAGGCCAGTTAAATCGTTTATAAAAATGTTTATGTATTTTAATTTTTTGTATGTTGGTAACATCAACTAGGCTAATTTTGCGCAGAATTTAAAAATCTGTTGTTTACTATATGTTGCTCATTAATTATACATTATTTGACATAAAATTACTATTAACTGTTTTGTTCATAAGTACATAATATTTGCAAAAATTTAATTTAATTTCATTGTTTCTGAGAAGTTCAAATTTTTTCTCATGAAAAACAAAAATATTGCCAAATTTTTTTGGTCTTATTTTATTATTACACAGTCTTGGATGTGTTTTAATAGTAATAAGATTTTTACTTAAAGTAAATATTTTTGTATAAAATATATAAGTTGAATACAAAATTCTATATACACAATGTCTGAGAGTAATATTAAAATATGATTATTGCCATTTTAAATAATGATTAGGTTTAATGTGATGACAAAATTGCGAATAAATTGTAACTACATATAAAAAATTATTTCAGGTTTCTAGAAATATGTAACACAACATTTGAAGTGTACATAAGATGGAATTCTGGAAAAATCTCGAGTGTTCCACAAGATGCCGAGGAAGAAGCGTATGAGGTATGGTTGTCCACAACTTTTATATGGGGGGGGGGGGGGAAGGAATTATTAGTAATGGAGACTGAAATTTCCATTGTTAGCAATATACCCAACCAGGTCGACCTACTCGCGGTTCTCCCTGGAAACTATCATGGTTAATTCCTGATGAATTCATCATGATGGGCTAACTGGCCTGATTTCATTTTCATCTATCACCCTTCATTGGTGCTCCGCCAGCGTATTCCGTTAGCGCAGGCCGGGTTGCCATACCATTTTCACCCATCACAAAAAAAAAACTACTTTTATATGTTTACTTGTATTCTGTGGTTTTATCCACGTAAGTCAGTATATAAGGTATTTTATGTACTAGTATAATCTACCCATGTACCAAACTTCATTTAAATCTATTTAGTAGTTTTGGCATGAAAGAGATTCATCTGTCGGGCCTTACAATCTTTCACATTTATAATATTAATAAGATTATTGCATGATAATGCCCATTTTTGGCCATGGATACCCCTATATGAGGAGGATATTGCTCCAAATTTGTACCAGCAGTATTTTATTTGAATTTTGAAAAAGGAAGGACTTTCTTAATTCGCTTTAATTTATGTAAACGTAAAAGTAACGCTATTAATGGAGAAGAGGAGAAGTAGTCGTTTGTCACGGTATGGACATGTGATGTGCAAGGAAGAAGAGAATGTGGTAAGAAAGGTATTAGGTATGAATGTGGATGGTTATAATGCAGAGGAAGACCCAAAAAGAGATGGAAGGATTGTGTGACAGATAACATGGCCAGAAAGGGAATGACTAGTGAAATGACTGCAAATAGAGATAATTGGAAAAAAAAAACATATTATGCGAACCACAAATAGATATGGAAAAGGGCAGGAGAAGAAGAAGATAAAAGTATCAAACAATATATAATATTTAATCACAAACATTATTATTAATTTTATTTCTTATTGCTTTCAGGATATTTGCGCCCTAATGGAATTGATCTGCAGTATAGCGCGGAGTGGGTCCGAGCACGGTGTCGGCGACACTTGTGCCCGGGGACTCCGCATCTTGTTGCCACTAATAACTCCTCCGTTGCTGGCGCTACCTACGTTGGCTCAACACGCTTATAGAATGCTGCGGGATTTAGACTCTGCGGATCAGGTTAGATTTCATTATTTATTTAAAGAACTTTATAATTTGTGTGTATAATATTATCTAATTCAAATAAATTTTAGATTTTTTCCCCATGTGTCATTTTGTAGAGGCTTCATCAATAATCATCTAAAGCAATATATATCTAGTATTATAAGTAAAAATTGCATTGTCTTTAAAAGACAACAATGGGCAGACTTACATTTATAATTTAAAAATAAAATACTGCTCATATGAAACTATCATAAACAAGTAAAGGGTATAATAAATAGATTTTATTTGAGTTTGCGTGCTCAATCTTAGACCATGACAACACTTAACTTTAAGTAAGACTGTAGTCAAACACTTTTTTTTTATACACCTTAGAATGACAAACAAGCTGACGGCCCACCTGTTGGAAAGTGGTAACCGTCGCCTATAGACATGAGCAGTACCATGGACATAACAAAGTATATTGTTTCGCCCATGACACCCCCTATGCGTTGCCATTCCTGAGGACTTAGATGTTATTCCTCGGTACCCTGTAAATTCACGCCATATTCCTTCAATTTTCGCCATATTTCTTCAATCACTTCAAACCGAAACACAGCCATGCAAACACAACTGCTTTACGGTTGAAACATACAAATGTTTTGATTTTCAATTTAAATAAATGTAAATCTAGTTACTGTTGTCTATTGAAAAGAACACACTTTATTTTTAGGTTTGTATTTTAGTAATTCAATAGGTCCACTACCTATTTGTGTGTATAATATTTGAAGTGTATAACTTCCTACTTTATATTATTATGTTAAAGTAAGCCTGTCTCTTTGCTGCTTTTTTTTATAATTGAACTGTTGGTTTGTTGTTTCAGATAACAAATTTACCGATAGAAGATTTTAATATGGTAGTTACAGCGTTACGTGTCGGCCTCACAGCTGTTTCATGTGATGTCTCAACACTATGCTGTGACACCATCGTAGGATTATCGAATAAAGCGCGACAATTAGGCGACGATAATCCATACTCTTTGTCACTATTAACTCTCGCTGAACTCCTACTAATGCTTATTATTAAAATGGAAATACCACCTGATTCTATACCCGCTGCCGGGGCAGCGATATACGCGTTGACATGTGTGAAACCAGCCTTATTAGAAGGGTTGGCAAGACAGTTGATCGAAGCATTCGCGGCGAATGACCCAGCCAATGTACCTAGATTAGAGGAAGCCTTCGGTGTACTCACGAATGGCGTACTTTTCGACGGCCTCAGGCCTCACAAAATAAGATTTCAAGACAATTTCGACAAGTTCCTAGCAAGTGTCCATGGCTTTCTAATTGTAAAGTAATTATATACTTATTTTATGGCATTGGAACTGTCCTGCTATTGTCGGATCCAAGAAGCTCACAAACAAATGGAGATTACTATACTAATATTTTTTTATATTACAATTAATAAAAACCTGGCCCTTGGTGTTGTATTTTACCATGCTTACAATTGGAGCATGAAATAGAAAGAGATGTTAATATCGGTGAGTTGTAGTTTATCTTGTTTACAATCTTTGAGCACAGACAGTTAACTACCTCGCTGACGATTTTATCTGATGTCTTTATATGTAAATCTAGCTATTGCAGTGTCTTGTCCTTTTTCTTTGAACAATATTTTTAATTGTAAAAAAGGGACAAGACACTCAAGAGAAATGAAGTTTCACTTTTTATGAATAAGGTTGTAGTAATTACTGTTGATCTCATAAAAGCACGTTACAACGTGTTTCTTGATGCTCCACTGTATTTTGTCTATTTGTTTCTACCTTGTGAATGTCTCTACCACGCAACCATCTGTTTGCGTCTTAAAGATAAAATTAATTAACTATCTCCATATGTTTCTAAGCTTGTTGATCGAATCACACCAAAAATTTATTTGAAAGACTGATGACGTCTTCAATCTTAATGGAGCTTGTAGACGTTTTGGAAAATATAATCAACTAGTAAGTATTATTAATTTTGTATTATGGAATATCAAAAATTGTGTTTGCACAAAACTGTAGTCGAGGGATGTGTCTACACTACAATTGTAATTTTCATTATACAATTGGTTATGAGATCTTGAAAATAGAAATATCCAAGATTAAAAAAAAAAAGGATATATTGTGTAATGTAATTTTTTATTATCTAGTTACAGTTGACTTAGTATATAATTCTTCAAACACGTAAAAATTCAATAGTTGTACTGTTTAAATAATGAAAAATGATGAACATCTATTATTTATGTTAATGACAACGGAGTACCTGTCAAAGTTTAAAATAAAGATTTTCGGTCATTCATAATATGCTCCTAATTGATATTTTGTAAATATCATTAAATCTATCGGTATGCGCCATCTATCGCGTTGGTCTTTATAGAACTGTCAAATATATTAATTGCAAACATGTTTCTTTTGGGATCGTATTATGAAGCACCGAATTGACAATTTTAAACTATTTCTGGAAGCTAAAATTAATGTGTCGTTTATCATTAATTAATAAAATTAATTTAAAAATACTTAGATATATTTACATGATCAGGCGATTTTTTTTTTTATTAATACAATCGTCTTGAATGTCCTTTATGTGGGCTGTGTAATAAAACACTATTATACTAAAAGAGCTATAGTATTTTAACGTTTCCTTAAGAGATTGTTGCCATGCGATATCGTAATACTAAAATACTATTACAGCGTTCTCGAGTACTATAGACGGTGTCGCCGATTATTATAAACAGAATATCGTTACTGGTTTCAATTTAGAAGCAGAATTAATTTCTGTGCTCTGCGATAATTTGCATTTTATGGACGGCATCGCCAGTATATTATTTTAGTGGTGCGAAGTCGCCACCTCTTAGAGGTGTTTATCACTAAATGTTATGAGCGATTCACATCTTAATTATTGTGGCTTAGTTAAAGGCCTAAAAAATAACAGGGTGCTTCACTCCATTGTCATGACTAGATATCCATAATCTTCCTATAGCAAAATATATTATTTTTAAGTCTGTTATTATGTTTAATTTATGACTAAAATAAAAAAAAAATATATGGGAAATCACTGTAATCGTCCAGCAAAGGTATTTTAGTCCATGATATAAAATTATGTAAAGATGAAACTTATGTTAGAATCTTTTTCGTAATGACTGTATAAATACATACATACAGTAAAAATGAGATATATTCAGTTGATAAATTTTCAATGAAATCGTTTTACGAACGTTTAATGATATCCCATCAAATTTGATCTGTGTTTTAGAAGAATAGGCAATAAACGTATGTAAAAGAACAGTGAACAATATATAATCTCATATAGCTTGCATATATTATTAATTTCTTTATATTGGGACATCTGTTCATATTAGCTTTAAGATTACAGTGATTTTTCAGGATTCTTTTGATATCTGCATAAAAACTGCATAATGGGCATATTAACATTTTTTATGTCACCATTTCACATAGTTGTAGATGAAAAGTATCTTATGTTTACAACGAACTAAAAAACAAACTTATCTTTTATCGCGGTTGTGAATGTAAGAAATGAAGAATCAAAGGATTTATTGTGGTATTAAATATTTCTATAGGTTAAGTGATTAAAAGTACACAGAGTACTTGCAGCTAGTTAGAAGAATTGTGGTTATTATATGTAATTTATTGAGTTTTCAATTGATATCAGAAAAGTGAGTGCACTTGTATAACTAAAACTATGTCTGCAGTGGCAAAATCTAATAAAACAGAAACCAAATAGTTTCATTGCAGAATATAAGTCAACCTTGAGAATATAATAAACAAAACAAAAAAATTTGTGATAAGTAAATTTAAATATTTACTTATCACAAAATGTTAAAAGTCACAACATAACCATAAATATTGAGAGAGGCATTAAAAAGTGTTAAGTGCCTATGTAGATTTCATAATAATTTATAGTTAATCTTTATGAAAGTTTGGACTCTGTATATGACAAACCTGACCTTCTCACTTTCCCTGAGGAGGATTATAGACCCTCTACCAAGAAGTTATCTAGGAGTCTCGCTCTGTTGTCTGTATATGTGTGTGCATACATGCGTGTGTGAGTGTGTATATACGTGGAACAGTTCTTGCACTTTCGCGTATGTAAGAGAGTTATAAACAATTGGCTATTTGGTTACTACTTTTATTACATTTAGCCCCTGTTATAAATTACATCTTATTAAATTTACCTAAAATTATGTCTCATATTTCTTGTTAATAAAATTTCCCTTCCGCTGTTAGATTTGTATGCGCCAATTTTTATAAAACACATTAAAACATGAAAGTAAGTTTAGGCTTAGAAGCCTTCATTGAAATTTATATTTATACATAGCAAATAATAGAGCACATAGAAATAAATATTTATAGAAGAATATAACTTAGTTTATTTTTTGGTATCTGTTATATTACATTTTTAATAGATGCCTAACATAATTTTCGGAATGAATTATGAGCCTTAACGTTTGTGTTATTTCATACTAGTCTTCAAAAATAAGCCTTATTTTTATGTACATAGAGTTGAGAATTTCTTTTCGTTATTTGAAGTTTCTTACCCGAAACTAGTTATTATTTTAAAAGAAAATGTTGTAAATACAACAAAATACTATGTTCAGTTAATATTTTATAAGTGTGTTATGTGAAATAAAAAAATAATCTTGACATACTTCATGTATAAGTTAAAGATATTTTGAGATAGTAATTGTGCTGTAACATCTTGCTACATATAAGTGGTAAACATTTAAATTTATAATTTCAGCCACGTGAAGTGATATCTATTGATTAACATCAGAAAAGTTATTGGTCTTTTTTAATTAAATATTTTTCTTTCAAGGTTTCTTTACTACTACTACCACTGATTTCATAAAATTGAAGTACTTAGTTATTTTTTTATTATAAATGTAGAATAATAAGACTAATTACGTCATAAATGTTTTAAAAAATGTTATTGTAGATTCACAAATATTTGAGATTGGTGAATTTGTGTCAAATATAACAGGTAACGATACAGTACCTAAACATTTCGGAAAAATTAAGTACATAAGGGAAAAATTCTTTAATAATATTGGTTTGGTAATAACTCTGTAATCTTAAAATATGATGTAGGCACATACATTCATTTGTTATTCTTTTATTACTTAATAATAATAAATAAACACATAAGAATAATTTAATACTCATAAATTTATTCAAATAATAGTAGGTACAAATTATTTTGTTTAAAGTGTACTAACAAGTTAATGTATATATTTATCTTATTTCTTTTTATTATTATATTAATACTTATCAATTTTACTGTTTTTATTTTTCTATACCATAGTTATATAAATCTCTCAAAATGTGTATTCATTTGAGTTTATAACAATATCTAAATTGCAAATAAAATAAATAACATGGAATTATCATGTTATGAGTATTGTTAATAATAATAAATATGTGTGGAGGTAAACATAACAGTTTATACTGTTTTTTTTTGTGGATGAAAATGGAATGGTAGCCCCGCCTGTGCTAACGGGATACACTGGCAGAGCACCAGTGAAGGGTGATTGATGAGAATGAAAACAGGCCAGTTAGCCCGTCATGATGAATTCATCAGGCATTAACCATGATAATTTTCAGGGGGAACCATGAGGAGTTCGACCTGGTTGGGTATATTGCTAGCAATGGGATTTTTAGTCTCCATTACTAACAATCTCTTTGACCCAGTTTATACTGTTAGTAATCGAACTACTAATCCCCTTTACTAAAAATAGGTGGGTATACCTATCAATTATTTTATATTTTTGTATTTTTTTTTTGTTTACAAATTATCCATCTGTCAGAGACTTGCGGCAATTGCTAATATGGGTGAGGTCTATATTTTCATAATTATGTTGAGATTTCTATATATACAAATTTTGTTTGAGTGTATCATAGTATCAGGAGGCCTCTAAACTTAAAAGTTTGTTTATGTTGATTTAGTTTTAATATAAAACCAAACAATGGTTTTTAACATAAGAGAATAGAAAATAATATTGACTTCAAATTTGCTTTATTCAAATCTGCTAAAATATTCTCAATATAAAATAACTACATTACGCACCAATAACAGACGTCACTTGTACGTCACAGTAGGTACTTACCCACTCTGATATAGCAAGGATTTTGATATCTAAATGAAAAGAGAATATTGTTAATTTTACTCTATTTAGCGCCAGTATTTCTATATTTGCGTAAACTTCACATATTTACAGAATTAATTATACGAGGGTCAAACTGAAAGTCCTTAGAAAATCAAAAACTGATTAAATTAGCAAGGTAAAAAACCTATATTTTATCTTTTCAAAATAGTGTCCATTCACGTCAATACATCGCTGCATCCGATAGAACCACCGATAAAAGCATTTTGCCCACTTGTCCTTAGGGATCTCTTCGATGGCCTTCTGAAACGTAGCCACAGCTTCCTCGGCGTCTATAAAACGTTTTCCTCGAAGTTTTTCTTTTATTTTCGGAATAAATAAAAATCGCAAGGTGCGAGGTCGGGGCTATAAGGCGGATGACCCAGTAGTTCTACGTCTGAGGTCGCCAAATAATCGGTCGTTTGCCTGGCGGTGTGCGACGAAGCATTGTCGTGGTGAAGGAGGATCCTACAGCGAGGTCGTTTCTTACGCACTTTTTCCAAAACACGTGGCAAACAATTGTTACTGTACCACTCTGCAGTAACTGTTTTTCGATCCTCTAAAACAATCGTCGCGTAATTACCTGTCTTTCTAAAGAACGAGGCCACCATCTTTTTCCCACGCTTCGACCTCTCTTTATTTTAGTTGGCAACTGCTCGGAAGGAAACACCCACTGAGCTGTCTTTTAGTTTCGGGATCATAACAGTAAATCCAGCTTTTGCCTCCTGTAACTATGTCAAACACAGAATTTGGGTGACCTCCGTTAAATCTTTCATGCATTTCACGACATTAATCCACACGACAGAGTTTTTGAGCCTCAGTCAAATTATGAGGTATCCACCGGGCACAAAGCTTCCTGACCATCAAATGTTCATGGAGGATTTTGTGCAGTCATATCAATCTCTAAGCTTGCCTGGATCTGCTAATAGATTACTCTTTTGTCAGTCTCTATCATATGCCGCACAACACTGATGTTACTTTAACACTCATTAAATCAGTTGTAAACAGTGGCACGAGCAGGGGGTTCATGGTGAAAAGCCAATCGTAGTCTATCATAACTTTCTTGTTGACTTAGATGTCATCGAAAGTCATAAAAAAATCATCGCACGAAAATTTTCTCGTGTTAAGTTCATGATAAAGTTAAACAGACTCTTCAATTCAATTTGCCGCCAAATCGTAAAACAAATGACAAACGAATAAATTATATACTCAGTATTATTCGTTAAGAGTTCCATTTTCAAAATTTTAACAATTTTTTTTTATTATATTGCATTCAAAGAGCCAGTTCTAATAATTTTCAGTGTAGCCCTCGTATGTATCTATATATCATGTCTTTTAGGAGGTCGATAAATAAATGGGCAGTGGATTGCTTTTAAAATAATGCTGGCAACGTCATTTGGTGCCAATTGTATATAATAATAATAATTAATAGTATTATAATAAGTACCTACTTTATGAAGTGATTTGTAAATATGTATACAAAAGTAGACGCATTATAAAACTTTGATCACGTTTTCTTTGTAATTCTATCTAAATATTTATCTATTTAAATAAATTGTACAAATTTTATAAATAAAACTTGTTTACTTTTTTAATTTTTTATTGAATAGTATATCGAATTAGGTACAACTTGTGCATTTTGAAATTATTTCAACTTCAAATTATATTAAAAGAAAAAGTCTTAGGTAAGGCTATACTTCTTCCATAGATTAAGAATAATACCTGTTAGACTATCTGTCTACGATAGATTGTGTGACGTCAAATATATCGTTTGTCACAATTGTCACTGTTGCTGTTGTCAAATATTTCTGTCATTGTTAAAAAATGAGTCTACATTTAATTGTTTCTCTTTGGTTTTAATTTTTTTCGTACATTTATAAATTTTGCTATGAAGTTTGGACTTTGAAATTTGTCAATTTATTCACAATTATATATCAATGTATATAATACATTTAAATGGCTCTTTGTTATAATATCGAAGTGTTCAGCATTTTGTTCCATTCTCCACAACTCGTCTAATTAAATGTTTTTGTTTTGTTTACTGACATTTATTATATATTGTTATTAAGTCTTATTGTGAGAAAATGAATGTTTACAAACAAAATTTATCCGCCAACTCCTCAGTAGCATCATCACAAATAAGCAGTTACGAAGATACTGACACAACTAAAATAAAAAATTACGTCAAAGACCTATTAAAATCGCGAATTTTCTTGGGTCGCTATATAGAACGAAGATTGATAGATCAGCATATAGGCTATCGTGATGTCGTTGTAATAAGTGCAGCTGAGACAGAGTTAAAAAGAGATTTATTAGAGGGATTGCAGAAGTTACGTCATGTTTGTAGCACCCACTGGATTGGAATTACAGACAGAGAAATATTGGGACAAGGCTTATCAGGGATTTGCTTGTGGACAGAAATAGAAAATCAACCATTTGGACCTTTCTGGTTTCAAATTAAAACAATAAAATTCAGAGAGCAAGAAGTCATTGTTTTGCTCAAGTGTATAAGGCATATATCTGATGCATTTTTGGAATTAGAGCCTATATTGACAGGTGCTGCAAAGAAACAAAAAGAAATAAATGATAGTGCACCTGAGAACATACCACTCAGTGAAACCTATAAGGAGATTATTGCTAATCTAAAAAATGCTCTTTCAATAAGTAATGTTAAAGAGTTCTTCACATTTCTATTTGCATTTATAATTGCAGTATTTACTGGGAGTACAGCCTTTATTAATTTCCTTGGTAATTTTGTATTAGCATTAATAAGGGAAATGTCTATATTAATCAAAAATTCCACACCAATGTTTTTAGGTATGTTAGATTTTTTTAGTAAGATTGTTGGTGGTTTTTATATATTGTTAGCAATGTTTTTCAAACCAAACAATCCTGTTCCAATAAATAAAAGATATATTGCCAATGATAGACAACAAAGACAAAACTATTATGATAATCAACAATATGATGATAGAAATTTTGATTAAGGGTTAAATGAAGATGTGTTTGTTAATATTTATAAAATATACCAAAGTATGTGTGATCTAAAGTTATCTTCATCAAATCTTTATAAATTTGGATAAATGGTGGTTGGTGTGTTATTATATTTATTCACTTAGAAGGTATATATTTGATAATCTGAAATATGAATTTTTTTTTACATCTGCCATGTATCCTAATAGGTGTAAGGTCCAATATTATTTAATTTGAAGTTTGTAGTTAATAACATTTTTGAAGACATTCCAGATTTACTATTGCATTTCTTTTTATTAAATTTAATATATGCAAGATTAAACACAACCACATAGATAAAGTATATACTTGTTGTCACACACCTGATATAAATGATGTTAACAAAATTTGCAGAATTATTTTGAATTTTGACTATTAGTTTCATTAACACTGACCAGAAACTAGAAAGGTTCAGTAAATGATTAATAAATGTTTTATATATATCAAATATTTGAGGATATTTCATATGCTATTGCTTGTATAGGTTATTTACTGTTCATGATTTATATTTAAAGCTAGGGTGTGAGCAAATACAACTATGCATTAATTAATTAATATTATTTATTAATTTAATTTATAATAATTATATAATAAATAATGAGATTTCAAGATACAAGTAGTCTTGTGGAGTCTGAAAATGTGATTTATTTTGTACTAAGTTAACAGAGCTTGTACATTTGTTTGTAATGTCTATTACATTTTATATAGAAATATTTTTTACAGAAATTATAAAGCTTCTACCATATTTTTGAGTGATTTTATTTTTCTATAGGTACAATAATAACTGAACTCCGTATATCTAAAACAATACATAATATGAGTAGTTAAATATATAAAACAAACTTAAGTTAATGTATTGGCTATGTCATGCAATTTCAAGTAAAAAAAAAAAAAGAATTTTCTAAAAAGTAGGATTAAAGTTTTTAAGTCCTATTGTATAATTGAAGTTACATGAGTTTCAGAAATAGAAAATCCAATAAATTTCTAGATGACATATGAAGATAACATCAAATTGTAATTTGTACTTTTAAAAAACAACTATATATGCAACCAATTTGGTGTAGAAATTTTTATGTGATGTTGGATAAAACAGACGGGCAAACAAAATTTGCAAAAAATATTGTTTTCATATCTATTAGTCTCATTAAGACTCATACTGTAGCGGAGGGAGACTTAAAACAAAAGTAGTTTGCTTGGGCATCTCAGTCCCATTCATGTGTCTACTGTGAAGCAGTTGTGTTTGCATAGCTGTGTTACAGTTTGAAGGGTATGGCAGTGAATTTACAGGGTACAGAGGAATAATATCCCGAGTTCTTAGAAATGGCAACGCATGGGGGGTATCATGGGAGAAATAGTTATATCTATGGCACTGCTCATATTTATAGGCGATGATTACTACTTTCCATCAGGTGCATAAAATGTTTTATTTATCCCCCATGTACAGACATCATCTAGGTACAATTGAATTGTAAGAAAGACTCTGTTTTCCGCACTTAGCCTCTCATTTGGGCCGTTGTGCGTGGTACAATCGAATTATATTAATAGGAACTTGTGAAGTCAGTTTTTATAATTTCTTGAGGCCCATATTGACGCTGGCAGCGCATAACTCATGTTACTTATTGAAATTTGTATGACACAGCAGTGTAGGCATGTTATTATAGTACCTTTGCTGAACTTTCGAGATCTGTTGAGTACACCAGTAGGCTTCCAAGAAGGTACTAAAAATATAGATATTGTAATTAATATTGTTCTACTAGTACTGATAATATTAAGAACACGTCAATTAATTAACACAGATGTAGGCCTTGGGAATGTCTCAAATTCAGAAATCGATTTGGTTTAATTTTTCTTGAAGTTGGAAAATTTAATATTTGGAGGAGTAGGGATTTTGTTAAATAATCACACAGAGAATTTTTACATTTAATGCAGTTAGTGGGCATCGGTTGAAATAATTAGATCCCAAATCAAAATACTAAACAACCAAACCTTTGCGTTTTGACGACTGGCGATGTCTATTAGGGGACAACCCAAGTCCTAATTTGGATTTATTGCTTTTCCTTGTATTTCTCTTTTGGGTAATCTGATTAAATTCATTTTTCATTTTTATCGGCTAAAATATTTTAAAATATTATTGTTATTTTACAATAAAAAAATACAAAATATTACTTAGACATTTTTATTACCTCTGTTGTAGTATCAGTAATTACCATGTCTGCAGGTAATTCTGGTTTCTTTTCTTTTACAAAATTATGGAAAACAATATTATTCAAAATATTCATTACCGTTATGTTCATCTCACTGTTATCATATTCCATAAGCATATTTTTAAATAAGTTTAAAATTACTGGTAAAAAGACTGTTAGTTGTTCTTTCCCATTATCATTTTTACTCAAATTTTGTAACAAGTCCAAATTAATAAAAACCTCATGTAATGTCATGTACTGTCTATATTGTACTAAAGCATTGACAGTTTTATTACCTAAAGCTGAAAATATTATACTATGAGAAGACAACATTAACAGAAGTGCGATTTGATGATTAAGCATTATCTGGATTACCTACACATACCTACAATATTCCAATCAGAGTATCCAATAAGTGATTAAATTAATCAGTGTACATTGGGGTAATCTGTGGTCGTCTACTATTTGTTTGTATTGCAATTTGCTTATATTTACTTCTATATTTATATGGGCTTATATATTGACTTCTAATAAACTTCTTTTGTTTACCTTGATCTACTGGTTTGCAGTAGTATGTTACATTTATATGCTCAGGCAGTGGAGGGTGTAATAAATTCAAGGTAGCATTTAATGTTTCTATTGTGTCATACCCTAATTTAGAAGCCTTTTTCTTTAATACTTTTTTTATATCATTTGTTATTTTTGAACTAAAGTTAAGGTATCTTCGACCTTCCTCTAGATAAGCAAGTTTATATAAAAAACTTGCTGTTAATGCCTGAAAAGTTATAAGTATACAGTATTAAATACAATGTAATCATCCCTTATTTATTAATAATATATTAATATTGAGTAAATTAAATATTTAAAAAAGTTTTTTAATTATTGTGAACAATAGGCTATAAATAAAAATATTAATTGTACACACTTGTGTCATTGTATCTCCATAAATTGAGTATTTGCATGGCCATGATATGCAAATAATAACAATTGAATGATCATCAAAAACATTACACATATCTGCATATGCACATCCTTGAGTTATTTCAACTTTTTCAGTGTGAGTACATTCTTGTAGTCCCTAAATTAAAGACAATTATTATGCAGGTATTTTTTATTGCTTACTGAATTATTCTATTAAATTATTATGTACATATTTACATACTTCATTTAAGAACATTAATGCCTTCTTGGTGTAACACCCATTCATGTATAAAAATTTCTTAAGTATTCTCATATTTTTTATTATTTCTCCCATATTGCTTGTGAAATATTTGGTATCTTCATTGAAATGTATTATGAAGTCATTATATTCGAGTTGATTTAAACAGTGGCATCTTCTTGTCAATCTTTTATAAACAGAACAGTCATCATTTTCATCCTGTAAAACCAAACAATTACTGGTAATAAATATGACCATTGACCCCAACGACCATACCTATTATTCGAGGTAAAGAGAAGCCATACTGAGTACACATACAGTATAGTACAGTACACATACACTCCCTGTCTCTCTCATAAACTTCATCCTTTCAAATAAAACACATATTTGGTTATATATAGAAATTATATGTTTGTTTATACATAACCAAATGTTTATATGTTTATATAACAAATAATTGAATTAAATAGTGAGTGATTAAAATTTCTGGTTGTCATTAGATTTAAGAGATAGTATTTGGTATAGAAGACAGGTTACTATTTGTTCTAGTCAGTCAATACATTACATTCACTAGATAAAGACCTATGCCTTCATCCTTGTGAATATGATGTAGAGGCTATTTACTTAATAATTAGTAAGTAGGTGTAGTACTTCTAACATAAAACAAAACATACTGAATTTGTGGGTGGAATTGATTTCAATATATTTGATAAATTAGGTGTATCATTAGGAATAATACTTTTTAAATCAGTTTTTGATTGTATCTCTTCAAGTAAACATAAAAGTTTTCTTGTACTTTCTTTTAGTTTTAAAATAGAATCCTGTAAAAAATATAAATTGATCATGAAGAGTGAATAAGTTAATCACTTAGTTAATAAGTGAATCACTTAGAATGGTTTAACACACCAATTTGAGATGACAACATGATTCAGGACTATCTTTACACTGCAAGCATTGCTTTTCTTCATTGTTGTTTCCTCCCTTTGTAGATGAGCTAGTAGTTCTCTTTAATGATGGGGGTCTAGATTTTATGCTTGAAATATTTATTTCAGATTGTTTACTTTGGCTTCCTAGAGTCACATCTGCATCTAAAAAATCTCCCAAATTTTTATTTTCAGCAGCTGCTTGTGTTGCCGAGTTTGTTTTAACGTTTTTACTGCTTGAAGTATAGAACAAAGCATCATCTTGTTTATTGTTATTATCCATCTGATAACAAAAAAAATATTCTAATATTTTTATCCTATTCAGACATTTAACTAATATATTCTATAGTTTACACATATATAAATGGACTTATAATCTTTAGAATTGTTTTCATTTCAATTTGTGTTTGGGCATTTTTGAATTTTGTTGCACTTTATTGACATTTGGTTTTGCTTTTGAAGATGACAATGCCATTCGTATAAAAAAAATTACTGTCACTGTCAACTGTTTCATGCTTGCTTCTCAAAGTTGTATAAAGTTATATATATATATATATATATATATATATATATATATATATATATATATATATATATATATATATATATATTACCTTTATGAATATCTATTACGAATAATTTCTGATATACATATATACATTGATGCTACCTCATGATCATTAATACCAAAATCATTCTTGTTTTTTCTTAATATCCTATCTTGTTTCTTGTTTTTAGTGGTGTAAAGGGCAAAATGATACCCTTGCTAAAATAAAAAAATATAACTCAATTCTTATGAAGAAGTAAGCGTTTTAGCTCTCTACCTATCTACGGCATATTATATCTATTAGGTCCGCATACTAAACTATATAAAAATATCGTTAGTAAATTAGATTGATGAAGGGAAAAAGCATTATTATTATTATAATTGAGAGATAGCTAAAAGGTTGTCTGGTTTTATTAGCTGCGACTCAGATATGAAAGGCTTTGTGTGGAAATTAGAGTCTAATTTATATATCTAAAAATATCTAGTACATAATACATAGCTATCATGTTTATTAATATACTATTATTCGGTTTTGATCAATATTGAGATATTGTATCGTATGTCATTATCATCATCATAACTGTAACTATTTATGATGTGCATTCCTTCCCAACTCTAATTCATATTTTTTTTAGTTTTGTTTTGTTTCTATTATATCATTAGCAAAGTTTGGTTAGGTACTTTATTAGATTTCTTTTTAGTTTTTTTATTTGTTATTACAATTACATTATTATTTTAAAACAAGAAAAAGGTTTAAACAGTTTTTGTAATATCTTTTTATAGTGGCTTTTGTACAGTTTTAATGGCTGTAATAAAAGTACATAAATTTGAAGATAGTTTTCATTAATGAAATGAATAAACAACAAAGTAAAAGTAACTATGAGAGTCCATGTGATTCCGATAATGATTGGACTAATTCGTCTAATGATTCTAAATACTCCGACTCTGAAAGGTAACTTTTATGTGTGGACAGTTAAAGTATATTTAATTAATTAATTTAACACATATTGATATAAAAGAGTAGAAGAAAATGTTGACTAGGGAAAACATCTTTTTAAGGGACAATTTTACATCACTACATAGTATAAAACAAAGTCGCTGTCACTGTCTGTCCGTCCCTATGTATGCTTAAATCTTTAAAAGTACGCAACGGATTTTGAAGCGAGTTTTTTTTAATAGATAGAGTGATTCAAAAGGAAGGTTTATATGTATAATACATGCATAATATTGTAGAGAAACACTAATAAATTTAGAGGTTCTTAATGTCATGTTGTAAATAAACACATTTTTTGTGTTTACATTGCAAACACTGGCTGCATTCCATGAGATAAATCAAAATAATGTACTACAGTATTGTAAACATTAAAAAGGTCAATAAAAAATTCTGCGATGGTATATGTCTATTTCTCAAGGATAACCCACAATAACCATTTTTTGTCCTTTACATTTTATGGGAAAATGGCTTATTTACGAAGTGATTTTAAGCAATACAGCATTAGTTTTTATCCAATTAAGTACTTTAAATACATTGTCCATTTAATATAGATCAATATAAACATTTATAGTATGTAATTTAAATGAATATTTCCAAAGATATTACAAATTTAAACTGCAGGGACATAGTGGTGCAGCGGTACCGACCCGGTCGGCGGCCCATGCCTATAAATATTGCGTCGAAGGCTGCACTTTGCCCTATAGCACTTTATCATGTTTGTATTGTCTAATGATAAAAAAAGCTGTAAACTTTGTTTATAAGGACATTCTGTAGTAGGTAGGTATATTTAGTATCAGCATTGCACCTGTGCAAAGCTGGGGCGGGTCCTTAGTAAATTATATGGTTAAAAAATGTATAGTAATCTCTCTCTCTAATCTCTAGAGTTTTAGTCTTGTAACTATTCATTTCTTGATATACAATTTTTTTAGTTCTGTACCGGAATGGGATTCTGATGTTGGTGATGATGGTGAGCTGGTTTATATAAAAATCAAATATAACAACAATGCTATAGAAGATACAAATACCCCACTCTTAGAGAATTGTGAGACATTTAAATTGAGAAATAACTTTAAGAGGTCATCCACAAGACGGTCTACCAAAGGTAATATTTTTTCACAAAATCTATATAAATAAAAACATTATTTAATTAAATGTTTATAATAGTTTTATTAAGGATTTTAGTAAAATAATATTTGGACAGGACAATGTGTAGATGTGGACATTTATGAAGTTAGTGTACATTATGTTCTTACTCTCTTTGTTTTTCCATATAGATGAAAAAAATCTAATTATGGTAATATATTTATATATCATGTTAATAGTTTATCTAAAGATAATAAAAATGAGTATGAATTCAAATCATATTTAATGTGTATAGTTTATTCTTCTATTTCATATTATTGACTAATTTTTAAGTGATAATTCATTATATTTTTTATGTACATTTTATGATTATGTACATTTAAAAATTCTTTTCCCTTTAATATAAACTGAAGTACTTTGTAAAAATTGTCTTATAAATATTATATTATGATTATATTGTTACATTTTTTACTTTCCAGGGAGAATATTTAAGGTTCTAAAAGTACACAAGGCTAAAAATGCAGATAACTCTGGCAAAAAGAAACCAGTTCCACAGTCTGATTCTAGTAAAAAATTGGAAGATGATAAATCTATAGTTATTCAGGTAACATGCCATTGCATGAATTTCATTAATACTATTTATTATAAAAGGTATATTATTACTACATTATAAGCAATAGTAGTACTATTATCGTATGGATACTCCCTACTGCCCTTTGCAATCTAACCTAACCCTCACTCAAATATGCAACAGTGCTCAAATTCTTAATGGACAATCTACTCTTCATTTGCCGTTGATGTCACAGAATGATAGAGGATACAGCATTTAAAAGATGTGAAGAGGATAACTAGTCTTAGCTAGTCTTAATTTTTATCAAAATCTAGAGTTATTTAAAATTTGAAATTAACTATTTTTGTATCACATTAACCTTATAATTTTTTTAAAGACGACAATAGACATAAACATAGACAACTAATAATATCAAATTTATGTAGCCTATCTAATTAAAAATGATCACTATGTATTATAAGTGTGAAGAGTACTCTTTGTCCCTCAGAATATACTATGATATTCAGGCACCACTCATATGTTGCTATTACTGAGAACTAAGGTATTTTTTAATATAAAAATGTATATACTAGTGAACAATAACAGTGTACAAAGATAACAATCTACTAAGAAAATTAAATATTGTTTATAATATATTATAACAAGATATATTTTAATAAGATTTAACAAATTCTGGTTTTAACAGTATTAACAGCCTTTGTAGTTCTAACAGCATGAGGCTGCCCTGATCTTTTCTGGTCTTCAACAGAGGAAGTGTTGTTGTATCTGTTGATAGTACAGTATACAAACATATGGCTGATACCAAGCTTTTAAAGTGTTTGAAATACGACCCACGGTTCTATACCCACTTTGTGCAAGGCAATCACTGTAATACTATTTTCTTTAACACCTCATTCCATATTGTAATTTGATAATGAAAACGAAAAATATGAAATGGTGCGAAATCAAAAGAAGATTTTAAAATAATAAACATGTTCCAAATTCACAATAATTAAAAAGTTTAAAAAAAAGAAAAGTTTTTTGTAACTATTTATAGCCAGACTAGTTATATTACAGTTAGGGAAATTGAAAAATAATTAAATAGTATGCCCATCCCAGCTAAACAAAAATATGGTGTGTTCCCTGTAGAAAATTTTTATATTTCTATAATATTTTTTTTTATCATTGATTAATTAATATTATTAAATTAATAATAACAATATATTTTAATATTTTCAGGTCAGCAAAAATATGATATTTAATAGTGAAAAGAACTGCCAAATAGAGAAGTTGTTTGGATTAAGCTTGGCAACACATCCAAATGGCAAAATATTGGTAGTAGAAGATTTCTTAATAGAAGCATATGCCATATATACTCCGAGAATAAAGAAAGGATATTATTTACAGAAAGTAAATGGAATAGAAGTGAACCCATATAATATTAATAATGTTCTTCAAAGAATTGCTGAAGATCCTTACAACCCTAAATTAACATTCGAGACACCGAAAGATGTTGTAACTGTAGATTTATTTAAGTTATTGACCTCTAAAGATATAGATAATTCCATTATACAACTTTTAAGAGATTCTATGTGTTCTGTGTTATATATTTGTTGTAATGATGTAGAGTATCATAATAACGATGACAAGGGTGTACTTTACTGTTACCCAAGACCTTATAATCAGAATTTTTTATATAATACGAGAGGGGCTTATGTCACTCTTTGTCATTTAGCTCCTAAATCTTTAGGTACGAGTGAACCAACAACTTCTACTGTTCTCCACAACGAGAAACTTATAAATGTTACATACACATCACATTACAATGATTTGTTATTAATTGCATTTCCCAACAAACAATTAGATTTATTTGCCGCAAGAAGGGTCACTATTGATGTAGTCAGGATGTTAGAATTTTTGTATGGTTCATTAAAGTCTTGTTTTACAAAGCCTAACAATGTTGATAAGTTAGATGGCATGTTTTGTCGAATGTTTGGAGTGTTGCTCTTCAGTGATAGCAATCGTGATGTAGCAGGAAATATTGATATTAGTACAAGCAGAATTGAAGATTTGTTGGGGGCTCATGCAGTCACATTGCCTTTAGACATACGAGTACAGGTTGATGATGCTATTACAGAACTCGAAGCAGCTGACTATCGTGAATGGGTATATTTTTATATGTTTAATAATATTAAAATAAGATAATTTCAAATGATAAGTCTTATAAAGTACATAATCTGTGCAGATTTAAATTTTGCTTTATACATACATGGCTTTTTTAGTGATGAAAAAATGGATAGGAAAAAAACCAATGGTAAAACATTTCCTTTTTTTGTTCCAGACTGATGATGTAGAAAATTTTCAAAGATTGTATACTGTGATTGGATCATGCCTGTATTACTCAGAACACCTATTGAGTTCCCACTTGCAAGATGAAGATCTAAAAGAAATAAATGCGTTTCTAAAATTAAATGGTGTCTTAAAATTGAGTGTTGACAAAGAACTAGAAAAGCTAGTCGTATGGAAAGAAGTTTTTATCAATGAACATAGAAAATTCAATAATAGTGATGACAACGATTCAAGGTAAATTTATATAAATTACTTGGTATTGTTATTACATTACGATACCCGGTGTTTGAGATATAGGTATTTTTACTAAGTCATTAAATTGAATTATTCGAGAACACCTAATATATTAAATTTAGGGTTGTCCGACTAGTTTTAAAATTATTTTTTTAAAATTAGGATTAAAATGAATTGTTCTTAATATTTGTGTACAATAAAGAATAAGTAAATAAATATTTATTATACGCACAATTAATATAATAAATTATTATGGTCCCATTTGGCAATTTTTTTCCGTGTTATTGAAAAGAAGATGAAAATTAATCATTATAAAAATTAAATCGTATTTATTAAATATGAGTTGATTATCATGATGGGTATATTTTGAAATTTCTAATAATATTTATAATTAAATAAATTATATTAATTTTAGTTATTTTAGTATTAAAAATAATTTCACGTTTAGAATTCCAGATGGGCGCTGGTTTCTTCTTGTTGTTGGTAAAGGTCATTTTATACTGGCCACACTGATGGAAGCAGGTGGATGTACAGAAGATGTATGTATTCAATGCGTCTTTAATATATTAAAATTCCAGTGTCACGATGCTCGTTCACGCTAATCTTCGGAACCACTCGACCGATTTGAATAAAATGTTATGAATTTGTATTGTTTGTTTTAACTTGAGAAATAGAATAAATTCCGATAATTTAAACTTAACATTTTCTATGAGACAACAACCATTGGCGTATTTTAGTAAGATCCTTTTCATATGTACCCTTAAAAATGTCATAACTTTAGTTGATAGCTCCCCTCCTTGGGGTGAGAATTAGACATGAGGTGAGCATGGCGCATTTTGCCTTCCCCCCCCCTTTAAATTGCTAGTCATAATATTTGTTGGGTCAATTAATAAATAAATATAGTAATATTGTTTTTATCACTCATTTAAAGTAGGTCTATAGGTTTTATATATTTTTTTATTTTATAGGCAGTTGGCGCGACTCCTCCATCTCCATTTTACGTGGAAGAGTGCGAGAGTTGCTTAGCATTACTGTATGAAGTCGGTCTCGACAAGTATTTGTCGCTGTGGTTCTCTGCTAACACACAGCCGCAATTAGAGACATCGCCGGAATACCTTACGAAGTATGGAAGGAAAATGCGGGATGTAAATTGTAAGTCTATGTATTTATTTATTTATTTATATACTTTTGTACATACACTTTTAATATAGATATTAGGTTAAAACAAAAATGTCCTCAGACAGACTTATCCCTTAAAGGGGTTTCATCCAGTTAACATTGAGAACCTAAAAGGAAAATGTGTTTATAGAGTTCGTATTTCCCTGTTTTGCTTTATTTACAGTTCATAATTAATTATTTAGTGTTCATAATTAATCATTTATTGTTGTTTAACATTTCATTATTTAATTTTGCACAAAATATATTTTATGTAGGCGTTAATTGTTGCAATCATAAATATGAGTATATGTTAAACATACCAGTTTTCATTAAATATTGCGTGAAAAAAGTGAAAAAGTGAATTAAAAAAGTAGGACGTTCTGTTTTTGTTTATCGTATTCATGGACAATGCCGTTCTCTGTATTCGTTCAGGAAGGTGTTGTCATATGTTCTATATTTAAAAAAATTCAATACCAATGTGAATTTCTTTATATACCACCCATTAATAAAACGCTTCAAACCTCTGATCAACTTGTTTATCGAAGTGTTTTATTTTTGGATGAATTCTCGTGTTATTTTATTTCCTTTATAACATTTAATGTTGTTCCAGAAAGATTTCCAAAAAGTGTATAAAGAAACTTTTCATAATATGAAATCTGTTTTAATATTTCAGCTTTAAAGTCTGACACTGCATTAAAATCATCAACATTAAAACTCTCGAAGCAGACGCTAGGAGATGTTAAAAAACGTCACAATTCATCTGAGCAAATTAATGTGGCATCGAACAGCAGTGATACGAATGCAAGTAATTATGGTAGCCATCACAATTTATATGCACAATGGTACAACGGCTCTCAGAAACAGTATAGGCATTCCAGTAATTTGGATATCAGTTATTCTGAAGATTCCAACAGTTTGAAGAGTAATAGGTAAGGTATGAATAGCATTTGTTCATTCAAGTCTGACGACAATAAATTACCCTACATTTGAGTATGTACTTATTTTTTTTTATGCGAGATTTTAGGAGATAGTTTACAATTAACAATTAGACTGAAATCAATGGATGTTAAAATACAGTTACTTTAATATTGATTGATTTTAAAGAAATTATACTTTATATTTTTGTGAATTACAGTGAAATAAGCGATGACCGCGTCCAAGGCAGAAGGGCAGACAGGGAGCAGAAGAACCGTCGTGAATCGTCGGGTTCTGATTCAGATTGGGATAGACAGGTCACAAAACTATATCGTAGATTTGTTCTCTATCTTTAACATTATTCACTTGTATTAATATGTAATACCTACTAATAATAATATATTATTTTCCAATATTTTTTAATATAGTTTTCTTTTTTCTGTATGCAACTTAGAATAGCAAACAAGCTGACGGCGGTTTATAAGAGAAGGGAATTTACGTGATCATTTAAAAACACTACGATAATTAAGATGACTCAGAGAGAGTCATTTACACTAGTCGTGTTCACGAGTAGAATGAGTAGAATAGTTATGACATACTTCCGCTTCCGGGGCAGAATTTTTTCTTCTACCCGCTCATTGTCCTACATCACAAATTTTGTCCCTATCCTATTTTATATTTTATGAATCATGCAACGTGAAAGTCGAAATGTTCAAATAAGCTGATGGTGTAGGTGTTGTCTTCACGTATACAGGAACCTGAATTAAAAATTATCTTGTTTTTTTTTTTCTTTTATTATCGCTTCTTGTTGATTCTATTAGCAAATGTTATGTATTACAAACCATTTATCATAACAGGAAGTCAATAGAATGGGCAGCAGTATTGACATGTCGGATATAAGAAAGTCACTATTGAATGAAATTGACCGAGTCACCACACATAGGTAAGATATATATTCTATAATAATTTATTATTGTTCATATGGTTGCGACAGGTATATATGTATGTGTGTATGATCTATACAATGAGTACTTTTAAAATATTAAGTTCTTCAAAAAGGGTGTATAAAGGGTTTCTTCGGGGTCGGCAATGAGCACGTGACATTCCAAGTGTTAACCAGTTGTGGCCTCCGATTAGAAATTAAGAGTTAAGTAGCTTTGAAAATTTAGTAGGTTCTAGGCAGTGCCGTAACAATAGGGTGGCAAGGCTGGCAAAATGCCACTGGCCCCCGGTTCAAGAGGCCGCGAGCTCAGAATTTTTTTTACATTGTACCCGAGTATTTTATTTTACTTGAAAAATATTTTTTTTTTTACTTATAGGGCCCCATCAAAAGAATTTGCCACAGGCCCCAAATGGTGTAGTTGTGCCACTGGTTTATAATCATGCTAAATAGACCGTCAGCTTCATTTTGTTTATCATGTTTATGAGCGACAGATACCGTTTGTTATGGGGTGGCCGGCTATTTAATATATTATTATGTATGTAATAGATTGAAAGATGGGCAACTTGAGCTTTTTTTGTGGTAGTGATACAGAAGTTAATGATGATAATGACGATGGTAACTTTATCGTCATCTGTATCTCACCAAACTCACAACAAAAAGAAAACATGCTGACAGACAAACTGTCAGCATGTTTTCTTTTCATCAATAAATATAAATAATGTTACCACCGTTTTTGGTGAAAACTCTGAGAAACTACTGGTTTTTTTTTAAATGAAACTACTTCACTGGAAAATGGTAGATGCCTAATAGATATTTTCCCCAGGTCGACCTCCACGCGGTTCCCCCTGGTAACCATCGTGACTGATTTATCGTTAAATTCGTCACGATGGGCTAACTGACCTGCCTTTTCATCTTCACCAATCATCCCTCACTGGTGCCCCGCTAGTGTATACCGATAGCACAGGCGGGGTCATCATTCCATTATCATCTATAAAAAAAAATAGACATTTTCCATGGTATGAAGGAATAAAACTTGTTGTATGTGTTGTGTGTATGCTTAATAAACAGTTATATGATTCGATATATCATTTTCAGAATAACAGCAGGCGACGATAATGTATTATTTCATTTTGTACAATTTGAATCGGCTAAAGGCATACTTATAGCACCTGTAAAGAACATTGACATTCAAGCTAATAATGCGTTATATTCATATATAATTAAAACGTTTAGAACTGCCTGCAAAAGGATACATGATCTTTTACAACATAGCATAAGGTATGGTATTACTGTAGCTCATTTATGATATTGTTTGAAAGAATTAAGACAGTAGTTGATTTTTTATACGTCCGAATGAAAATATTGCCGGTGGACTTGTTCTTATTCTGATATTTATATTATTGTTAATATTAATTCTATAAACATGTTGATTTACATTATATACGATAGTATAAATTTACTTTTTATTATTTTCAGATTTAAAGCCAACCAGACCTCAACCAATCCTCTTAATAAAATACTCATTGCAGTGAAAGAGTATGGTATGTTGTTTCAAGCTCCAGTGCAGTTACTGAATCAGTGTGGTGTTAATAAGAAGAATTCTGAAACATTCCAGTTTTGGGTAGTTGGGTAATTAATAATTATTTATTAAACATTTCTTTCTTCACACACTATAATTTCCAACACGAAAGATCACCTCTCCTCATTATAAAACACATTAACGGTATTTTTATCCGATCTCTCTCATTTTAAGTTCAGTAATTTAGTAATTTTTAACTACTGGACGTGCCTCTTTAGACTGTTACATGAAATCATTCTGCAACTAACAGTATATATTGTGGGGAAAGGGATTGTTAGTGATGGGAACTGTATTTCTTAATTTTGGTGGAATTCATTATGATGTGCTTACTGGTCTGCCGTCAACCTCACCTATCATTTACTGGAGCCAAGCCAGCATATATTTTTTTTATGGGTGAAAATGGTATGGTAACCCCGCCTGTGCTAACGGAATACGCTGGCGGAGCACCAGTAAAGGGTGATAGATGAGAATGAAAACAGGCCATCATGATGAATTCATCAGGAATTAACCATGATAGTTTCCAAGGAGAACCGCGAGGAGGTCGACCTAGTTGGGTATATTGCTAACAATGGGATTCTCAGTCTCCATTACTAACAATCCCTTTCCCCCCAGCCAGCATATATTGATAGCGTAGGCAGGATTACCATTTCATTATTGTCCATAAAAAAGAAACAGTATATACAGTGTTATTCATATAGGTTACCATTGTTGTAGGCTGCAAATAATGCTTTAGCTAAACTTGCAACAATGCTTTAGGGATAATACCGCCTTTTCTATTTTAAGCGTAATATATATATTTTTTTGCATTTTTCTTTAAGTGGTATAATAAAAAGTAAATAAATAAATAAATAATGAAACATGTGCATTAGACGCTTTTGTTGGAAAAATTGTTATTACACAATTAAATTAAATTCAATTTTTTGTGTTTACATTATTTATTATTAAATTTGTCAACAGTTTTTTTTATCATACCCAGTAGAATTTAAAAATGAATACTTTTTTTTACTTATGAATACTGTGTTTGACTTTAGCGTATATATACTATAAACAATGATTTACAAAATGCAGTTTTAATTCCTATTATGTATACTTGTGTAAAAGTTTGTTTTTTTTTTAATTAGTCCCACGCTTGTATGATATATTTTTTCATGTATCTATAATCCTTACATATATTAAAATTTTTGTATTGCAGGCGTGTATTTAGCGAACCGGAACCCAAGGAGCTCTATCTATGCTACCATGAGTCTATACCACAAGATCTTACTGAAGTTGCCTATTTACTCTCTTATCTAGAGTAAATAGAGAATGTCTTCCATGTATTTTAACATTTGATGTACTTGATTTGATACTTAATCTCTATAGTCATAACATCATGATTTGATTGTATTTTTTACATTTTGTTTAAATTTATATTTACATACCTACTTTTATAACATCTTATAAGCTTTAATTTATCCGTCCATAAGTACTGAACGTTGTGATACATTATAGTTGTTATAATTATTATTCAAACTTGTTATTTTTCATTACGTCCATAAAAGATCCTACCGCATCCTTTCATTACATCCAGCCCAATATTTCTTATAAAACGGCGTGAGTACCTATTTTAATATATAAGATGGTTATTTTGATAATTCATATTATTTAATGTCTTTCTAATGTGAACTTAGTATGTCTTTTTAATAAATACAATATAAAATCCTTGCTAATAAATGTGAAAGTCACTGTTTGTTTCTGTTAGCACTTTAACGGCTCAACCGATTACTATGAAAGTTTATATACACCCCCTATATCCAGAGTCGTATTGCTATTACTTTATAAATATAGCTAGAATAAGTAGGCCTTCGTCTTGTTGATACATATATATTATACACATAATACTTAAAAGTCCTTTGTCACGGTGTTACAAAACCACTCAATCGGTTTTACTTCCCTTATCCATTTAGCTTATTTTACCTATTGAGCTGTTTTCTCTTTTTCTTTTATATTAAATTAAAAGGAAGTAACAAAACAGTGTAATAGTTAAAATAGATTTGTAGATTTTTGTTTTTATGAATAAGAGGGTAAGTGTATTGTTTGCTCTAACTTGAAAGATAATCCTGAATAGAAAAAAACTGTATGTAGGATGTAGTTGTCTTAAAAATATATTTTTCTGTATCTTATTTCTAAATGAATATCTCCATTAAATCTGCCAATCACAGATCTCAAGATTAATCTATGGTGGCAAAGAATCTTCATTTGAAGTTTAACATAGATTTCTTACATGTCAATTATATAGTAAAAAGGTTCAAAATGACTGCGCTTTTATTTTGGCAACGGATGCATATGCATTTGAAACGGTTCAGATTAAAAAGAATCGTCAAAATCGGTCCACAATCATTAAGGACCTTGCGTAATATACCGTTAATAGAGTTCGCAGGGTGAATAGAAAGTCTGGAAATATATTTTTTTTTAATTACCATATTTTTTATATGGTACAAATGATATTTTAGTAAATATTTTTGTTGTATAAGGCAATAATATCATAAGGTAATAATAATCAAATGCCAAATATATTTCAATATATGTAAAAACGTATTTTGGAAGTTCTTTTGAGAAAGAGCAAATATTTTTAAGTATTTTTCATTCTTTATAATTTTAGTCGTAGTCTGTTTTTCGCAGTGTGTATATTTAGAAAAGAAAAAGCTCGATAGACACGAACAAACGGAACGAAGAAAAACGCTAAAGGAGTGAATAGAAACGCATATACAGTGAAAAGATTTTATTAATTAGAGTTATCAAAACTGCTTTTACTAACTTAATAAAATGTTACTATTGGTTTTTACACTCGGTTAAAAATCAAAAGGCTGCCACAAAACTTTTAACAAAGTATGCGATTTAAAATACAAAATTAATGCTCCCAATAACAATAAGTTCATTGGACAGTTTTGCAAAGCATTTGTAATGAAACATACATATTCAACTATCTCATAGACTTAGAATAACGTATTTGTGTACTATTCTAAATGATAATAACATTTAGAATAGTAAAAACAGTATCAATATTAATTGATACTGTTTTTACAAATTATTTATACAGCCCCAGAGCAAGTAATCACTTTGTATAAAATGGGGATTTTGAGTTTGCCGCCATTACCCTGGTTCGTAAGTAGCATGTGTAAAAAAGATCAATAGTAAGAATATAATAAACACACATAATATCAAAAATCATAAAATAATTTATTATACAATTAAATAAATAATTGAAAAATGTAAGTGTACCCTTTAAGTAAAAAAAAAATGTTAAAAACCGGATAATACGTAAAGAAAATATTTAGCAAAAAAAAATAACCATAGACATTTAGATTGAAACAAATTTTTTGTCATTGTTAAACGATTATAACTTTTGTTTCACAAGAAATAAAGCATATATTACCTTGATTACTTGTTTGCGAATATCATAGAGTAAATATATTAGACACCATAAAAAAATAAAGGAATGTTTCCGTTATTTGTCGCACTATTGGTTGCGGCGCTTTATTCATGGTGGCGTTGTCTCGTGGTCGTTCTATACGTGTTATTCCTTTTCGTTTGTACAAATTATCATGTTACAGTGAAGCTTTTGTCATGGAATTACAATTTAACTTAATCTAAAGTTGCATCAATGTTTTTTTGTGTACGTTTAATTAGATTTTGTGTTGAGTGAAGCGTTACCTTTACAACTATGATTACAAAAATGCAACCTCAGGCTAATGTTGCTGTGCCACAATCTGTCACGACGCAGCCCCAACAAATAGTTGGAGTTACTGCAAATGCAGTAATCTTAAAAATGTCCGATATCCAACAGATATCTACAGTTGGTAAGTATTATTCAATAACATACCTTTTGCCTTAAACGTAGGCAGTAGTATTATAGGATGCGAGTGTGTATGAAATAATATTATTGTAAATCCACGCGTGGAAATTTTCCTATGGAAATGTACAACATGCTCATCTCAGGGTTCTATTTGTTTACATGTTTGTTTTTTTACATAGTAATTTCTGTTATTGTAGTAGAATCGTAGAACGTTAAATAGCAAGGTTATCGTTTTCAATGTCGATAATGTGTGTTTAGGACATTCTAATATATGCTGTTGTTAGGTCTTTTGGAGTTGGCACACCGTGAGTACCAAGCCGGGGACTATGAGAGCGCGGAACAGCATTGCATGCAACTATGGCGGCAAGATGGCACCAACACTGGGGTGCTGTTGCTACTCTCTTCAATTCACTTTCAATGTCGCCGATTGGACAAGTCTGCGCACTTTTCTACATTGGCAATAAAACAAAACCCATTATTAGCAGAAGCTTATAGGTAAGTTTTGTATTATTAAATATTAAAAGGTGTTATGAGCTTAATATCAATGTTAAGTAGGATTACTAGATCTTCAACTATTTTACTGTGTAGTTTACTATTATTACTAAGAGTTGTTCAGTGTTTCAATATATGACAAAAGATGATATGAATAAAATATGAGGTAAACAAAGTTTTCATATCTGTTATAAACTCAGCTGGGATTGAATGTTTCTTTGATATATAGATAGACTTATATTTAACATGTAAATTTTTTTATACACCATCATCATTTTAGCTATTAACTGTCCACTGTTGAACATAGGCTTACCTCTTGGAGGATTTTGTCAGTAGTTGCCATGCTTGGCAGGCAGGTTGGCATCCATAGATAAGCTTTGGTGATGTTTTAAGAGAGATGCTGCTGCCGATCTCTCAACCATTAAATTCCCTTAGTTGTCACACCCAAAGGAAAGGTAGTAGTAGCCCATTCCATGCCGGAGCCAAAAAGCTTCTATTTTTATACATAGCTTTTACAATATAAAGGAATTTTGAATATTGCTCTTCAAAAGATAATTTAACATTTTTATAAAACAATAAAAATAATAAAATGTTTCTTCGATTAAAAAGAAAAACATCAAAATATGTCCATAAGTTTGAAAGTATATACAATAATAATAATACAGGGATAAACAATATACATATATTTTTAATTAGTTCAATAATTTTTTTAATATTTTCTATTTGAAGATTTGTCATATTTTAAATATAAGTAGGTACCTAGAAAATTTATTATAATCTATGTCAAAGAAATCAGTTTGTGGCATAAAGCCAAGTTGTCTGTCTAAAGTAGTTGGTGTAATTAGAATTTTACTAAGACTTTTATATAAATTAAAAGTTATTGTATGTTCACCTTCATAATCTTTGTACTATTATTTTACTTCACTATTTCATACTCCTTAAAAGTTGGTAAAGATATATGAATGTTTACTCAATTATGTTTAAACACCTGAGTAAAATGATATTTTGGTATACAAATGGCTCTATTTTATTTTTAATAATAGAATAATTTAGTTTTTATTCATGTTCATATGAATAAAGTTACAAAATTATAATGGAATCAAGGAATCAAAGGGAGTGTTATGTCATAACCTAACAGTCATCAATTATTATTTAACACATCCATCATGATAAAAATAATAAGTGATGGATTGATAACACAATAGGTCATATTTTGAATGTCCCCTAGTCTTTAAAATAGATTAATTGTAGGTAATGACATATTTTCACAATTAGTTTCATCTTTCTTATTCTATTTCTAATTTATTAATAATACAAAAAATTTGCTTCAAAATCTGGATGAATATTTGGTAATCCTGAGGTATCTCTCAACTGTTGTGGTGGCAGTGTTTTAGGACTGGATTGAGAATGAGTCTTATGAGTAGGTCTAGTTATAAATAATGTCCATTTTGGGTTTGATTTATGGGATAAGAGTTTTCTGGTCTTCAAATTATAATCTATGAAAATCTTCATAAACAATCTGAGCGAATTATAAACATCAATATGTTCTAAATTATGACATCTACAAATCTGTGTGCACAGTGTTCTGATACAAATTATTTAGTTTTAACATTCTTAGATTTTAGTTTTTGCAAATTTATTTGAATCTATTCATTGTTATAGCATTGTAATCTAGTCATATATTAGAAGATAGAAGAACAATATTTTTATATTAGGTGTTAAATATAAATCACTACTTGAAACTGGATTGTTTGATTAAGATAGATTAATTTGAACAAAATTATATTACTGTGGATGCTCTATAACATTTGTCCCAGTTTATTTTTGTGGGTACTAAATTGTCTGGTGTATTTAATTCAAGGTGGCAATGATAAATGCACTTGGCAGTAGTAGGCCATTAAAAATTGACCTATTACATATGCCTTGGTCATACATAAATCTTTTAAATTGAATACTATTTTGTGAAAAATAGGAAATTGTTATGAAAAATATAGTTAATTAGATGAAAGTTTATCACCATGTGAATAATTTGATTGATGATGTAAAGTAGTATTTGAGGAATCTTCCGTTTTAGAGCAATATCTTATATAAATGAATCACCATTCATTAGTCTTGTTAAATCTCAAAATTGGCTTGACCAATTAAAATAATTTTATTTCCCTTTTATTCAATGTAATAATACAAAGAAAAGTTAGGAATGATATGAAGTTCACCAGGTCAGCTAGTTAGAAATAGAAATACTTAAATAATTACTTCTTATGAACATAGTTTCAATTTCGGTCTAATTATTTAAACTTTATTGAACAATAATTTTCTAATTGTTATTGTATTTTTAAGTTTCTGGTGCAATAAAGAGTTATATAAATAAATATTAAAATATGGTAGAAAAGGCGACTTAATGCTATAGGTATTCTCTGCCTCTTCTATTCTATTCTTCAGAATGTGAAGAGACACTTGATTGCGTTTTACACAATAAAATAATTTATATTTTACTGTAATATGATAAACTACATGTATATGAATTCATATGTATATTCATAAACATATATTAATATACTGTTTACATATTAATACCTACATACACACAATATACATACATTTGTACAAACATATATGTACATATCATCAATGACAGCTTATACCATTCTTGAGTTCATTAAAATTAATAGAAAATAAAAAATTGTAGGTACATAAAACTAAGGAATATTTCCATTTCATTTTAAACAAACAGCAATTGGTTGATCAGACACTGATCTATATTTACTTCTTTGTAGTAACCTGGGCAATGTGTACAAAGAAAGGGGACAATTACAAGAGGCTCTGGAGAACTATAGGCACGCTGTCCGGCTAAAACCGGACTTCATTGATGGTTACATCAACTTGGCGGCAGCACTTGTGGCCGCCGGCGACATGGAGCAAGCTGTTCAAGCATATGTCACGGCGCTTCAATATAACCCTGTGAGTATATGCTTTAATTCTTTTGCAATTTGTTACATTGTGAAGGATGATGGATTAATAAAATCACAGAAGAAAAAAACTAAAACTTGGAAAAACAAATCTTCTAAATTTTTTCAAATGGATGTTCTGGGTTGTGTCCTCGGGTGTTTATTACCTGGTTCTTCATAACACAAAGTATCCCAACTTGAGGACTAGGCGGTTGTTGTGATTTTTGGCACTTTTACTTATTTTGTTTGTGGGAAAGTAGGTATTAATTATAATTGCTTCATTGACATAAAAAATCTTAGTCATTCTGATAATACTTCTGACATGTGATAGTATTTTTGTAATTTCATTTTATCCTTACTAAGTGTCTCACCTAGAGGGGTATGTTTTCTAATTAGGTAACATATTTCACATGTGTTTCTTGTTTACTCTTTCCTATATTATATGGTGTGTATAGCCACTAGGTGCAATACTAAAATGGTTATAAGTTTTTTTTAAGTTTGGAATGATAACCATGCCATTAATTTGAGTATATCATGTGAATTGATATATTCATACTATGATAATTTCACACATATTAAATTTGGGGTTGCTTGACTTCTTTCCTTTGGTTCTATCAAGTCTGAAATTAGTCTGGCAACCCCAAATACGCGATATGAGATGGCGTAAATAATTATACTTAATACGATGTTAATGCAAAATGTACAAGTTTTATTATCTAACTGACATACAGTTTTCATGTTATTTAGTGATGGAATAATGTGTTAAATCTTTTGATTTGTTTTTTGCAAAGAAAACATATCTGTAAACAACGATTAAGAGTAACACAAAGATTATAAAGATTAGTCTTGTTGATGTAGAGATAAATTTTCATAGCCTTGAATATAAATTGTAAATTGAGTCATCATTTCCTCCTAGTGCGATTGCTTTAATAGATAATTGACTCTGCTATTGTTGCTTTAAGCTTGGGTTTATTACCGACTATATTATCATAGTACATCATGTACATGTATTTATTAATGCCATGTTTAGATATACTAAATTTTCCATCCGTTACTTTAACCTTTACCATGTGGAATTGTAACATATTAACAGAATATACTATTTAGTATGGAGGGATATGATTTTAGTATTTTATGTGTTCCAATTTGTTCTTTCATTTATAGAAACAGTTACACATATTGTTTGAATTAATAAGCTTCTTACTATACTTTTAAACATATTTCGATAAAATCTATAGATTTATATTATATAGTAAATTTTTTACTATATTTACAACCCAAGAATAGTCTGTTTCTTATTACTCTAGTGTGTAGTCTACTATACTGAAAGTCTTATATATTGGACACGTTAATAAGCTCACGAGGTGTTATTATACCCAGTCTAAACTCTGCGTATTACATAGTTTAATTAATTTGTATCGTAAATAAACAGATAATATAAAAAGCAAGATAGCAATTCTTTTTTATGTATGAACGATTGCTCTTAACTCGATCATGGATTGTAAATTATTCTATTGCAAGACATTCCAGGAATAAAGATTATGGTGTGTTAATTTAGAAATAGTTCACTTTATCAATTGCTATACAATATATAATCTAAAGCATATCAGTCATATCATATCAGTAAAAAGGCAAATAATCTCATGACAATAATTTTAGATTGGTTAGTTAGAGGAATAGGCCCCACTGTATTTGTTGTATTGAATACTAGCTGTCCGCCCTGGCTTCGCTTGGGTAGATAAAGAGAAATTAGTAGTTTAGATTATTTTTATTAGGAAATTTTTTGATACCTTGAGATATATTTTTGTAGAGAACTCAAATTTTTTGAAAAGAATATATACTATGTTACTCGCATATAATATAGCTTTCTATAGATGCAAAAAATTTTGAAATCAGTTTAGCAGTTTCTAAGTTTATCTGTTACAAACTAAACAATTTAATCTTTTGTCTCTATAATATTTAGTATAAAAAACATATAGATATAGATTTATTCACTCGCAAGTTTGGCTGTGGTCTGGTAACATTTTATAGTTATCAGTATAAAAAAAACAATTTTCTATTTTTGTGAACGACTACTTAAAAAAAAAAGGTTTACAAATGCCTTAAAAGTTAATCGTAGAACAAGTTCTTTATGTGCAACTTCACTAGATGTATCAGTCAATCAAAATTGGGAATTTTATTTCATTTTGCTTTAAAAGTTTTTAATTATTTTCTTACATCGAATCTTTAAGTTTAGAGATTTAAAAATTGTCAGAAAGCCATGTCAGAAGCCTTCACTTAGTATAAAAGTCGCCTAGACACTTGCCGTGTGGTCCCGCCATAGAATAGGACATCCCTTCCTTTCTCGTGGGTTTTTTTTTTAATAGGTGATAATGGAATAGTGACCCCGCCTGCGCTGTCGGTATACGTTGATAGGACACCAGTAAAGAATGATAGGTGACGATGAAAGCAGGTCAGTTAGCCCATCGTGACAAATTCCACTAGAATTAACCACGATGGTTTCCAGAGGTAACCGCGTGGAGGTCGACTTGATAGGGTGTATTGCTAGCTATGAGTCAGATCTCTAGATTACTAACAATCTCTTTCTCCCCTCTTTCTCGTAGTTGTCGTAAGAGGTGACTAAGGGAGGGCAAGGGATGGGCAGTAGCGTCCCTCTTAAAACATCTTTAAAGCCTAACTTGCCAATCTGCCTGCCAAGCATGGCAACTACTGGATAAACTTTCCAAGGCTGACCTGATGATTATATTGAAGATACTTGAGATAAGAGTACTCTTGCATCGTATCGTAGTATTAATAAGAACTAAAAATCTGCAGGATCATATAGGTTCGTTTTAAGAGCAAATTTAAAATCATTAAGAAATATGTAAATTTTTTACATAGATTTAAATTTTAATAAATAATACAGACGATGTAAATGTTGAGGTAGTAACCAAATTTTATTAAAATAAATGCATTTAGTAAGATAGGATTCAAAAAGGAGTTAGTTTCACACATGTAAACTAGGTGTTTCCAACGAATAAAAGCTTTTTGTTCTAAATTATACATAGATATATGTTTATATACTTTTATTATAAGACAGACTTCAAAAAATATTAGTGTTTATACAGTGCACCAAGTACATCTTATATTATTAATTTTTAATATAATTTTATAACAATGCTATAATTATTGTAATTTCAATGTGCAAAGCGACTAAAATAGATATTTATTTTGTTGCAGGATCTTTACTGCGTAAGAAGCGATTTAGGCAATTTGCTCAAGGCCCTGGGACGTCTAGACGAGGCAAAGGTAAATAAGATTTCGTGTTACATTTTCTGGTTTGCTCAGAAGTTAACAGGACTCTTTGTCTGTTTCTCTTTGTACAGTATTAAATTAGTGTACTCTCTGTTTCGCTAGCGTACAAAGCATTGCGTAAATATTCCCTTAGACACACTGCAAACTGCGTCGAAATACTGTTCTCATAATGGTTTCAACAATATATGTTCATATAATATTCCATGGTCTATGTTAAACGTTTTGTTTGTTTAAACCATTATCTGTAATGTGTGAACAAGATAGAAAACAGAACACCTTGGTTTTATATATAAACATTGTTTGTATCTTGTTCCGCACATAACACTCGCAAAATATTGATGTAAAATTATGGAGTTTCTTCAATATTTTGCGTGTAGCATATTGCGTAAAAGTATTAATTTTTCACACAGTATTCAATTCAAATATGCAATTTTAACCTTACGACCTCTTATACCTACTGTAGAATTACGGATAATGATAAAGTAATATACCTACTTATATGTTGTTTTTAAAAACAATCTAATACACATAGATAATGAATTGATTTAAAATATACATTTTTCGTTGTCTAATATTGTGTGGAAAATTAAAAAGAAAAGAGAGAGTATGCTAATATTCATATTCTAACATTAACATTTTCATGCATTGTATATCCTGTTACCTTCCCTATTACTTAGTTTACATTTTGGTCTATGTAGAGATTTATTATTATATTTCGATTGAGGATTAAAGGAGTTAGTAGTTATTCATTAGTGGTATGATGTAGTGAGTTATGTTTATATATAATTTAGTCATCCACATCATGCCTGTCTGTCATTGCTCTGCTAGAAGACAGTGTGAGCTGACAATGATCCTTTCAAATCACAAACATTTGATTTGTAATATAATATGAGTAAGTTTGACAATCAGGTGATCAAGTTTGACTCAAAATCAACTAATTTTGTTATATTTTCACAAGGTGTTGTCTGGTAAGACAGTAGGTGTGACCGCTGCTGTATCTAGCTGGGTTACGGTTGGTACGACACTCGCTATGCCGCCGCGGTGACAACATACCTGCATCAGGTAAAGTGGAAAAGGTTTGCAAGAAATAATACGAACAGGTTATCGGATATGACTCGTTGCTCTTTGAATATCATTGTCGTGACCATTTTTTTCCATCGGTTAGGAAGTGGAAGCGCTTCATGCATCGTTCGATAGATTTTTTACACTCTGATCTTGTTGGGGTGTCACTATTGTGTTGGGTTGCTGGTCGTTTGCATTTCCTACTGATGTGTGTGGCTGTCGGCGTAGTCTCGTGTTGTTAGGGAGCATTTGGCGTAAATTTATAATCGGCCGGATGATGTTGGCTCATTTGTTTGTTGACTTGGATGTCCCAGCATCAGCCGACGCTATGGTGTAATTATTGAGATTGGCGTAAAAACATTTCAGAACTTCATCACTGTACAAAGGTAAATGAGATTGGTTGTTAATATATTATTTTTCCGTGTGTGTAGGCTTGTTACTTGAAGGCCATCGAAACGAGGCCTGACTTTGCAGTGGCATGGAGTAACTTAGGATGCGTATTTAACGCACAAAGTGAAATTTGGTTGGCCATACATCATTTTGAAAAGGCGGTGGCATTGGACCCCAATTTTCTGGACGCTTACATTAATTTGGGAAATGTCTTAAAGGAAGCAAGAATATTTGACAGGTAAGATAAATAGTCTAAAATAATTTCAATAATATATTCAATTGTTTTCCTTATGACATTCATTCGTCATTGTATACATTTATTGAATACGTCAGCAGTTTAGTAATGTTAATAAGCATTCTAATACTATATAGTCTAATGATAATGTAATAATCTTACTTTTTTACCTGTTTCTTTCTACTGTATGCATTGAATAATAGGTACGATAATTTGTTTATTATTATTATCAGGGCTGTAGCTGCCTACCTTCGTGCTTTGAACTTATCTCCCAATAATGCTGTTGTACATGGAAATTTGGCTTGTGTATACTACGAACAAGGATTGATCGACTTGGCCATCGACACCTATAGAAGGGCCATAGAATTGCAACCTAATTTCCCAGATGCTTACTGTAATTTGGCCAATGCCCTGAAAGAAAAAGGTCAAGTTGCTGACGCGGAGGAGTGTTACAACACCGCTTTACGTCTTTGTCCTTCTCATGCAGATTCTCTAAACAATTTGGCAAATATAAAACGCGAGCAGGGTTATATTGAAGAAGCGACTCGATTATATCTGAAGGCTTTAGAAGTGTTCCCAGAATTTGCTGCTGCACATAGCAATTTGGCATCTGTATTGCAACAACAAGGGAAATTAAATGAAGCGCTCATGCATTATAAGGAGGCAATACGAATTCAGCCCACTTTTGCTGATGCATATAGTAATATGGGCAATACGTTGAAAGAAATGCAAGACGTAGCTGGCGCGTTACAATGTTATACCAGAGCTATTCAGATAAACCCAGCATTTGCTGATGCTCACAGTAATCTCGCTAGTATTCATAAAGACTCTGGAAATATTCCCGAAGCCATACAATCATATAGGACAGCATTAAAACTAAAACCAGATTTTCCTGACGCTTATTGCAATTTAGCCCATTGCTTGCAAATCGTATGCGACTGGACAGATTACGAGGCCCGTATGAAGAAACTTGTCAGTATTGTGGCGGAGCAACTTGATAAGAACAGACTCCCGTCGGTCCATCCACACCATTCCATGTTGTATCCTCTAACACACGATTTCAGAAAAGCCATTGCTGCCAGACATGCTAACTTGTGCTTGGAGAAAGTTCAAGTTCTTCATAAGCCTCCCTATAAGTTTGCGCGCGACCTCCAAGGTCGACTGCGTATAGGTTATGTTAGCAGTGACTTTGGTAACCATCCCACATCTCATTTGATGCAGTCTGTGCCCGGATTACATGACCGTGGGAAAGTTGAGATCTTCTGTTATGCTCTAAGCCCTGATGATGGTACGACTTTCCGCTCAAAGATCGCCAGAGAGGCGGAACATTTTATTGATTTATCTCAAATTCCGTGTAATGGCAAAGCTGCTGATAAAATATATGGAGATGGCATACATATTCTTGTCAATATGAATGGATATACTAAGGGTGCTAGAAATGAGATATTTGCATTGAGGCCAGCCCCTGTTCAAGTCATGTGGTTGGGTTATCCGGGAACTAGCGGGGCAAGTTACATGGATTATCTAGTAACTGATGCCGTGACGTCACCACTGGAACTAGCAAGTCAATACAGTGAAAAGTTGGCGTATATGCCCCATACATATTTCGTTGGGGACCACAAGCAAATGTTCCCCCATTTGCAGGAGCGTCTTATTCTTAGTGACAAGGTGAAATCTCATAACAACTTGGGTATTGTCGCAGACAATGTTGCAGTTATCAATGCAACTGATTTGTCGCCGCTTGTTGAGAATACTGACATAAAAGAAATAAAAGAAGTGGTTAGAGCCGCAAGACCTGTGGAAATTTCTCTAAAAGTTGCCGAGCTTCCAACCACCACGCCTATTGAGACCATGATTGCTTCAGGTCAAGTACAGGTATTGATAATTCATTCCCTAAATATTATTTCGCGTTTTATAATTACCAAAATTCAAATGTATTAATTCGTTTTCAGACTTCTGTCAACGGTGTTATTCTGCAAAATGGTTTAGCTACGACACAAACAAATAATAAAGCGGCGACAGGCGAAGAAGTGCCGCAGTCTATAGTAATTACGACTCGGCAGCAGTATGGTTTACCTGATGACGCGGTAGTTTATTGTAACTTTAACCAGTTGTATAAAATCGACCCACTGACTCTTCACATGTGGGTGTACATCTTGAAACATGTGCCAAACAGTGTACTATGGCTCTTGAGGTTCCCGGCTGTCGGCGAACCCAATATCCAGGCGACTGCATTGCAACTAGGTGAGAATACTGCTCCTTCAAATTGTTAATTTTATCCTTTGCTAATTTTAAAATAAATGCCAGTACCATGATATCTGAATGATGATACTGTTGGATTTAAAAATAAGTTTGTAGTATTAGTAATGCTTTGTCATAAATCCTATTATTGAGTGCCCATCAAAGTTCGACTGAACGATTAAGGGTTCTTTTTAAATTTTTTATGAAAAAAACCTTCAAGAGGAAAAAACCTCATAAATTTTGTTAGAATTTAATTCTACTTTTTATTCGATTGCCGATAAAAGATTGTATATATATATATATATATATATATATATATATATATATATATATATATATATATATATATATATATATATATATATATATATATATATATATATATATATATATATATATATATATATATATATATATGATGTATACATATGTATGTTTAGGATCTTTGCTTTGACCGGTAGCCTAATCGGCTTTCGTTATTAATTTTAATTTTGTGACACAAAACATAATGTTGTAACTGTAACTTTGTTACATTCATTTTTTTTATTGTAGGTGTCCCACCCGGACGTATTATATTCTCAAACGTGGCAGCGAAGGAGGAACATGTAAGGCGTGGTCAGCTAGCCGATGTCTGTCTCGACACTCCGCTGTGTAATGGGCATACTACTAGTATGGATATTCTGTGGACGGGCACGCCGGTTGTCACTCTGCCGGGGGAGACCTTGGCCTCAAGGTTAGTTGTCATCATCATTATTCCAGCCTTTATATTCTTTTATACATTTACCATGGACTTGCATAATTCAGCTCTTATAATAGTATATAAGTACGACATGAAATAGAACAATCGTAAATTAGTATGACAGATGTTTTTTTGTACAAAAATATGTATAAGTTAAATATACATACAACTGTGCTATATAATCTTTACAACGTAGGTTTTTTTTTTATGGGGGAAAATGGAATAGTAACCCCACCCGCGCTATCGGTATACACCGACGAGGCACCAATGGAAGATGATAGGTGAGAATGAATGCAGGTCAGTTGGCCCACCATGATGAATTTGACTAATTAAATATAATTAAACATGATGGTTTCCAGGGGGAACCGCGTGGAGGTCGGCCTGAGGTATATGGCTAGTAATGGGGCTATTAGACCCCATAACTAACAATCCCTTTCCCCCCTACAACAAAGGTTATGTACATAAAAAAATTATCACCAAATTCATCATCATGATATCAGCAGTTAACTATTCACTGCTGAACATAAAGTCCATAACGGGGGGATTTACCAGCAGTTCCCACGCTTGGCAGGCGGATTGGTTTTGGTGATATTGTAACGGGGACGTTGATGCCTGTCCCTCAACCGTTAAATTCCTTTAGTCGCCTCTTACGACACCCTCGGAAAAGGAAGGGGCCTATTTTATGTTAGAACTAGATGGCATCGACATATTATCATGGTGTAATCAAAGATTGTAGTATTAGAATTAAAATAATGCCGAGATAATTCAGATAAATTATCAATATTTACCTAAATGATCGCGTTAATTCCCGTTTCTTATAAACCTTAAAAGAGTGAGTTTAGAAATTTACAATCTCAGTTTTATGTTTAGGTAAAATATTTTAAATTAATTAAAATGCTGTTAAAACATTTAATTGTACCAATTTTTTAATATAACTCATTTGTCCTAAGTGTAGTTTTTTTAATGAGTGATAATGGAATGGTAACCCCGCCTGCTCTAACGGTTTACGGCTGGCGGGGCACCAATGAAAATGAAAAGGTCAAGTGTGAACTCAAGAGATTAACCTGTGTATATGAATGAGTCTGATTTATAAAAGTATTCATACATAGGCATCTTAGTATGATATGTCAAGGTTTGAGCAATATGCAAATTTTTACAGAGTGGCAGCGTCTCAACTAAATACTCTTGGATGTCCCGAATTAATTGCCAGAACGAGACAAGAATACCAAGACATAGCTGTAAGATTAGGAACTGATAGAGAATAGTAAGTATATTGTGTAATGTAAAAAGAAAACGTTTTTAAAAATTAAAATTTGTTTTGTACAAAGTAAATTCGAATTGATGAAAATAATGTTTGGAGATTCAAGTTAAATAAAAAATATCTACAAATTTTTTGATGAAGACCTTGTACGTTAATAAAATACTTGAATGATAAATCATAAATAGGCAAGTTTTAAAGGTAGAGTTGTTTTTTTTTTAAATAATAAATATAACCACTTGATTACATTTATTTTTATGTTGCCTTTTTCAAAATTACAATATTTACAATTTTTAAAATAGATTTCTATCTTTTTAAAGATTTAAAAAATGACTAATTTTGAAGTTTCATTTTTTTTTATTAAATAGGTTTACTTTTACATTGATTAAAATTAAGTCTGTTTTTACGAAAATCTTATATTACATGAAATTATATTACAATCTACTATAATTAACATGTACTTAACGCGTGCAAGTTAGTCCTTTCAGTTGTATGGAAGTACTCATTCTTTTTGAAGGGTGGTAATAATATTTATTTCTATTCCACAGTTTAAAAGCAATCCGTGCTAAGGTGTGGACGGCACGAACGGAGAGTCCCCTTTTCGATTGTAAGGCGTACGCAACCGGTCTCGAGATGTTGTACAACAAAATGTGGGCCCGGTATGCGAGGGGCGACCGCCCGGACCACATACAGGCGATAGAGAAGTAGATGAGAGACAATACCGCAGAAGACAGTGATAGTGAGTGGACAGCTAAGAAACGCCGTTGGTGCTAAGTGACAGTGGACTTATAGTGATTGCTGATTAATTGCCTTTTGTAGGGAGCGGGTAGCGTGTATAATATTACACCGTGTAATACCCATGCGACATACGCCAGTTGATCTTTTTTTCATACATATTCATTATGTATAAAATACACTGAACTTACATTATCGTATGAAATGTCTGAAAAAAAGGACATCAAGTAATCGTGGATTAGCAATTGAGTTTGTTTAATTTTTAATTAAGATTTAGTGTTTGAAGTATTGATCATTGATTCTTATTAGAAGTTATCGTGATATGGAATTCTTGCAGATGTAAGGAGGTGTGAACTCATTTCTTGATTACGGCTTCTGTCTATGATATAGCGGAACATGGCTAAACTTCATACCGAGGTAGTATTCTTCTTCTAGATGGTTCTCTAGTCAACTGCTAATAAATACTAGATTGCTATTACCTTGGATGGAATTTAGAGTTGACATTTAATTTATTGCTACTATTCTTAGGTACTGCATTTTCAAATTTACCTTGCATGTGAAACTTATATAAAGAAAGCAATAAAATTGGATTTGTCCATAGTAATATATATCGGGGCCTTGCTAGTAGTACTTATTTATTTGCGAGATTGTCTTATTTTGCAAATGTGTTACAAATATCTATAAATTTTTTATGTATACAAGTTTGCCTACATTATATGTCATTATATTCAAATTCTAGTTCATCCTATTTAATGATATAGCCCACTATTGCAATATAAATACATTAATGTTATTACAGTATATAATGTGTGTAACTGTTCTCTGCTCTGTTTTGTAACAATGAAGAAGAACAAAGTCCCATTTTCAATTGCAACTGCCAAAGGTATGAATAAGAGATCGTTATTTAAACTGTAAGAGTGCAACTCATAACACCAAATTGTTTAATCAGTAAAGTCCAGAGCCTATGTAAGACTGATTATCTGGATACCCCAACGTACCGATGATTAGGTTAATTAGTTCAATTTAGTTATTTGTCACATATGTGGGTGACATCCTTCTTGAGTGAAGAATTTATATTTTTAAGTGACTCTTTGTGATAGTATGATAAAGATGGCTATGGAGGTCGTATTTTAACGTTACGCTATCTATAGACATCGTTTCCTCAGTGATTTATGTTTTCTTCATGTAGCTTTTATTCTAAATAATCAAAATGGCTACTTTAAAATTAATTTTTGTATATAAAAGATTTTCTGTTGTGTAAATATTACGACTTACACCTGAATGAATTTGGGTTATTTAATATATTTTAACATTTTTTCTTGCTTGCGTTTATAATTGTGAAATGTATTTCTCTGGAAGTATTTGAGTTGAACAGTGCTCTGTAACAATTGTAATGTTTTTATATGACGCATTGTAACCGTTAAGGCAGCGATACCATCGTAATGACTTTCCTAATCATACAGACCGTTTTATTGAAGAAATATCACTAGTGTAAGATTTCTCTATATGTGTGAATCATCGTTAATTTCATCTCATTTACGGCTTAATCTGATTGGAATGTAAATAAATACTAAACCTTACAGTTGAGCATAATTAAGTAAAATTGAAAAATAATATTATTGTTGTTTTATTTTCTCTTCTTCTATAGCTAGCAAATTGCGCTGTGCACCATTAAACCCTAAACGGATATATTGTCAGTCTTCAAAAATTTGTTCTTGGCCGCCAATAAACCTAAATCAAAATCTGTTCTAAGTACCTATTTAATAATGTGGGCATATCGAGTATTACGTTCAGTATGTATGTAAAAAAATACAATCTACCTAGGCAATTGAAATTTGATAATTTTTAAAAAAGTGAATCCGGTCAAGTGTACATTGTAACAGTGGAAGAGTAGAAGTTTCTGTAATTTTATAAAAAGAAATGATAAATTTATAAGAACCCTGTTTTTATTAGCTATCCCATAGACAGTAAGGAAACAAACTGAGTACGTATTGAAACATTACAAGTATGATTAAACGAGCTAGTAACAATATGATTCCCTATAAATGCCAGAAATTTAATTGTACGTAGACACTAGTAGGTACCTATATTTATATTTAAAATGAATAAAATTGTAAGGCAAAATCGTAATCGCAAAAATAAAGGGTATAAAATAGGGACCTAACGGTGGCTATTATAAGTTAGACACTGTCTACCTGGTACGCCATCAATAGAAATGGGTTGAATGGATTTCAACAAAATTTTATAATAAAGTAAATAAATAATTGACAAATTAAGATTTTAATATCATAGTAGACCATGAACATGTTTTGATTTCTTTTTTCTCTTAACATGAATTTATAATGTAGAGACCTTTGTTACCTGTTTCAAAACTCAATTCCTTCGCAGACGACTACACAACTGTCTCGCCTTTTACTATATGAGGTTACATCGTGAGTATTTTTTTTTTTTATTTTATATCAGTACAATGATTTTAAAATATTATTGAATGATATTTGAAAATAAAGATCTTATCTAAAACATATTCATGAAAGGAGTGATATGAGCGGTAGTACCTGTAGCCCATAGACATGGTTTCTTGCATAGACTAAGTATACCGTACTACGTCCTTATAAGGTTTATCGCTAGATGTACTAAATTGATTATAATAATATCGAAATGTTGATATTGAAGTATCTACTTAGTGTATGTGAATTGTATAAGTTTTCAAGTTAGATGCATCTGCTCATATAGTAGGTATGTATTTATGGTAGATCTAAGAATATAAAGTAAGATCAAAATTCCCGTGCAGTTAAAAAGTAAAAGGTGCAAAAGTACCTGCACGGATTAGATATATGGAAATAAACACTACGATAATGTCGTAATGTTCATATTATATTTCACTTGTTTCTTTATTTTACTTTCACACCAGCTATAACTAGGAATATCTTCGAAAATGTTGATAAACATGTATGTATGGGACTATTTATCAGAGTAGTTGAATCTGTGTACTGTCAGATTTTAATATTTCAACTTGATTATGCAGCGTTCGAAAAATTACACTTTACGTACCTACTACAAAGTTTAAAGTTTTTAACTATTGTATCTCACAATAACTTACGAGCTATGACTATTACAACATACCTACAGATTTTAGACTAAAATAACGCATGGGCTTCGCAAATACAGTAACTAAACTGAATAATTATTTTCGTATTTATCTCTTATTTAACATGTTTATAATTAATAATGTCCATGTCTTTTCTAGCTTTTAACTTTAACATTTGCAATTATTAATGCAAGTTGCATAAAAATATAATAAAAAATAGTTGTAAAACGAGATTACCTACTAGTAACTCTGTGACGAGGCTTCAAGTTACCAATGATTTCTAATGGAAAAGCTTATGCTTGCAGTGTGAGACAAGTGTAGTGTAACGTGACTTCAGTATTAGGTAACCAGAATGGTAATATTTGTTGATAAAATAGATTCAAATAATATCTATTTCGACGTTCAGATATAGCCGAATAATAGATTGAAGCAATATACCGAATAATAGATCGAAGCAAAGAAATCATGCAATTTGAAGTTTAATTTTTTCCGAAATTTATTCTTAAGTCAGAGAACTTTGTGTAAAACGAAGTCGGCCTAGCATTCTTGACACCATAAGGCGCACCGACATAAGAATAGTAGGTAATATTTATTTTAAATGAATGAGCATGAATGTATGGAATAGTAGCTTCGTCTGCATTAACACCTGGTATACGTTGAGGGAGTACCAGCGAGGGACGATAGAAGAGGACAAAGGCAGGTCAGTCAATCCATCAAGATGAATTTATTAAGAATTTATTTCGATGGTTTCTAGGGGAAACTACGTGGAGTTCGACCTAACATGGTATATCGCTAGAAATGGAGCTGTTAGTTTCACTAATAATCCATTCCTTCTAGTAAGTAGTATTATTCAAGTTTAATGTCATTATAGTACCTTTAAAATAGGTTAAAATGGTTTTATTAATCTTTATTACGGCCTAGAAATACACGGTTCGGTTGATTTGCTCGCCAATAAGTGTTCAGTGTAATAATATGCATGTACCGGTATATTTTCACGAACTGTTGCCATCGACCTACATATAAATTTATTCTGTCTGACTCATATTCCAATAATCCCCTAGTGAAAACATACAAATGGGAAGAGAGTAATCATTTAATTAAATGCAACCTAGCTATATATTCTATTGTAGTTTTTGTAATGTCGTACTTATCATGAGTACAATGATATGTACAGGAGATTAAATAGAAGTCGTCAGTATCCTTTTAAGGAAATATTGTAACAGTGAAAAAAAAATTTTATTTTCTTCTAAACTAAAAATTCTTGAGCATCCCCTGCATCTGTAAAGAGTAGGAGTTCTATTATACTTTATCAACTCATGTTTCTTAGAAATATTTTCAGTTTGATTGGTAGGACATTCCCTTAAGAGGATGCTAATTACGCGTGGATTTTAGACGAAGCAAAAGTAATGATATCATAGACTTAGTACATACTTAGACTTTATAAACTAAGAATGATATAGACCACTTCCACATTCCGTATCAAGATGAAATATATACAAGTTTTTAAATTAGACCTTCAGGAATAGAATCTTGTAAATAACATTATTTAATAAATTTATTTTGATGTAGTACTTTTTGCAAGATGTGGGAACAAACAGATAGGCAGACGAAACTTCTAAAAATTTTTGTTTTTGGCACCATTAGTCTTATTGAGCCTTTATATATATATACATATATATATATATATATATATATATATATATATATATATATATATATATATATATATATATATATATATATATTTAAATATCTTCATGTATAGCTGTCGTGTAGTTATATTTTTATAAGAATAGGTCGATACATTTTTGTCTAGTTTTGGGTAGTGATGTAATGTAACAGAGACTTTGTTGCAAGTCAAAAAGTCTTGCTTGGCTACCTTTGTCCCACTGCATCACGGAATACGCCAAACATATGAGTTTTACTCATAATATCGCAATGGATATCAGAGTTGATTTTGTTGTAAATTGCAAAAAAAAAATATTATCGCTTATTACATTCGCTTTATATTACTACAGACTAATCTATTTGTTACTATTAGAAGTATTTGTTATTTTTGATATAATTTGGGATAGAGTCGGTGAATAAACAGCATTAATAGTTAGAAGGTTTTATTAATTATCACAATATTGTACACCGCTCTACGCGTTGACATTGATGCTCCTTTCCACCTTGGGTTTCCTGGAAGAAAACTCTTGTAGAGTTAAATTCGCTTTTGTACACTTGCTTGCTTTTGTCATATTTTTTTATGTATTATTATTGTGTACAATAAAATATAAATAGAAAAAGGAAAGAAGATTCGTGAACATAAATTCCTAGTCCAGCACTTTCTGAGCATAGACTAAAAATCATACACCCTTTTTTTCATTCTAATATCCAATCTTAGATATATGATAGTGATGTACACATTGATTTCAAAAATTTTTGTTTCAAAAAGGAAGAAGTTTTCTAATCTCCTGTATTTTTTTAATTGAACTGGAACTTGATGCTTCAGACCATCAAAAATGGAAGTTTCTTTTGCGAGCCCTATGTCCTCGATAAAGGCGAAAAGGAATACATCAATACTCCATAATATTTATTTATATAAGTACGACTTATTTTCAATATAACAGTTTTGTATACAGATAGCAGTTTAAAATGTTAAATTATTGCCCTAATTCTTTAAATATGATACACTGGTGTGATTTTCGTTATGTACTTCAAATCATTAGTATCAAATAAATAATTGAATTAAAATAAAATTACAATTGGAAAGGTTGACTGGTTTATTTTGAGTTGATGTCATTCATCAAAGTCAAAGGCTTGATGTCCAAAGGATTATTATGATTCTCAGATGTTTGTCTTTGTATTCACGTCATATAAATAGGTACTTACTTAGACCTACTATTTAAATAGTTCTTTTAGTACTACTTTGACATTTACAAATATTTTACAGTGGGACGGTTCGTATGTATAAGCAATCTTTATAGACGGATTAATTAAAAATACAGTGGGTGGATATCTTCATCAGAAAAATCTGTCGAATTAAAATATCTATATCATGGACTCTATGTGAGTTCAAATGTACCTATTTGTGACATTTGAAATTACGTTCAGAATAATAAAAACCGTTATTTATTTTTAAATATCAAAACTATTGGGGTTACTTAATATGCGACAATAGGAGAGACACGGTGCGGTCTGCGGGTTCGTATTCCACTCGCTTGGAGCGGCGCGCATTCATGGCATTTCATTGTACGCGGCAGTCGCGGCCTCGCCTCCGCGGGGGGATCGCGTGCTTGCGTTGCCATGCTGCGCCACACGCACACTGCTCTATTTACAACCCCGTACATAATCATTGTTATCGAAACATTAGTTCGCGGTACTCGCGTCGCGAGATGAACATGACCGGTCACCACCCACGAACTTTACTTTCATTCATCAAAATTTGACAAGTGATAAAAATGAAATGGACACAGTGCGGCTTACAATGATAATTAACGCGATATTCTTTTGTTTAGTGATGGGCGCGGCGCTTACGGAAGCGCC